GTGTGTGTGTGTGTGTGTGTGTGTGTGTGTGTGTGTGTGTGTGTGTGCGTTTGCTGGAGACTGTGTGCATGGATGAGTGTGTGTAGGCAGTAGCAGTGAGAAGGTCAGAGGTTACTAGTGTTTGTGTTTCAGTGTCAGTGAAGTGTGCTCCAGGCAGAGATTTATGATCATTGTGTCTGGGAGGCTGCAGAGTGGAGGGATAATGAAGACGGATCAGAGCGCTATCTCTCTCTCCGGGCACCACTGGAAACATGGCCTATGGCCCCCGCCATTCTCGTGTCATTAGCTTCAGCCGGTGACATCATAACGCGCTGCCCTGACATCAATCCTAACACGGTGCGCCCCAGCAAAAAAGTGAAACAGAGAGAGGTAATTCCTCGCAGGCAGTCGCCCGCAAACACATTGTTGAGCGCGCTGCTCCACGCCTTCTCTACGGTGCTTATAAAGATATGAAATATTCATGACGGCGTTTCACCGAGTCGTGTGTTTCCACTTTAGATTTGTCATATTAGCATTCGCAGAGCAACAGAGTAGAGGCCCGGGGCTCACACTGGAAGAACACGGGGGAAAGAGAGGCAGGAATGGACGAGGAGGGGGTTTGATGGAGAGGGAGGAAGTGAGGTCAGAGGGGTTACAGGGAGAAGGAGAGAGGGGGGAGGACAGAGGGGGTTTGGAGGTGAGGGGGCCAGTGGAACACGGAATGTGAGAGAAAGAGGTGTGAAGTGTAGAGAGGGGGAGATGGTTGTGGGGTGGCAGAAGGGGTTGGTAGTGTGTGCGGGGTGTGTGTGGGGTGTCTGGGGGTGTGTGGGGGGGGTGAGATGAGGTGCAGGGCGCTGGTGCCTGCGGTGGCAGGTTTCAATCAGCAGCAAGATGCCCAAAATGAGATCACTATTTCCCCGTGTTCAGATTGATGTCATCTTTGGTGGCGCTGTGAGGCAGGCGGCGAGCGCAGGCCGAACACACACTGCAGTCAGAAGCTATTTGCATGGGCACACACACACACACACACACACACACGGGCAGAAACAAACCCAAGGCGCACGTACACACAGATGTACATTTTGCCTGCACTTTCCTGGTTAGAGACTTATACACACATCCTGTGAAATGAAGGAGCGCATTCATTCCATCTGGCTGAGTGAGCTCATTTAGAGTCCAACTGCCCTTCAAGTAAAAACATACACAGAGGAATAGTACTCACAGGAAAATGAGTTACTCATGGCAAAAGGAGAAATGAATGTGTTGGGGACCAAAGGGCATATACACTAGTCTAAGAAAAACAAATGAAGGCAAAGTTGGGAACAAAGAAACAGAGCGCCACAAGTTTTTCTTTTTTACTGCAGATCAATCTGGGGGGGGGAGAGAAAATAAAAAGGATATGGGTGCAGACTTTTTGTGCATACTTCAGGGTGCACTCAGAGGTTGTCGACACAACCACCCACCTGTGTGCCAGGGAACGAGTGCTCTCTACCTTATTCGCTGCACATGTGTGTCTAATGAAAGGTGAACGGCTCTCCTGTCTATACTTTCCTCGCAAAAAAAAAATAAAAATCAGCCATGATGTCACCATGAACCCATCTTGAACCCACCTCTGTCAAAAAGCATTACTCCCGCCCTCCCTCTGCCTGCCTCATTTTCTGTTCCACCTCTCCTTCCTTCACGCTCTGTTCCTGCCTCTCAGATACTTCACTGAGCTTCCATTCTTTTTCATATTTCCGTGTTCTTCAACATTTCCCCTCTCCCGTCCATGTCTGTGTTTTTTTTCTTCTCCCGCAGAAGAACACCAACATATTTTTTCCCCTCCTCGCGAGCATGGCCTAATTGAATCACCAAACTGCCATCTGCCAAAAGTGCCAGGATGTTCTGATTATCACAAACTTTGTTTAAGCTGTGGTTTTAGTAAAAAATAAAAAAAATGCTCAGATTGCATGCAGGGGAGCCAGAAAACTAAAAGAAAGAAGGGGGGGCAATGGGGGAGAATGCAAATGAAAGAGGGGAGAGGGAAAAAGAAAGAACTCTGGAGGAGAGGGGTGGTGGGGGCAGCAAGAAGGCAGCCAGAGAGCCACATATGGAAGTGATTCTGTAATTACTGCAAATCTATGAGCTCAAAAGGAAAGGTCTTCTTTTCCATGCCTCCTTCTCTGCACATAAAACTGCCCTTGTGAGAAAGCTGGGCACTAAATACTCGACAGAGAGAGACGGAAAAAAGACGTTTTTCTGTCTTTGCTCTAGCGTTTGACGAGTGGGGCTGTTGACAAATACATCCACAGCAGATGTTTAATATACTGAGCTTGAACGCAGTTGTGATTTTCCAGTCGGTAGGATAATTCCATAAAATCCACTACTGGAAAATGTTGTGCATTCTTTGCTCATTTGGTCTGCCCTCCTGAGCCAAATTCACTCACTTGGACAGTGATCTAAAACAGTCTGTGAGGCTTGGAGCGGACTGGAATAAATTGAATTCTCTCATCATCCCCACACTTAACTGGCATCATTCACATAAAGCACACATTCAACAGGGTGTGGGAGGGAGGGGGGGAGATGGAGGGGGGAGAGGGGGGGGGCGCCTGGGAGCTGGGTGACAGACAAACAGACGCAGAGTGATGAAGACTGTCTTTTTTAGCCTTGGGCGAAGCAGTGCTGTGCAGGTGCGTATGTTGGCAGCAACTTCTGTTCTGCTCAGTCCCCAAAAACACAGTTTATGCAGCCTGTAATTATCTAGTGCCCTGCCATAACGTGTTCTCCTGATGAGTGCGTGAGTAAGGCACAGTAAACACACGCCCGGGTTGACGCAGATCGAGCCGCGCTCATTCCTCAACACATCCAATTAATCACGACAGGAGATGATTTATGGAAAGTGCAAAATCCTACCTTCTCCGCCTAAAGGAGCGTATGCTTCGGCTCCAAAACGCGAGCACATTCTCCACACCAGAAGTTTAAACGTTGGAAGACACGCGTGCGAAAAAATCGAAGTTTGGAATGAGGGATCCAAAAAGGAAAAAGAAAAAAAAAGAACCCAAAAGTAACACGCAGTCTTCAGAGAAGTCTTCTCCGCTTTCGGTCAGCTTCATAGATCATTTTCAGTCATTTGTCAGGGTGCCTTTGTTTGTTCAACTCCTCACTTTGTCCCGGCAGCTCAGGGGCGTTTGTTGGAGCTGTTGCGCGTGTAGATTTCTGACACTACAGCCCCCTCTAGTGGCAGAAAAGAGGAGTGCACTCATTAACTAATGCACCATAGGGAAACAGCTTTTTTCTCTCTTTTTTTAGACCAAGAATGTATCTTCGTTTCATTGCTTCATGGTTAGAGTGATAGTCACATTGCTATCATGTTTGTATTCACACTAGGTTTGGGACAGGCAGGGCTGTTCATAGTTAATGGCAGTTATAACTGTATTTGGAGCAGGGTTTCTGCTCCCTCCTGCCTGCAAACTGCTGCAGTTGTGCGCAGCTCGGAGGAAAAACAGAGACGCAGTCCGGAGCAAAGGGAAAGAAAGAAGGGTACCTCAGGAAGGTTAACGCTCAAAATTGAAATAGCCATTATGTTCTTGTCACTGAAGCCAATGGTGACACGAACACAGTGTGACCATTTAAAAAAAAAAATGTACTGGTAGACTATGCTCACTTTTATTTTTAGATGGTGGATCATTACGACTCATAGTTGATGTTGTATTTGTTTGAAGATTTAGCTTTTATCTGTTTTATTTTCACCAAAGTGAAAGAGTATGTTTTTTAATTTGATATTTACGTCTCATATTGGTTAAGCTTGTTGATTTGTTTACAAAAACGTTTTATCTTGCAAGAAAATAATTACAGCATTGTAAATGATCTACATATTTAAATCAGTTATTTTATTACATTTGATTAGATTAGATAGGGGGGGAATGGATCCAGCTCCTCTGCAATCCTGAATTGGAATTAAAGGGTTATAGATAATTAATGAATTCATAAATACATCATACTTTCTAAAATCTGCGTACTTCTAGCCTAAAGTTTCTTTATTTATTCTGGCCTATGATATGCCACCATTTGCCACATGGGGGCGCTTTACACATCATACTGTGTTGCCTTGCGTGTTCAGAAATCCAGTTTATTGACGCCTATTTACTGTTCCAGCACGACACATGTTCACATGTCTGAGGATCCAGCTAGAATTCTCTGTTGACGGTCATATTTGCGTGTTTGTATTCGCCGTATTTCTAAATATTATGAAAAACGTGTTTCCTCCCTCTAACAGCAGGTTGCTGGTGAGTCATCACCTCGGTTGCGCATTTACTTGACCGTCTGCACATGGGCTTTAAACTTGGCACTCGCTCGCTGTTTGGCACGGCTCCGTGTTTACCGTCAGTTCTCTTGTCAGAGAGCGAGCAGTCACGGTGAGCCACGCCTATTGGCCACGTGCTCCCTCAGCCAATCTCCGCGGCCCTCCCCGCAGCACACGCTCCGTATTTTGCATAAAATGTGTATCAGTGGGACAGCGCTCCATCCGGCACATGCAGAGCGCACATGTAGCGTGGCCTCCACTGAACACGCACCACGGTCGAATAAGCGCATCAGACTCCCCTCAGCCCCCAGATCCCCGCCAGTGAGCCAATGAGAGCGCACAAAAGCGCAGAAAGGGGAGAGAGGTAGAGAAAAGGACTCCGCGAGACACGGAGAGTGAGCCAAAGCCCACACAAACAGACCCAAAGCCAGTTGGGTTGCGAGGGGAAAAAGGCGGTCACATTTCCTGCTCACCTGCAAACGTGATTGATGTGGGTGTGTGTATCAGTGGGTGTGTGTGTCAGGCCTGCCACTCTCACGCTGGTCACAGATATGCTGACTCCACTCTCCGAGAATTATTGAGAATCGTTTAATCTTCGCTCGTGCAGCGACACGCGCTTCCTAACCGTGAGGGGGCAGTTTCCTGAGCTCAGAAGGCAGTCAGGTATCTGTGAGGAGACCAGCCTGCAGTCTAACTCCACCACAGAGGAACTCGCGCATCCATCTCTCGCACTTTACCGAGGAGGACACAACTTTGCGCGCAACGGGACACATTTTCCTTGCTGCTTCCACTTTTCTTTTTTGTGCATTCTATGGAGCAGGTGCTACGCACAGAACTCTTTAATTTTATAGTCCTTCTTCAAAAGACTTTCGTTCAAGTTTAGTGACATTCCAAGTCCACTGCTGTCGACTTTCTTACGGTTGAAGCTTTCAAGACAAAGACTAGAGATGGACAACAGCCCCGGTGGTGGTAAGTTAACTTTTATATTATACCTGGCTTTTTTGTTTAGGTGGCAATGATTGTGACACAGGAATTCATGTTATTGGCGCTAATCATTTAAAACTTTATGACTTTCATTATTGCAAGAGCAAATATTGAATGAAAAATTAATGTATCTTAAATGAATGCAACGCGTAATAACTGAAAATATTATTTTTATCTATCATGAATGTATTGGAAGGTATTCTCAATGTTTCTATGTTATTCTCGATGATCATCAAATGTGTCAAAAACGCGCAAAGGCGAGGATTTCACGCATTTCTGAGCTTTAGTATTCTGCAGGCTTTCGCAGGTTGTGACGGTGTTAGTTTTTGCACCACATTTCTGTTTCGTCTTTGAATCACTTTATACTGTTGCTATGGCAAAGAAAAGGATGAATATTGCTAGACTGCGTTGCGTTCCAGCGTCAAAGCGCAGAGCACTGACTCAGAGCACCGCTCCTGGTTGCATTTTACTTGGCCACTTCCTGCTTTCCCGATGAAAACAAACTCACGTGGATCCACAGCAACCAGGCTGTCAGCGGTATTATAATCTGTCAGAGGCAGGGGTTCGTACTCATACTGGGTGGGACATAAAACATACTGCAAATGAAAGGGCGCGTGTTTGCAACGTCAAGGCCATCGCCCAAGCACCTGCACCATAAAAGTAGAAAACCGGAGAACTTCTATCCGTTAAGAGGTATTAGGCAGCGTTTTCCTCGAGGTCAGCCAAAGGTGCACATGCTCTTAGCTCCCCTCTAAATTGACAGTGAATCATTTACAACAACGACGGTCACGTTCCAGCGCAGGTGATGGGCTCTGGCAACAAGTTACTCCAAACATGGAGCAAAACTGAAACCGCTCCTTATTTATAAATATGTCTATACGAATAAGTGAAAAAGTATTTTTCGATAAACAAATCAGGAAATAAAATGCCTTATCATGGTATGTAGCTGTGTTGTTAAGGATTTTTAAGGAGTCATGTTGAGGATATTTAGTGTTGGTTTATTTGTAAAGGAGATAATTAAATAGCTTTAAGTTAGTATTTGCATTTTTCTTATTTAGATAATGTTTTTTCCCCAATGGCTGATATAAGATATGGTAGATCTAAGAGATATTTTTTCTTACTTTTAAATTTTAAGCTACAGACTTGTAAACGTTATATTTATGAGCTGAAAATACACGTTATAGCTTACTTTGATGAATCCATATTAGTAATTCAATAAAGGTCGTAATGACAACATATTAAACTGGCTACATGATAACAGTTACAACTACTGAACTTATTTATTTATGATCCCTATAATCTTTGCTATTAAAGTACACCAATCCTTAGCACATTGTAACCAGGGAAGCTACTGCTCAGTTTATTGCATTTGACCCAATTTTTGGACACACTGAAGTCGGTCAAGATAATGATCAAAAACGGACAAAAGCTAAGGAATGATCCACTTCACAAAGACAAACTCCATCCACTGTGGTTGCTCTCAGAATATCCTTAGTCACCCCCCTGGTGGAGGTTTCCTGTATGTTTTTGCTTAACTGACATTAACCAGTGGCACTTTCTCTCTTGCACGCTTTAGTAAAACTGCGTATCTGTTTTACGCATAGAATTCTGCACATAAACCGGGATTCACTAAATAAATAAATAAATAAATAAATAAAAACAGCATATAAAGACTGTGAGATTTCAATTGAATCCTGCCACACAACCCCCCCCCACCCTGACCGTGGGGATGTGTTGCTGGTGCACAGTCGGACCACCCCGCAGAATAACATGCTGCTCTATTAAATTTGGCTCTTTAATTATAAGCCCTTGGCGCACTTAGCTCTGGCTCCTGGCACAGCTTCGTGTCTTCCCAGTGAAAAGCCTCTGACTAAAGCCTCCTCACGTGGCTTCCCTCGCCAAGCCGCGTGCGACGCGTGAGACACGCAGGCCCTCCCCTCCCGCTGCTCCATCGCTCTCACGGACACTTCCGTGTTGATGCCGCCCGCGGGGCTGGAGAGGGAGAGTTTGGTCAGTGGGTCAGCGATTCCATGCGTTCACTCCCCTCCCCCCCCCCCCCCCCCCCCCCTCCTTCCACGGTCACGTTTCCCCGCCTCATGCAGTGTGTACTTACTGAAAGCATCCCCCCGCCCCCTTCTCGACTCACGGACACGCAGTGTGGCAGAGGATGATTCACTTTGGAAACTGCAACAACATCTGGCCCTATCGGGTCAGCGTACACACGCACACACACACATCCGCTTAGGTTGTGTTTCAGGGAGAACGTGACACAGAGGCATCTTCCTGCCACCGGCTAATCTCCCCCAAACGATCATGAAACCAACACGTTGACTCTAGATTTTCAGATCCTGTTGTGCTCCAGTGACACTGAGTTTTTTCTTCTTTTTTTTTGCAAACCACAACTGAGCCAACGTCAGTCTTAGCCACAGCCTACATAACCTGCCCGGGCCTAAACCCACAGCTCGGCCCTGTGAGGTTGCAGCCTCGGTGGTAATTGCCTGAGTTGTGCGATGGCACCAGTTTGAAGTGATGCTGGAGGCGCGCAGACACACTCCTATCAAGTTCCTGTGATATTGACCTACTTTACACAGGCCCGGGGTAATGAAGTCTACTGCGAACGCCCAAGTGTTCCGAACAGGCTCAGTGGCACAGACCAACTTTCTATTCGGTCAAACCCAGTGTGATTTTTTTATTTCGCAGCATAGCTCTGTTTTCACAAACAACGTTGAAATGTAAAAAAAAAAAAAAGTGAATAACCAGTGAAATGAGGGATAGAGAGAAAGGCAGATCCTGACTTTGGAGTTCTCTGCTCACGTTTGTCTGCCTGCCTCTCTTCCCAGGCAGATTAGTGCCTCCACAGAAGGCTAAACCTAAGATGGCTAGAGAGGTTTGATTGACTTCTCAATCAAAGCTGCCTGCTGTGACCTACATTGTAACTGTCCTGTTGTGCCTACTGCGAAAAGGTCCTTGGCAATCTGCTTTGACTGCATGGGTAATCCCACAGAACATGGAAATCTATACTATGATATAAAACCGACTTAGAATCTGGTTTGATATCAGGGGCCCAGTGGATCAGTCAGAGGCAGTATTTCCCACTGATTAGCCTGGTATTTTAAAAAGCTCTGAAATGAAAAGCATTTTGCAGCCTGCCTGGCCACTCCCTGCATGGGCACGTTAAAGGATTATCACTGTGTTGACAGCACGTTGGGCTCTGGGGGTCATTCACAAACACTAGGCCACTGTACATGTGAGTCTTCAGGTGGACATGCAATGTGTCTGGGTGGAGTGGGAGGTTGGACATTGACTGCCATATAAGCTCAGGAAGGGGTAAGGCGTAGGCCTCCGTCTGCTGGATCTGTCTGACATTGGCATGAGTCAACAAATCCACAAACACGTGCTGATGCGGGGATTATTAAAACATTTGTGAAAAAAGGACCATCCACAGGAAAAGGGGATTCATGTGGGAATTTGCAATAAGATAGAAATAACAAGTCACTTAAGGTTTTTTGACTTTGTATGTTTATCTTATTATTTTTAAAATACTTAACTGCATTCTAAAATGCAGTTTTTGTCTCTATAACTGAAGATTTTTTTTTATTTGTACGTGTTTTGTATTTGGCCACTGTTGGACTGGCGCCCTGACCACAGAAGCTGCTCGGACTTTGTGCCACTTTGCGCCGCGGGAGCTTCCCAGACGGCTTATGTTTATAAACATAGATCTGACTTCACATTGTTGTATTTGTCGACACGAGACTGTGGATTTGGTCGAGGGGCAGGAACCGTGTCAGGAGTCCGCGCATGTGAGGCAGCGGTCAGGTGTCGTGCTGTTAGCTGGCGCTGGGCACGGTGCCAGGGGAGCGAGGCTATTATTGGAGCAGAGGAGGCAGCAGACCCCGCAGACACGTGAGGTCGTGTCTCAACTCATCCACAACGCCTGACTAGCAGTGCGCGAAGAAGGAGAGAGAGAGAGAGAAAAAGAGAGAGAGGGTGGGAGAGAGAGTATGACACGGATGCAAAACGCCTGGGTGAAACTTACCGGCTCTGAATCTGGATTTTTGCGTGACGTGGGAACTACTGACAATGGTTCGCAGTTCCCTTGCATCCAGTAAAAGTGTGTGCGCTTCGTTGCCATGCAGCCGGCTGTATTTTTAGCGAGGACGCCATCCGCTGGGGCGCACCATTTCTCGCGTTACACCCAAGATGAGGCAACGATGCTGCAGAGACGCAAAGCATTTCTCCTTTAGCCAATCGTTGTGCAACGTTACATCACTCTCAGGAGTAACTGAATTATTCCTAAGAGATTTAGATCCGAATCTGCAATAACACAATATGAACAATTTCCCTTCTACATCCTGACATGAGGCTATAGGTATAGCATATAGAAATAATATCACATGAACAGATGGATAACACATATTCTCTGTCAGGATTCCAGCCAATTAAATGAGCATCTTAGATCTAATGCCCTCCATTCTTTCCCAACAGGTGGAGGAGTCATCCTGTATGCAGGGTCCTCTGGCAGTGCCAGCCCAAGCCCAGGCAGCCCCTCCAGTGGGTACCAGACCCAGTCCCCTTCCTCACACTCCCAGCCCTCCTCTCCAGAGGAGGTTACCTTTACAGAGATCGGGGCCCTAAAGCAGGGGAAGGCAGCTGGGTGCAGCACTCCATCCTCCAAACTGGTGTTCCAGTTTCCAGAGGTCTACAATGGCCCTTCGGCACCAGCGGCTACTTCTCAGCATTCCTTTGCTCATTCCATCACAGCCAAGAGGTCCTGTGGCTTCACTGGAACCTTTACCAGTAAGTCAAATCTCCCCTTTAATATTTGATATGTGTAGCTATTTTATCCCTTCATCTAAGCTTTTGCCCGTTATCTAATCTCTGCTTACTTTTTCTCGTAGAAACAGGTGGGATGGTCCTGCTTTGCAAGGTCTGCGGCGACATCGCCTCTGGCTTCCACTATGGCGTTCATGCATGTGAGGGCTGCAAGGTAACCCTCTAATGGAGAAAAAAACAAAAAAAACAACCTGTAAACTCTCATGACATCGTGTGGATTTTGGTGCACGGTGAAATCCGATGACATTGACATGCTTTTTGTGTGTCTCAGGGCTTCTTCCGCCGCAGCATCCAGCAGAACATCAACTACAAGATGTGTGTGAAGAACGAGAACTGTCTGATCATGCGTATGAACCGGAACCGGTGCCAGCACTGCCGCTTCAAGAAGTGCCTCTCCGTCGGCATGTCGAGAGATGGTGAGACATCCTGACATATTTCTTAATGAGAGACACCCACGCACAGCTCTGCCCCAAATGCCACAGTGTTCTGCTTAGCCGGAGCAGCAGGGAAAGGGACAGCTGGAGAGCAGCACTGTGCTGATATGTAGGTCTGTGTGAAAAATCTGATGCAGGGGGGGGGCTTTCCAGGTCATCATGCCAGTAGCTCAGTCACTCTTGCTATCTGCACCTGTGTTGCCCTCCTACTTTGTCTCTGCCCTGCCACATATACCCATCTCTCTCTCTATGCATCAGTCTCTCAAGTTTCTCAGTGTCTTTCTGCTGTCCTTCGCAGCATCCTCCCGCAACACTGTTACCTTTACGCTCCTGTTCGGTACAGCCCATCCCCCTTTGTGTACCCGGCATGTTCCCCCAGCTCTCTTACATCTTCCCCTCAGACAGTGATTTATGAGTAAAGGAGCCTTGAAGTCCCTTAAGCTATCTATCATCTGGAAAACTGCAGCAAACACAGGAATTATTTCTGGAAATTGGAACAGGGTCAACTCGATTGCCTTGTGTATGCACAAAGAACATCTTACTCCAGTCGTTAAGGGACGGAGCAACAATTAAGCAAAGGATGCAGAAACATTGCTGTGACAGACTTAATCAGGCATGATGCTCCTATCACCTGGTTTTAGCTCTGAAAGCTGAGACTTGATTGATCACCTATCATCTCGCATTTAAATGAACATTTGGTCTGACCTAGAAAAACAATACAGAATTGGCCCTATAGTGCACTCATACATCGTGACCTACTTGGTGTAGTTTGCGTGATTTCTCCCCCTCAGTATGGTTTCTGCTTATCTCTACCCTTCAGCACTCTGCATTGCCTAATCTAGTAAAGAGGTTAGTGTTATTTCTGCATGTGCTTTACACCTCTGGTGCAGAGAAAATAGGGTGGCAAAATGCAGCCCAATAAGAAGACAGTCAGGCCGACCCTCTCAGGGAGGTTTTTGAGAGTGTTGAGGACCACAACCTAGAAACCCCGTTTTGCTCCGTTTCAACCATTACAAAAACAGGAAAACCACATTTAACTGCCTCCACACCACAACAAACGGTGCACGCTGATTTTACAATAGGCAGCTGTGCAACTTGGGCAAATGTTAAATTGGCACACCTTTCTTTCCCCTAACCAGAGCATGGTTTGTAGAACAACATTTGCCTTTAGGGTGTGATCACGATACAAAGGGATTAATCTGATGCCACATGCAGCCTGATATTTGATATTCGTACCTATTCATACCTATTACAGCATCATCAAAAGGACCTTCCTTTGACCCAACACACTGTCAGCGCGTTTTTATGGATGCAATAACTATTACATACCATGAAAAATCAGACTTGCTTTACATGCAAAAAATATTTTAAGCTGCACCAGTCTAACTTTTTTCTCTTAACTCCGCCTTGTGGGTAAACCTGCAGCACACACAAAAAAGTATTTTTGTTACTTCAGAAGCTTAACACTGTCGTGCATTAACTTCCAACCTCACCCAGGCCGCATTTATTTTAATTTGTATTCAAGCATCTTTAGATCTAATTATTTACATGAGAAGGAATTGTTCTTAAAGGGGCGGCCGGTTCCCACAACAAGACTTAGTCTGAAGTCTCCCTGCAGAAGCACTAACACACACACACACACTACTGCTTTCCCGTTTTCATGTCAGCCCTTTCATCTTCTCATCACTGTCTCCGCCAGTCACTTCAAGCCCACCTTTCTCATCCCTCTACCTCTCTCAGTCTCACTGATGTGACACTCACGTTGCCCCACTGCCCTACTTACAATTGGAGGGAGGGAGCACAGGACTAGCGCTAGAGCAAGAAAGCAGGGATGGATAGAGGGAAGGATGTGGCAGATGGCGGCAGGGGGGCCATAAATAGCCTCTCCAGCTGATGGGTACTGTGAGAAGAGGAGTGGGGATGTGGGTGAGAGAAGAATTGGTTTCAATCTCTCACCTTGAATGTCTCCCCTTGAAATCCATTTTTGGATATGCACACTTTTAAATAAAAGGAATGAGTGTAACATCCTACTCTAGCAGTCTTGTGTTTCAAAAATAGCACTGCTCCATATAAACAATGCACCTGCTTCTTGTCATTGAAGTTCCTGCATTTTTGTGCTTGGGTGTAGCATCTTATTAGTTTGGGGATCTCAATGAGGTGTCTTTTGGAGAACTATCGTGAAAATGAAAAATAGGGAAATGAAAAGCAACGCACAGAACACGTCCAGAACAAGTGTTGTCACAGTGGCTGCCGGCTGAAATGTGCTCACCGCTTGTTTTTTTCTGCAGCTGTGCGTTTTGGCCGCATCCCCAAGAGAGAGAAGCAGCGACTTATGGATGAGATGCAGAGCTACATGAACAGCCTGAATGAGTCGGCTGCCATGGACATGGACTCTTCAGTGAGAGACAGTCCCATCAACACAGATGATTGCAACTCAAAAGAGGCCATCGGGGCCATTTCCAGAGCCTACCACGACATCTTCACCAGCGGCAGCAACAACGAAAGATCGTCCAGCAGGGCCAACGTTACCTCCAACAACAACACCTCTCCCTTCTCTGAGGATGGCAGTTTTCCTCAAGTTTCTTCTCAGCCCTCCCATGTCCAGAGTTATCAGTCTTGTCCTGTTGCCCCTGCTTCTAATGATAACCAAGCTACATTTCATAGTGTGGACAACAATCACTACTCGTATTTAGTATCGACAAATCAGAATCATAACCAGTCAAATGCCACGCCTCAAAGGAGCAGCTCTGCCAATCACAACAGTTTCCGCAACGGAGGAAGTCCCCAAAATCAGCCCACCTGCCCGTGGAAATTACCTCCAGGAGCTAAAGTCCTCGTAAGTAGAAGTAGCAATCGAAATAGAGTTAAGATTTGTGAATGTTACATTACTGAAACACAAATGGATGGTTCTGATGATGCTCTGTCTCTCTCTTAGGCCTGTCCGCTCAACGCATGCCCAGTTTCAGGGGCGGAACGCAAAAGTCAGGAAATCTGGGAGTCCTTCTCTCAGTGTTTCACCCCTGCTGTCAAGGAGGTGGTGGAGTTTGCCAAGGGGATCCCCGGATTTCAAGAACTAAGCCAGCAAGACCAGGTCATGCTGCTAAAATCAGGCACCTTCCAGGTAACATATGCTCAAATTCTTTATCTCTTCTTCATCAATACGATACACGTGTCCAATTCTTGATGGATCAAAGTGTGGCTATCTTAATTAAAATCTTTTTTCCATTTCTCATATGTTCAGGTTCTCATGGTGAGGTTTTGCACCTTGTTCAATGCTGAGCAGCGAACTGTGACCTTCCTGAATGGCCAAACGTACCCCCTGTCCACCTTGCGGGCTTTGGGCATGAGCTCTCTGCTGGATGCAATGTTTGAATTCAGTGAGAAGTTGGGCTCCCTTGGGTTGGAGCCTGATGAGATGGCCCTCTTCATGGCTGTGGTGCTGGTATCTGCAGGTGAGACACGCACAGATTCAGATTCTGCAGAGCAGTGAGAGTTTCTTTCATAAGCTGGTAGCATGCCAACTGTGTCCACCACTCACAGTGATTTCCTCCATGCTCCTCAGATCGTTCTGGCATATCAGACATGCAGGCCGTGGAGCAACTTCAGGAAGGACTCATTCGGGCCCTTCGGTCCCTGATCACTCGCCGTCGCCCAGACGACTCCAATCTCTTCCCCAAGCTGCTCCTGCGACTGCCGGACCTGCGGACCCTCAACAATATGCACTCTGACAAACTGTTGGCGTTTCGTATCGTCCCCTAAAAGGAGCAGCCAGTCGCGGAACATATATAATACTGTATACAAATATACAATTATGCACACACAAAGACTTTTTTCTTCCAGGACTTCCTTTAACATTTAGGAACAAAGAATTATGCAAGCTGAGGTATGTTTTTTAAAAGGTTATTGAGAGCAGTGAGCATACAAATACATACACACAAAGTCATGTACATACATAAGCCTTTACATCTCCTGAGAGATATTGTTTCAGCTTAGAAAATTAAGAAAAAAGCAAAAGTAGAATAACTATGACCATTTCTGACAGATCATCTTTTCATTTGCTCATTATATCCACTCTAATTAATGATTTAAGATGGTTAACTTCTGTGTATTCCTTCAGTTTATAACAGGCCATCACTAAGCAGCATCTCAAGAAAGGATATTGTAGATTAAAAAAGTTATTACTTAGGGACCATTGGTTATAATTGTATGAGTTTTTATGTAAAATAAAGGGAACTTGTAAATAATACATAATGAAACCTGAAGTATTAAGGCAATCGTGTTGTCACCTACATACCATCTGCATTCACTGGAAGGAGACCACTATTTAATGTGTCACTTGTACACAGTAGAATGTATTCTCTGTCTTGAATTTTTTTCTAATTCTCCGGGAACCATTTATATTATCGCCATTTAAGAGAAACATTTTGTTTGTGTCACTGTATTGCATCACATATGGACTCATGGAAATAACTCACGGACTTTGAGGTTCCTTTATGTATCATTGTTGCTGTATATATTATTTTACCCAAATGTCTATGTATTATTTGCAGAAAAGATTTGAAAAGATCAGAAATGCTGTAGTAGTGTGGAATGAATAAGAATGTATAGACCTTCTTGAACTAAGTGGGGGTCTGGCTATGCCAGGGGGGCTTTGTGAAGAATTTGTACGAGGGATTCCCAGACAGCTTAAACACATGGTTCTGCTATTAGATTATGTAACCAACCAGCATAAACCTCGAAATCACCAGCACCCACTCCACAAGCACGCTTCCTCTGCCCCAATGTTTGTCATACAAACACAAGAGATATTTTTGGGTGAGAGATCTAATTTGATTGGTTCTCTCACTGCTAGATTGTTTGATTACAGTTGATTGAGCACATCTTGTACATTTTGTAATTATTTTCTTCCTAAATAGAGATTATACAATGATATAAAGTTCAAATTATGCATTATTCTGATTTTGTGTCCTTCTTTGCGTCAAGCGGAATGCTAAAAAGAAAAGAAAATGAATGGTATGGCTCTCAAAAAGCCTATATGATTGAATTTAGATAAAGTGACATTTATTTTACTTTTGTTTATGTGATGAACATGAGTCCATAAACCTATATAAAGACATTTTTCTTCCAAATATAATAAACAACAATACATTATTTTATGATCCAACTAAAGACCAACATTTTAAAAGTTTAACTTTCTTTTCACTTTCATGATAAATCACATCTCCACTTGTAAAAATACTTTCCCTCAGTAACATTTAAAAATCAAGTAGCTTTTTAATCAATCAAGTGTATCTTGAAAGACCCATAAGAATTAGTAAACCCAGGATTTTTGTATCCGTTTATTTTTTAAAAATCATATCCCAGCATATGATGAAATTCTAATATTGATACAAACATACAGTTAATTTGAACAAGAAATAAGAGTGAGGGTACGAAGGGTCTGTGGATATTTTATTGGCCCAATTCATGATCTGGGAGGTTCTGGATGGGGGGGGGGGGGCGCAGTACCAAAGAACTTCACAGCAGATCTGATTTTTAGTTGCATCCCATCCTTGTCATTTTTGGTGGCAGATGGTGATGGACATGGTTAGGTCAGACAAGACTGTTACCATATAGAGACATCAGCATTTACCTGGGGAGGTTGAACTTCCTGTGCCTACTAAGACACAGGAAGGCCTTTATAGGCTACAGAAACTGTATCAATTTGTATTGGCATATACAGTATTTATTTACTTTGAGGAGTTGTTTGAAACTCTTCCATGTGAAAAATAGAATAATTTTCTTTGTCCATCAGCTGGGAGATTCGGAGGTTATTGTAGGCATTTACACACAAGCCTCTGTGCACTCTATTTGGCTTTAGAAACTTATTCCAAACAAAGTATTACTTGTTATGTGATAAATAAAAGTAATGCAAGGATGCCACCATCTGGCTGAATAGAAAAACAACCCGGATACCGGAAGTGAACAGTGTGTCTGCAATGAGTACATTTGCTAATACCGTCAACTGTCACTTTGTTGTTTAAAGGTATCACTTACTACAGTATATATATATATATATCATGGGACGGCGGTCAAACAAAAAGGTAAGATACTGCAAATTGTGTGATATTTCATGGAAAACAAATTAATGAAAAGTGGTTGAAAGTTAAACGAATTATAGAGTGTCTTTGCATAAAGTTAGCTTGCAGGCTAACGTTAGCTAATAACAATACGCCGTGTAACTTGGCGTGTACATTCCATTTCTCGGTCATGGAGGCCTTTATTCTGTTAAAACCAGCTGCTTCTAAGGAATATAACTTACTCGTAGCCACGTTATTGTTTGACGCACACAGCATTCAGAATACTTCCTTAGGCACACGACCTGTACTTGTCCACCTTGTCGTTTCACAGGTGCTGAGAACCAGAGAGACGCAAACTGGAAATACCTCCACACTTGAGCTTTGATCTTATGCGGGTGCAGTGAGCGCTACCATGTTGGTGACTTCGTATCTCGCCATAATCTTCCTGCTGGCCCTTTGTGCTGGCCTGGAGTTCACGGCTCGCCGCCTCACCCCCCCTCAGCCCGCTCCCACCGCTGTGGCCAACCCAGCTTTCCGCCGCTTCCAGACCATATTTCTCAGAGCGTACCTATTGGCCTTGTGGGCAGACTGGCTCCAGGGCCCTTACCTGTACAAACTCTACCGCCACTACAGCTTCCTGGAATCCCAAATAGCCATTTTATACGTGTGCGGCCTGGCCTCCTGTGTTCTGTTTGCTCCTTTTGCAGGCTGGCTCCATCAGGTCTTGGGCCGCAGACACACGTGTCTTCTCTTCTGTCTGTCCTACTCCGCCTGCTGTCTCACCAAGCTTTCCAGAGACTACTTTGTTTTGATTGTGGGCCGCATTCTGGGCGGTCTGTCAACGTCCCTGCTCGCCACCACGTTTGAAGCGTGGTACGTGCATCGACACGTAGACGTCCACGATTTCCCCAAGGAGTGGATTCCCAGCACTTTCACCAAGGCTGCCTCCTGGAACCATGCCCTTGCAGTGGGAGCGGGACTGGTGGCTAACCTGCTAGCCGAGTGGCTCCACCTCGGACCAGTAGCTCCCTTTCTGCTCGCTGTCCCCTGCCTGGGCTGCTGTGGCTGGGTGGTGCTGACGGACTGGGGTAAGGAGGAGGCCGAAGGAGGCCCAGAGGAAGACAAACACACTCTGCTCCTCGGTACTCCAAACGGAGGCATGGCTCGTTTGTCCGCCAAGGACCGGTTCTCGCGGAGCTGCCATGAGGGACTGCGCTGCCTGCTCTCAGACAGGAGAGTCCTCCTCTTGGGTGGAGTCCAGGCTCTATTTGAAAGTGTCCTCTACATTTTTGTTTTCTTGTGGACCCCGGTGTTGGACCCTCATGGGCCTCCATTGGGGATAGTCTTCTCTTGTTTGATGGCAGCCAGTATGGTTGGCTCCCTGCTGTATCGCTTAGCCACCTCCACACGCTATCACCTACAGCCGGGACATGTGCTCTGCCTGGCTGTGCTCATGGCCTTTTTTTCTTTTTTCATGCTAACTTTTTCCACCACGCCGGGCCAGCCCAGACCCCATGAATCCTTCCTGGCCTTCCTGCTGCTGGAGCTGGCCTGTGGTCTGTACTTCCCTGCGGTCAGCTTTCTGCAGGGCAGGGTGATCTCGGAGGAAAAGCGAGCCGGTGTGCTGGCATGGTTCCGGCTGCCCCTGAACCTGCTGGCCTGCCTTGGACTGCTGGCCCTCCACGGGGAGGTATCAGGAACAGGTGGCGGGGAGGGTGGCAGCGGCACCAGGCACATGTTTGGAGGCTGCGCCGTCATGATGCTGGCAGCTCTAATGGCCGTCATAAGTCTTTTCACCATGGGCAGAAACGACACCGACCTTAGGCTGGAAGGGAACAGGGGGGAGGGGGACCTGTAGTCCAGGCTAGGCGCAGATATCAGTTCAAGGTTGTCTCATTTAATGTGTTGATTTTGCCTGGCTGACCCTATAAAACTTGTAATTTACTGGAGTGAACTGCCAAATGAAGATAATCATCACCTACTGGTGGGAAGGGGAGGTTAGATTTAAATCCTTTTCACTTTATATATGTTCGGTTTGCTACTTCTTGGTTATTTATATGTGGGAGGTGGGTTTTTTTAATCAAGCCAGACAGTCAAAGGATGTTTTGGAAACATGACAAAGGAATTTTAGAAAAGCAAATTTTGTCCATTCCTGAAACATTCCATGAATCATTCTTCTTTATGTGTCACTGTGATCGCACATCCAGCTGCCCTTATATAACATTAAAGGGATGACAGTATATCAATATTCTCCACAGCAATCAGCAGTGCATATGTTTTTTTAAGCAAATGTGTTCCGACAGAGTTGAAAAGTTTTATAATTCTTTGAGACTTGAATGAAGCAAACATGTCTGAAGTTTCTTTGTTGTCCAGTCTCACACATTTTGTTTTCTTTATGTATTTTTGTAGAAAATCATTTGTTACTGAAGCACAGCTTTATTTTCAATGTTTTTTCTGTATCATGTACATGTATTTTATTTATGGTTTTGTTGACCTTTTCTCTCCTTTACACTTTCGAATAAAAGTGCACATGTCTGAGAGAAAAAAAGAACTGTTTGTCTTTTTTACCAGGATTTTTAATTGGTGGAATGTTTTTACATTGTTTTTTATTGGGTTAGAAGTTTTTTTCTAAATTCGGCAATATTAGAAAAAAACGAATCAGCCTTCATTTTTAAAGGGAAACAACCAAATAAATGTGGTCCTGCTGAATGTAGCTGCTCCTTTCTTATTTAATTCAAGGTTAACTTATTTTTATATAATCTGTTATGTGTATCCAATAAACGATTTGTTGGTGCCCAAAACAGGTCTGGATCACTGAAACAAAAATAAGACACATCTGTCAAACATCATATGACATAAGAATGTAAATACAGGTTAAGCCTTTCCCCACTTCCATCGCAGGCTGTATTTCTAGATTTCTCTGGACTTGTGTCCTCAGAACGAACGCATCGTGCGGGTTCTGGCTCCCCATTTGTGCCGGTGCTGTGGTACAGTCCCTGCTCCTCTATGGGGCCGCTTTATCTGGATGCTGCTAGAACATCCCTGCGTGGGTAAGGGGGGGGTGGGGGGGGGGGGGCATCTGCGCCAGTCGACACTGTCTGTTTGGAGATTACATCACTGCATCGTCAGAGCTGGTCGTTCAGTCTTACCGGGCGAGAAGAGCTCCATAAGTCCAAGATCCTTGCTCATTGCTGTCAGTCTTTGCCCAGACTTCTAAGAGTTTGCAACGCCAACGCGAGAGAGAGACAGCAGATCCCCATTGGCTGGTGCGCGCGCAGATAAAGACCATCTGCAGGACGACACATCGGCATCATGACACAGGGCAAGGTATGAGTTAGTTTGTTTTAAATTCTTTCGCTCGGGGATTCTGTGTTTTACTGGGAAAACAGTGAAAGTATTAACGCCAGGTTCATCATTGCATAAGAGGGTGTGATGGACGTGCCGAGTCCTTTTACTTTTGGCAAACGCGTAATATCCAAACGGCCATTTGGATAAGAAAGTTGCCACATCTTCTTATTCTCAGTTTAAGGCTAGCTGGTTTAGTTTTGTGCCGAACACAGGTAACCCCCTGATTATATGAATAAGCATCCGAAATGCCTTTAATTTCATGGGCTAATCTGTTTTTTTGGGCTCCAGAAGGTGATGAGTGAAATGCGTCAGAGGATGGGTCGTTTAACGCGCTGCGTCATCTGACACCCCTCTTCTTTTCGGAACCTTCCATTAAGCATGATGTGACCCTTTTTTCAGTTTGAGTCGCTCGAATGAATGAACGCAGTCAATATTCTAAAAACCAGGGAGGCTCTCGTTTTCATCTCTCATATATGACCCTTAACAGTGTCTTGTGTGTATGGATGACCATAGAGTATACACAGCATGGGACTTACTCTGGCCCATTTGACGTTTTTTGCCCTGTCAGTGGTGCAATTTTCAGCTATTTCAGTTTTTAAAGAATAAATCAATAAAAGTTGAATATGTTTCAATGGTTTGCATTTTAATTAAAATTAAAGTCCTTTCCATCAAAAGCTTCATGAAATAAATTTTAAGAACCCTAAAAGGTAAAAAAAAAATGTTTGTAGATTTAAAGGAAAAAATACTAATTAACTTAGACAAAGGGTCATTTTGATTTAGTGCAAGGTAATACAATAAAATGTAACAAAAGTTAGGCTAAAATGTAAAGATGCAGCAAGAGTAAAGATTTATATTGGTGCAATTACAAGTCATTGTTACAAAATCTACTTAATCTGTGGTTATAGGTGTTAAGCAATGGTGGATTAGCAGTTATTAAACACCTGCAAATGAGATAGGAAATCTCTTGTAATAGTGATTACTTCAATCCATTCTGGGAAGTATTTAATATATACAGAACTTTAGTTGTATTCTATTTTCTAGATTTTTCCCCTCAAGCATGAATTCACTCTCTTTTTCTCCTTTATGTTTTCATATTGAATCAGCTCTCACTTGCTAACAAAGCCACCAATGGATCCACTAGCGAACAGGCCTTGGTGGCACCGGCTCCCCCAACATATGAAGAAGCAACTGCAGGTATGACTGCATTTTTTAAATCTGTACTCAGTCACAAATTCAAACTGTTCTAATCTAAATCAAAAAAATGTGACAGTTATAGACATACATGTAATGACAAGGTTACATGCTGGTTATTATACACATAAAGAATTGCTGAATATGAATGTCTTTCAGGTATCAGTGCTTCTTGCTACAGTGATGCTGAGATGCTCACAGAATTCACCTGGGATGATCGCAACATCAGGAGAGTTTTCATTCGTAAGGTAAGGTGATCTCACATTATAATTAACTTCAATGTCTCACAAGTAGGCGCCAGTGCAGTAAGATGACCCCACCTGCTGTTTTTTTTTCAATCTGATTTGCTGTCTTATAGGTGTACGCCATTTTGATGGTCCAGCTTTTGGTCACATTTGCTATTGTGGCTCTTTTCACATTCTGGTAAGTGTTATAATCTTAATGGTTCCTCTTAATCTGATCAAACAAAGTGGCTTTAATTTCACTGAGTAGTGGTCTTATGAAAAAATGTGTATTGTAGTGACCCCGTGAAGGACTACATTCAGACCAACCCTGGATGGTATTGGGCCTCATAGTAAGTGACAAGTTTAATGAGAATTCCTTACAGCCTTTTGCTTGATGGAACTTCTCCCCAAATGGAAGTCTAATGCTGTTATTTTTCTTTCACAGTGCTGTATTCTTTGTCACGTATCTTACTCTGTCATGCTGCTCAGGACCAAGGTAAACACAGTTCTAAAGTTCATATCATTAAAAAAATGACCTCAAGTACTGCAATTGTAAAACAATGTCTCTTTCCTACAGGAGGCAGTTTCCATGGAATCTGATCCTACTCGCAATCTTTGTAAGTCCAAGGCTAACAATGGCTTTTCTTTTAGGAAATCTGACTTACAGTTCTCACAATTTTATTCTTTTTTAGATGAATATTATTTTCAAATGAACCTACAGAGAATTTTTTAATACCCAAAGAGACAGTTACAGATTAACAAGTGTTATTAATATGGAACTTTTAACATTGCGAGCCATTAACATGCCTACATTTTCACGTGTCCTTTCTGCTGTTACAGACCCTGTCCCTTTCCTACATGACAGGGATGTTGTCCAGGTATAATTCCATATTTTCTGCCTATTTTTATGTAGTTGCCTTGGTTCTCACTTGAATTGTTGTGGGTTGGAGGCCTTATTCAGGCAGTTCTTTTACAGTACGCAAATGGATTTTTGCGTTAGTTTAAATAGCCACTATTCAATTTGTTTGTGAAATAAGAGTAGCTGTGGTTCAGGGGTAAGAGAAAGTCAGTGGCTCCATCCCAGACGGCATGTCCAGGTGCTGTTGGGAAATCTATTGATCTCCCATCCTCAAACGACGTCTGGTGTTAAGCATCCTTTTTTCCCAGACCTGGATAAATACCAGGGTTGCATCAAAAAGGGTGCAAAATAAAACCTGATGATTTGCATATTTAACTTTCTCATAGAAACCCATCAAACTCACATGTGTGTGATTAGAGAAACACCTAAAATATATGACATTGTGTGTGTTTATTTCTTAACAGCTTCTACAACACCAAGTCAGTGGTGATGTGCCTGGGAATCACAGTAGCAGTCTGTCTCCTGGTCACGGTCTTCAGTTTCCAAACTAAGGTGTGAAAAATAAAATATTACCCTTACATGACTTCATTCTGCATTTGATACAGGCCTGTTTCGAGGTTCAAATGAATCAAGAATATGACTTTTTAATTTCATGTGCTCCTTCCATCCAGTTTGATGTCACTTCATGCCAAGGTGTGCTCTTCACCTTCTGCCTGGTAATGTTCATCTCTGGAGTGGTGCTGGCTATTGTCCTTCCTTTTCAATATGTAAGTATCATCAACCAAATCAGTGAGACACACGGTTTGTCTGGAAACTGAAATCATGTTTAAGATCATGAGACAATAAGCAATCGAAATGAAACTGAAGAATTAGAAAAAAAAGTGAAACAATACACATGGTAAAACATGGTATGAACTAGGGTTTGTTAATTAAAGAAGAAGAAAAGGTGACCTTCCTTAAAGTTCTTCTTTCTGCTGCAGAAGATATTTACGTGGAGCATCAGTCATAGACCTGTTCTCAGTCCTTACTTATTTGGTCAGGGCCTGTTGGTGTCAGATTTCGAGACACAAGGTATCTGTTCAGCAACATTTTCCATTCACAAGGTAGTGTGATACACTTCTACCTCACAGTCTGAAGCAGAAGCCATGACACTGAAATCAAACGCCACTGACATCACCACAGATGATACTGTCACACTGGCAGAGAAGTGACGGCACCCATTACATAAAGGAGAAGTCTAGAATGTACAAGTTCTATTTCAACACACAGGATTGTTTTAAGATGTCCTTTGATGAGGAAAGTTTAGTCTTCATGACAGTTATTTGTTCATTTGTTCCGTAGCCTTTTAAGGGTCACATAGAGGTACTGCATTTTTAATTTTGTTAAAACATTCTCTAGTGATAATTCAATTGAATCTTGACTTTCAAAGTGGATTAAAAAAAAAATTGTATCTCACTTTAACTCTAAGCTCACTACAGAGTACATCTCCGTCTGACTAAGTCTTTTTTCATTTTATTTTAGGTACCTTGGTTGGATGCCACCTATGCTGTTCTGGGAGCCATTCTTTTCACAATGGTAAGAATAAAGACAGAGTTAAGCCATTAATGATGGATCAAGTCACATTAAGTAGAGCACATTAAACATAATTGATTAGAATGACAGATATGTATAATTTCACTTCTTATTTTTGTTGCAGTTTTTGGCATTTGACACCCAGCTCCTCATGGGGAACAAGCGGTACACCATGAGTCCGGAGGAATATGTGTTTGCAACACTTAACATCTACCTTGATATTGTGTACATCTTCTCCTTCTTCCTCCAAATCTTTGGAACCAAACGAGAATAAACTGCATTCCCCCACCTGCAGACAAAAGCTGCTCCATTGTAGGAATTTAGGCAATCTGCAGGAGTGTTAAAACTCTGTTGGTTGTAGTGACAGTGCTTCCAATCAGTCATTTCAGCTTTATTTTCTGCCTGTTACATTTTGGGTACTGAATACTTTGTGAATTTCTTGAACAGCTAAACATGAAACCTTAGCCTCCACCTCCAGCATGTTTGTGAACCCTAATCCAAACCATGGGTTATCTTACTAGAATCATTAAAAAAAAAAAAATCTGATCCATGATCTCCATCCATTTGGTGTTGTTGAAATATTATGGGAGGATTTATATGCAGCTGTAATGGCACATATGTGTCAAAAGTTACTGCAGACAATAAATGTTAATGCTCTTAAGGGCATTTTAGATGTACAAATCAAGCATGACTCTTAGTCTTAACTTTGCCCAGTGCAGTCATTCCATGCAAATGCAACTTAGAAATTGGTGAGGTTGTAAATAATCTCTTGTGCTTTCTGACATATCCAATGTCGTCTATAAACTGTGAATCACAACACAGTCCTGAGCTGTAATCAACAGTTTAAGAGGAGGTGATGTATTCTGATTGACAATCTACAATGGTTTTTGTATTCAGTTTAGGATTGTGCTGCTCCTCTCTTCCTTGATATGTTTCACTTTGTAGTTGCTGTGTGTGTCAGTTGTTCAGCACACGTGTATGTATTGTAAATCTTTTGTTTTGAGATTGTTCACAGATGAATTTGACTTAGATTGATCCGAATGAGTTTTGCTTCTTTCAATCTGTAAATTTGGAGTTGAAGTGGTGAGAAGCAGTTAATATAAACATAACAGTGCCAAAAACTTTTGATAAGGTCTGCACTTGTGGAGGAACTTGAGTGGTATCATTTAATCAGATTTGAAGTTTATTTTTCTATGACAGAATGATATATTTCTGAAAGTGTATGATATAATATAGCAAGTTTGATGCCTGAATTAAATTTATAAGTATTTCAAAGTGACCTTTTTATTCCAGTTATTCTATTCTGTTTGTGAAGTTTATTGTTTTCAAAGGACAGCACAGTTCATCGTAGAATTAGTGTTACTGTATGAATTTATCAAAAGGTATGTACAAATATGGTCGCCCACTCTCTCTGAATAAATTAAGTGTGCTTTAATGTGTGTTAAATCACTGTTGAATATATTTACATTGTATCTCACACCCTAAGAATTGTTTTATGTGTTTACCTTTTAAAAATCATTTTAATAATTTCCATTCTGTTTAAAGTTAAGTTAAATTAAATTAAAAGCCCACAACTAAAAAATATAGGATGACAAATTTTCCGAAAAAAAATTCAACAATAAAATCGTTCAAATCTGTGGGCCAGGTGTAAACAAACAAAAAAAATAAATAAATGCGAACACCACGCGATTAAGATAGAACCCATGTTCACAGCCAAGTGTTTCGGAGTGTGACGTGACTTTAGTGTCATTCCTTTAACTGGATATCAACCAGTACATTTTGGCTACACTTAATTTTACAGGCTCGAGACATCCAATCAGAAGGTACGATGCAACGATGCGCAGATCAGCCATGTTGTGGTTTTGAATAAGGAAGAAGCGGGAGATGTTATTCTTTACAAGTTTATTTGATATTTACAGTCACATGAATGATATATAAATGACTTGGGGTGTGACTCAAAATGATAGCAAATTTTCCGACCGCGCTGGTGGCGACTTATCTAATTGCTGTTGGAATTTAATCATACTTCAATAAGTTAGCTGAATAGCTAACAGCGCTAGCTAGCGTGCTAGCTAGACAGAGCTAATACCAAGGTAACTAGCTAACTGATAGTTGTGTCGGTTGGAGATTAAAATGGTATTTGTGGAGTGTGTTAGCCTTTGAAGCAGCCTTAGCTAACCTACCTCTGTTGAATGAAGCACGTTAGCTTCATTTGGCTTGCCAGTTTCTGACAGTTGGACTTACAATAGCCATTGCGATTTATCTTTAAGTCAGTGGTGTCATTTCTGAAACTTTCGAGCCATGTTGAACAAGATCTACGAATGGATAGAAACAAGCTTTGGCAATCCTCGCAACGGGGAACCAGCTGCGGAGCACTTGCCTGGTCACCGAGCAACAAGAGATGGTCAAGCAAGAAGGAAAAGACCGATTGAATGGTATGAACCGTAACCGCTTTATTTTACAACCGCTGCATGTTTCCAAGTATTCCGGATTGAACTGACACATGGCTGTTGTGTTTATATGGATTAGTTTATTGTATTTCTGTTCGCGTTTGCTTATTTTCAGTGTGGTCAAAATAATTTATAAGCTAACATCCAAAATATACATGTTCTTTTCCTTAAGTTTGGAGGATGGCCATAAGGTGGAGCAAGATGCCTTAGTGATTAAGAAATCTCGAATGGGTAGGTGCACTTGAACTCGTGCAAACTGTGGGGGAATTAACCTTCATGAACCTCATAACAGTTATTAATTTAGATTGTGGCATGTCTACAGGAGATCTTATTGATTCAGTAAAAAGTGCAGCAGAAGGTGTAAAGAATCAGAGTACCAGTGTGGCTACATGGATGCGTAACAATGTGAGCCCAACTTGGAGAAATTTTCTGCCTACCTCCCCTGGTTCCCCTCCCGGGGAGTCCCAGCCCTCGACATCAACAGCTGTCTGGACAGGAGAGCCGGTAAGGCTTACATTAGGCCATTGAAGATGGACAGAAAATTATCATTGAATCATTAAAACCGAACTTAATGTTTATGTCTTTTAATTTTCATCTATGTGTGCTTTTTGTTGAAGATTGTTGACAGGAATTCTTTGAATGAGACATTTGCTGCCCCCTCAACAACTCTGGAGTGGAAAACAACCAAATCAGGTACATCTATCACATTAGGCACAGCACAGATGTTTGAATTCTCTTTTAAATCCATATACCTGTATAAACACATCAACTAGCTACATGTCGTTCTGATGAAGATGAATAAGGTATTGGTTGAAGTCACATTATGTCATCTTTATTCACCAACATCATTCGTTTTTCACAAAGTTGCCACAGTTAAGTGGTTGTCCTTTTTTTAAATGTTGAGTGAGTCTTATTTATGAAATGATTAACATTTATGTACAGGTAAAAATTGATATGAATTGATTATTTCACTGAGTACGTACATTATATGTATATAATGGTTTAAATCAGTATTTTATAGTGTTGAAGTAGAAGCTTTAGGTGTTTGCATTTGGAGGTTAATAATGTAAGGGCATACAGGCCTACAGCTTTGGAGAGAAACCATTGTTTTCCTTTATTATAAAAGTATTTTTGTTTGTTGTTTTCATTATTTCCCTCTAAAGAGTGGTTGCGTAATGAGAAGTCTGTAATGGGATCGAAAGTCTGCAGGCGACAGGTGTGTATGAGTGCCACACACCGTGAGGTGCCAAAAACAAACGGGCATTCAGTCACCGTGCCACCCTCCATCACCCCCAAACTGCAGCCCACCCCGCGGGTACGCAGGCCCCTGAACCGCCGACCACATGGGATTTCAAGGTACTTCTTGCATCTTATATTTGAACTGTTTACGATGATACAAAAAATGTGATGACCAAAATGTGTCTACAGTTTGCTTGGTGGAATGGGCACAACAAGCAGCTCCTGCACAAGCATGTATGAGAAGACCTTTCCCATCAAAGTGGTGCAGAGCCCCACACACAGCATCTTATCAAGCCGCTTAAACAAAACCATGCCACGCTGCACAGCACAGGAGGTAAGACAGGGGCACAGCAAGGCAGCCTGGGATTCCACTCTCTGATTGATACGCCTGCTTAATGTTGTCCTGCTGTTATGTTCATCAGTCTGTTCGTGAAGAGGAGAAAGAGATCTACAGGCAGCTTCTCACCATGGTTTCTGGTGGTCAGTCGTCTTTCCTTCACAACGGCAGCTCTCACACCATTGTGAGGTCACACAGAGATTTGTACGTATCTGACAAATACAGGATACTTAAAACCATTCAATATTCCAATTCTGTGGTATTAGTCAATAGACCCACTTCAGGGGGCAGATTTACTAGCTAATTATTTTCAAATGGTAAATAAAGGGCACTCTAATGGGCTCATATCTCAGTTTTCTTACACTGCCCAAAGACCCAGCTTGGTTAAACTGTATTTGCCGTTCTGTTTGCAGTTTGAACAGACACATGAAAACCATACCTGTAAAATGTTTTTCTTTGCTGTCTGTGTGCTTTTATTTCTCTGTGACTTATCTTAGTTTGGATCATTCCTAGCAGCTCATCGTCTTCTTCTCACTGTCTCCTCAGCACCAGCTTCCTCACCAGCCGGATTATACGACAAATCTCCTCACCAGCTGGTTCAGCAACAGGAGGAACCTCAGATGGACCCAGTAGCCCCCCCAGCCCCCGAGGGATATCAAGCCAATGCTCCAGCAACATCCCCAGCCCAGTTGGAGCCTCCAGCAAGTCAGGGATGGGGTCTCAAGACATAGACCTCAGCTCCAGGATTGCATCAGCTCTCACATCCGCTCCTTCCCCATCAGCTCTGCAGGATAACACCTCTCAGGACACACAGTCATCAAGTAAGAATTCAGCTTGGAAATTGAAGACAGTAGTAGTAACCACGGTTTCATCTCTTACATCATGGTTGGTTTAAATAACTTTTCTTTTCTTACAGTACATGATGGTGATTCTGTAATTCTTGTAAATGAGCAAAGAGGTAAAAAGCAAGACAGCTCGAGGTCAGTATATATTCTTTTTCTTCTCTTTATCTTCAAAATATAAATTTCTTGACTGTAGTGAGTTCTGGCCTTTTTAACGCAAGATTCATGGTATTTGATTTCACAAAATCTCTTCCCACTGTCAGAATTTTCCAAAAGTGTGTTAATAGATTTTTTGTTTTCTAAAGCTTTAGAGATTATCCTATGAAATGTTCTGTTTTTAAATTCATGTCTGTAAAATATATTTTCCCCTCCATACTGACAGCTGTTGCTTAAAGGTTTAAACAAACAAACAGTTTAAAAAATCTTCCTAACTCTGATAAAAACGGGATAGCAAATTTGACAAGAACAATTTGACATTGACATCTAAACATTTGGGACGTACTGGTTGTATAAGTAGGAAAGGGTTCTTAATGGGGACTTACACTCAGTTTCATGTGCATGAAAGACATGTTTTTCTGATTTCAGCGTACCATATTTCCAAGCCGAGCTATGGATCAAAGAATTGTAAGTACACTCTTTTAATCCAACACTATTGACTTTTCATCCATGTTTTACAGTAATATGGAAAAGAGAATGTTTTGTTTGCGTTCAGGACAAGTATGTATGACTCTCGAGCGAGAGAACGACGGAGACAGATAGAAGAACAGGAAGCGCTGGCCGCCCAGCTCCTGCGACAGGTGAGTGGTCACGGTTTTATGCTAACCATGGCCCCTTTCATCAGCATGCTAATGCCTGTCGTCTGTGCTCTTCAGCGCTTGTCTGAGGAGGGGCAGCATAGCTCAGATGTGGAGGTCCATGTTCGGGTTCCTCTGGAAAAGGAGGTCCCTTTGTCTCCTGTCACCGAGGGGACGAAGGTGTTGGAGGAGATACCAGAATTTCCTGAACTCACAGAGGTGTGCTCGCTTTGTCTTTATATTCTTGGCCGAGCAGGTCACAGTGGACAAAGGTAGTGGAGGATTTGTTGTGTTCCTTTTTACAGTCAAAGGTGGCTGGAGGTAGAGAACAGCTCAATGTGAAACCCTAAAGGCTGTGTGATACGCCTTTCTTGGTTTGTGTGATGATTCCCATCTTTTCACTGGTATGCTGTTTTGCTTTCCTCTTCAGGAAATGGATGCTGAGGTGAACAGGGCCCTGATGAGAGGGGGTAATCCTCATGAAGTCCTAAGTGAAGGTTTTGGTCTCAGCCTCACAAGAAAAGACCTGCAAACCCTCAGCAACCTCAACTGGCTCAATGATGAGGTAATAACACACAAGATTAAGAAAGCAAACCTCTCTTTTAAATCATCAGCATTGATCTTGAATGCATCATACTAGGTACCAGACCATTATCGTATTTTTTTTAATGTGACAACTGTTCCAGTTGAACCGTTCATTCAAATTCTCTCTTTTCATGTCTCAGGTCATAAACTTTTACATGAACCTGCTGGTTGAGCGCAGCAAGGAGCCCAGCCTGCCATCAGTCAACACCTTCAACACTTTTTTCTATCCTAAACTGCGCAGCAGTGGCTACTCTGCTGTCCGCCGCTGGACAAAGAAGACAGACGTCTTCGCTAAAGACATCCTTTTGGTTCCTGTTCACTTGGGGATGCACTGGTGCTTGTCTGTAAGTCAGAAAGGCCTCCGTTTAAACCTGGACCTGAGCTTGAGTTATGTAGATTCCTATTTCATTGTTCCTCTCTTCTTCACAGGTTGTTGATTTTCGCAAAAAGTCCATAAAGTACTTTGACTCTATGGGTGGGAATAACGACCAAGCATGCCAAATATTGTTGTAAGTTTCTGTTTAGTTTGTTTTAACGTGGAATACATTTGAACAGCTTTAGGAGCAACAGAAATGTTTAGATTGAATGTTGTTTTTTTTTGCAGTGACTACCTACAACAGGAAAGTAAGGACAAGAAGGGCAAAGCACTGGACACCTCGGGCTGGACTCTGCACAGCAAAAAGCCCAGTGTAAGTCCTGACCAGCCCCGGGGGCCACTGGAGGTGCTTTCTTTTGTTTGTCTGCGTCCAGCAGTATTTTGTTACACTGTTGCTTTTGGATGCTTCATAAAAGATAACAAAAATGTTTTGTCTCTGGAGAAGTCTGAGAAGTCTGGTGAAGATAAAGCCAATTGCTCAGAACTTTTCAACCTTTCGTTGTTGAATAGTTTTGAGCTCATTATTACAAACTGAGATGACATTATAAAATTGCACCTAACTGGGCTTGAAAGCTTCAATTCAATGTTCACCATTACACCGGAAAAACAAAGTTTAAGATATTTTGGATGAACGTGTTTCCCCCTCTTTCCCCTGTAGGAAATCCCTCAGCAGATGAATGGTAGCGACTGTGGAATGTTCACCTGCAAATATGCGGATTACATCACCAAAGACAGGCCAATCACGTTCACACAGGTAATGGCGGACGGCGCCGGTGTTTGTTCCGGAAAGCGTCGCAAGCGTTGGCTGTAAGTGCATAACCTCTCCTCTCTCCGACAGAAACACATGCCATATTTCAGAAGAAGGATGGTTTGGGAGATCGTCAACCACAAGCTGCTGTGATATGGGGATTGCGACTGAGGATTCGTAGATTCTTCTCAGAGCTACGATGGGTCTTCAGGAGGACACATGGACGCTGATCTTCCTTCTGGGAAAGACTCGCAGACCAGCTCCTCAGACCAGGAACCAGCTGCTCTTATCCTCAACGGTCATTTCTACCCACAGCAGGTGTTGTCTGATGGGGTGTTGCTGGAGCACAAATCACTGCCTCTAAGTCTTCTTTTCCACTTCTTTGATTTTTGTTTTGTTTTGTGGAGGAATGGATACCATTCTAGAAGTTGGAAGACTGCTTTTTTTTTGTATTGCCCAGGCAATACTGTTACAAAGTCACACTTATAGTGACCTACAAATCATACTCTGAGGTGTAATGTTTACTGTTTTTGTTGGCTAGTACTTCTGTAGTTGTGCTATGGTGCATTAAAAAAATTTACTTTGATAAAGCAAATCCTGCAGAACTGTTATTTTGGATTACATAAGCGTTTATAGCTCTGTGAACGAGACTTCTATTTAGTGTCTAATAAAGGGCTCTCAAAAACCAGCAGTGATAAATGACCTTAAAAAAATCTAAATAGTTTGTTATATTTCTGTTGGTCTCCTTTTGTATTTATCAGCTGCTGCAGGTGTATTGCACAGTATGAACATATCTTTTTTTTTTTTTTAATGCCATTGAAATGCACAAGAGACTTCAAATGGGACATCACCTCAGAGTGTGATTTAGGCTGAAAATAGAATGTTATCTTACTTCACTGACTCAACTGTAACCAAACAGTTACAGCCGAAAACAGCAGGGTAATAAGAGTTTTGCCATTTCCTTCTTATTCATATTCTTGATAAGATTGTAAATTGACCTTCAAAGTCTATTTTATGTATTTGAGATTTTTTTGTTCAACAGTAACTTTTGCAGCATATTCAGTATATTTTGAATTTTGTACATACTTAAAATAAATACAGCCTACAGTGTAATAAACCTCCTTTTTGTAAGTGCATTTCTGAGTATGGAAATGTTTGATATGAAGGTACCACTTTGATAAACTTGAGAGAACCTTATGTGTCTTGGCTTATTTTCAGTCTGTTATCTCACAGTATTTAACTATATACAATTCTTTGGGTAAAAAGAAATAAGCACAAACAACACTGGGGGGAAAATCCCAAAACATTTATTTAAAAAACAAACAAACAAAACAAACATATTTTTAAAATCAAACCGTGAAAGTTTTAAGCTGTTGGTATCTTTTAATGCTTCTTTTCCCATGAGAGACAAAAACCTGTTTCATGGCACAAACGATGATGAAGAGAGGCTGATGAAGAAAGCAAAACTGAGTGGACATTTTTTGACAAGAATTACAGGTTGACCAATGTGGAGTATTGAATGACCCTCAGCAAACAAACAGAAATCCACAATTAGCAGCAGGTTGTAATCTGACTTTTGCCACAGTCAATTCTTTTCTTTAATGATTTGGATGAAAACAATGGAGCAGAGCACATGGTTAAAACACATCTGCTTCGTGTGTAGTTTACCACAAAAACTTCAACATCTGCAGTGCATGGAAACAGTTCCAGTCAGCAACACTTCACAATCCCTTCCAGTGCACACTAAGGCATTTCTGTGAAGTAATATTCTAAATGGGAAGGGAACTGCTCGAATTTATCCGCAAGTAAACATCTTAACAAAAAGAAGTAGACTGAACCTCAACATAAAGGCTGAAACGGGATGGAATGCTGAGTCTTTGTTAAATTAAACCTGCCTTCTTATCCACAAAAAAACCCTGTCAGTGAAAAAAAAAAGATTTTCTTTATTAGTTTACACATTTCCTACAGTCATATTAACAGCCACATTTTGGTGTGACATAGTTCCCTTTTAATGCATACATTTTGCTTGTAATTTATGAACCAAAGATGCAAGTTTCTGGAAACAAAAACATCCATTTCTATGAAAGACAGAAGCCATGTCTGCTCTTAATGTAAAGCCACATTGTGAGGTGATCTATAGTCTTCGTAAGAAGTGTCTCTTGGATAGTGTACTATTGCATTTCTACAGACAATAAATTAATTGCATAGATCATCAGACCTTGGGTGTTTTCCAAACCTTGGACGGAAGTGTAAAAGGATGTGGACACAGTACCAGCTGTGAGCAGCCATGAGACGGACTGTAGTTGGTCGTTGCCTGTGAACCCTGTGCACAAACTGAATCTACATCGCTCTGGCAGAATGAGGTAAGTCAAGGTTTTGAGCATTTCTTTTCTACATTGATCCCAACTGCGGGGTTCAGCGATGTAACGATGCATCTGAACCTAACATACATATTGCATCCATGATCTGGAGTCATGTCTTTAAAGTGCCAACATTTTGTGACACAGACAGAATAGAACTGAAATGTCTTTAAAAAATATTAAAGCCTCTTTGACATCCACACCGAATCCAGAACAAGATAAGGATGCAAACATACAAATAATCACAATTCTTTTTTAAAGACAGAATAAAACAAACAAACAAACAAACAAGCCATCTATTGTCTATTTCTCGCTATTTGCAGAACACAACACACTATCAAAAATAAAATCAAAACCTCTTTGAAAAATAGGATCAATCTTAAAAGTATTTAACTGAAATTAGAAAAAAGAGAAACTTTTAAATAACAGATTTTTTTTTTTTAACTAAGGTGAGAGCCAAAAATGCAAAAGATGGTGCAAACGCACAGCAGTGGCCAGCTTAAAAGTTGCTAACTGACCAAAGTAATCAGCCTAAGTAGTGTTTTTACAGAGCCATGCTTTACCAGTTCATCACCATGCCTATTTAATAATATTTTCATACTTTAATTACAACATCAAATTCCTGCTTCAGAAAACACATTTTTTATGGGGTTCAGTGGAAATCCGACTCCCCCTCCGGCTGAACAGATACCGAAATAATGGGTATAACAGCTGTGAATAATCTGCAGTGTTCAGACAATCTGATCAAAAGTTTTCTCTAAACAATAAAAGCATTACTTTCGAAGACACTGAGGAAATCAGAGCAAAGCCTGAACAGATGCTTGTCTCTTATTCACAGGCCGCTCTGTGTGTGTTGATCCCTGTTTCGACACTTTGGATTCCATGAGGCGGAGCAGCTCAGAGTCATCTATCCATCTCAATTCTGTTAGTAAAACAGTGGCATGAAAAAGTTCAGGCATCAAAAGTTCTGTTACGCTGAACAGTCACGTGAGCAGAAGACGCATTAATCACCCCATTGCATAAAGTTAAAGATGAAACACTCCTTTCAGCATTTAAAGCAGCTTTAGGGTCGTCCTTTTTCTTAAATCTATGGACTGTGGCGCCCAGACTGTGACCACTCGTGTTGACAGTTCTGCTAAGTAAAGGGCAGAAATGAAAAGATGCAATTAAAAGTAAACCTGAATAAAAAAATGCGTCATCTTTGACATTATGAATATTGAAAATCTTTTCCGTGCTCACCACAGTGAGAGTGCTGACTGAACTTGTCCATGCCAGTGTCTCTGGAATACTTCAACTCTACTTATTTCTTTAAAATGAAGTCCTCCCTGTTAAATCTGTCATCTGGTTTCTAATCCTTTGATTGTCTGAAGCTTTGTCCGGACTGTCTGAACCATAATTCATGTGAGAGTCAAGTGCCAAAAAGAAGTGAAACCAACTCAGGAAATGTTTAATTCCTGGTTAGTCATCACCTCAAGACAATCCATGTCAACCCATATCCGTCTGTGTAACGAGTTATCAGCTGTCAGAGGGACCTCCGTCTTTTCAAATATTTGTAACAATCCATCCAATTTAGACATGACAAGATAGGAAAACATGGAAACGAAGAATTATGTACAAAGGCAGTTCATAGGGAAGTAAAATCGGCTATCTTACAAAAACAAAACATGACTCAAAATGAAAGAGAAAAATAAAAAGAGTTGAGATGGGTTTTTTTTCTTCCTGGTTTCGTTCTAGCTCCCTGGAGTGGAACTAGAAAAGCATATAAATGACGTTAAAACAACTTTTTAAACCTGTACTGTGTGTGGCGTTTCTCTTGACCGTTATCAAAATAGATGCTCCTTGCAGAGTTATTCCTGGTGTCCCTCTATCCTCCAGCTTTGCTTGTTTGGGGTAAAATAATTTGCTTTAAAATAGGAGTTTATAGAAAATATCTATTTTTTTTTGTCCTTTTGAAACAGTCTGTGCCCCGGCCACAGCCCGAGTGTCTGATCCACTGTGCTGCACTTCCACTCTCCAGAGGGCTCCAGAGGAAGATCTGACACAGACACCGTCCAATGAGAACCAATCACTGCTGCACAGCATTAGAAAAAATCTCAAAACTGAAAAAATAAAGCTAAACTGACCTCTTCACTTGTTATGCTGGTAGGAGTAGGTTGTGTGTTCTGTGGGCGTCTCTATGGCAATGGGCTGTTGAACGGCACTTTCCTGAGCAAGAGGCAGTCATCTTTAAATCCACGAAGCGTTGTTTATGTCATTGCGAAGCGTTATGCTAGAGGAAAACACAGCTTACCTCGACTGAGATGTTAGCTGCAGGCACTTGGGTGTAAGGGGGTATGTAGGTCCCCTGCATAGATGTGTTTGCAGGCATATACTGGAGGAGTACGGAAAACACGGGCCCCGTTAGAAATGACAGGCATACAGGAAAATGACTGTCTAACAAATCTGTAAAGAAAATGTCCAATTTCACCAGCCTTATTCAAATTACAAAGAGGGTGGAACTTTGAAAGAGACAAGCGCTGGAATCCTGAAACCTCTGGAAAACCAAAGCAGTAATGCTAGCATTTAGCGATGGCTAGCCCCGAGAGGGACAAAAAAAATCCAAAAGCATTCCGCATCATTTACTTCTCTCGTGTCCTGTCTCGAACAATCATAGCCGGATTTGAGAGATATGACAGCTTTTTGCTGAGTGTTTTGACTAACGCCAATGCTCAGAGCGAAAAATCCATCGTCTTGTACTTTTCAGCTTTTGCAGATAAATCTCTACGACGGCTGGACGCCCAACAGCCCAAAGCGGGCTACTTACTGTACCACTGCTGCCCATGGTCAGGTGGCTGAGCTGCTGTGTCAGGGGCCCCATCATGGAAGACGGCTGGATGGACATGGCGGGGTCCATTCCCGACGTCAGGACGGCGCCCTGGGAACAAACGCACAACGCAGATGCAGTGTGACGACAAAAACACGGTGGGCGAGAGAGAATCGGGGGAACAGGACAGCGGCGGAACGCTAACGAGGCTGCGCTGCCACGGTAGCGGGGGGGTAAGGCCAGCAGTGGGAAGACTGGAGACACTCACTGTGGGCGGCATTATATACGACTGGTGATGTATCCAGGACGGGTTGTGTACCTGCGGAACAGGAACACAGGACAAAATACATTTAGAGAAAAGAAATTTGCAAATTCACACCTTCAAAAGTCTGACGGTACAATCCTACCTGATAGGTCGACACAGGCGAATGCATGTATGGCGAAAGGGAAGCTGGTCCGATCATCCGATTGGGCGTCATGCTATACGGAGAAGAGTAGAACCTGGAAAGAGAAAGAAAGCTTTAGCTTTAAATTTGTAGACTGATTTTACCTTTGCTAGCTGTACAGGGACCTGATTACAGAGTAGTACTGACCCATTCTGTAAGGCTGTGGTAGGGTCATAGGTCAGGGTCATCCCTCCCTGAAGAAAACAGACACGGAGGCACGTCATCATAAAAGAGGAGCATTGCCGAGGTTATCAGGTATTAAAAAAGTCATAAATAAACTCACAGATTCCCCATCTCTCGCCCAAGGCCGGCCGTTCTGCAGATATTTTCCTTGGCTCTGACGTTTCTTCTGGCCTCCATCGGCAAATTTACACAGCAGGGGTTCTGACGGCACTGAACCAGGAGTTTTCAAGGTAAGAAAACACCATGAAAGATCATATTCAGTTTCAGAAATATAAACAACTTTATTTGAATTAGATCATTTTCTTAGGCTAGTTTGAAAAAAATAACATTTTTTAATCAGTTGAAATAGCTGTAAGACTCACCTGGAATCCCAGGAGGAGTTTTGATATATTTTCCATTGAAATGCTGGATAATGGCCTCACATTTCTCTGTTGACTCCATCCTAACAAAAATGGTTATCAGTTTTTTATTTTAGGCAAAATGTTTTGTTTTATTACAATTGTTAGCTACCACCAGAGGGCTCTCTTGCCCAAAGTAACATCCATAACTGAACTTACACTCCATATTTCAGGAAATCATCTTAATTTAGTCTAAGGGGGGTGCAAAACAAGAACATAAATCTAAAGCTCCTACCTGGCAAAGCCCACCCCTCTGCTGGTGCCGTTGGCGTCTCGGAGGATGCGGGTGGAAATAGCCTGACTGAAGGGCTTCAGCATGTTCTCCAACTCATGCTCATCCATGGACAGGGGAAGGTTGGAGATGTACAAGTTGGTGGGGTCCTGCTCCTGTTGCTGGCCAGGGAGATAAACGGGGGACGGGGGGTCAATGAATGAATATATAGAGGAGACAGAGCTCTTTTTGTATTTGTAAAAGAGATGATGGCGAATTAAGTCGACAGGGGGTGCGGGGGGGTCCTCAGGACACCACATTAGACAGAAGGTGCATATTTCAGCACTTTTATCACGTTATTACTATAAGGGCAGAAAGGAGGCTATTGTAAGAGACCAGCCGCCTAAAGAGCCTGAAAGGGCAAATTGAAGGTAATGCGATACCAAATCATAATTGCATGTCATGAGGCTCTTCATCCATGGATTGACTTAAATGTCATTACTGTGCTCCCACCGCCAAGAGACCACAGTTCATGTTTTTAAGACAAGAGACCTGTGGAGAACATCTGAGGCTCTGTGCAAACATCGTCCCACAAAATTAACTTTATCATCCCCTCCCATTGACCATGTAAATTACTCCTAAATTCAAGGTAACACTGAGTAAATCCTGACAGTAAACGCAAGCTCTGATTTTTAAAAATCAACTACACACACACATAACATTTATATATATATGTGTATATATATATATATATATATATATATATATATTATATATATATATATATATATATTATATATATACATATACATACATATACATACATACATACATACACAGCTCCTCCGGATCTGCTGATGAGAAACCTTGCTTGCTTTCTTCTTTCTAGTGGGCAAGTTTCTTCCCTCCCTATAGCCCTGCTCAAACAAGTTTAATTTGACCTACACTATCTTATAAGTCTGTATCACCCTCAAACCATAATGCATATTCATCATCGGTGATGTGATTAAAACCCTGTAAACGCGGCGCGAGTTCATTTCCATGCCATGAATAATGCATGTGCAATCGCTGCGACCTGTGATGAAGGTGATTTCTCTTTTACTTTCCTCCCTCTCATCCTCCTTCACACTAGTGAAAACTCGCGCCGAGGCCCTGAGAGCGAGCAGCAAGACTCCGACTGCGAGTGAGTCAGGAGTGAGTCAAAGTAAAATTCTGACGCAAACGCAAGCCCTGTTGTAAACCCCTGCTGTTGGGCCGAGCGAGATCAAGTTATTTTGTGAGCAAGAAGCCGTATGAATGTCAGTGATCCGGCTTAAAATGAGATCAGCTTTCCCCGGGGTGTTGACCGGGTGCGTGTCTGTGAGTGTGCGCCATAATCTGGCTGAGGCGAGGCTCCCGCGGTGCTCGTGCGATTGTCTTATGGGCCGTGTACATCTAGGCGTGTGTCGGCGGGGTGGTTGGCTGGGCACCCGTGCTCTGTTGACCGGGGAACTGCTCAGACACTGAGTCAGATACCACAGGGGAGAACAGACAACCTCTTTGTATACGGCAGCTCAGAAAGCAGGCCCTGGGGCATGCTCCCCAAACACGCCTCGTCACCGCGGACACACGTGTACCTGTGTGGATCTTGTTTGTGCAAAGGCATATTCTTTCGGTGCATCGATACTGCCAGGTCGGGCACACACCCAGACGGTGCACCGCAGAGCAAACCGGCTCCCACAAACCAAACAGACAACAAACAACACACCTAGCTGGCTTTCGGTACGTTCGCGAGCCAAGACTAAAATGCAGCAAACAAGTGTAAACTCCCTACTGGTGTCATTTAAATACTAACATTACACTATAAAAAGATCACAGTAACATATCAAATATGTTTCAAAAGGATGTCGAAACAACAGGCACTAAAAAGGTTTTAGTGCAACGATTCAAATAGGAATTCTTCCTAAATAGTGTATAGTTCTGGAATGGATGCCCCTCAAAAGCACTTAAAAAATCAAATACTATTTATAAAAACCAGAGATTTTTTAAATTCTGGCTGATCTGAATCGGTTGAGCTAAGTTTGTCCTCTTTGTTTGACTGTTTTGGCAGAGCTATCTGCACTCACAGGTGTCTTCTCTCCAGCACCATGTGTACTCAGGCAGCTTTATTTCATCAAACTCCCAGCTCCCTTCTTTGGAGTTGAATTCCTCTCTACTCCTGAACATCTCTGTGAAAAACACGCTGACACAATCTGAGCAAAACACATTTTGGTTTTGCTCCTAACAGAATGTGCTCGTTTTCACGCTGTCCGGAAAAGCTCTGTCTTTCGGCTCCATGCAAGAGTGCAAGGTTATTCATTTTCATACCGCCCATAGATATTGGCTCTATGACACATTTCCACACCGAGTCAGGTCCATCTGTTTTACGCAGCTAGACTGGATGAGCAGTGCACTCTCCATGATGGTATTTTAGGAAAGTGGCCACCTTGGCTCTGATTAATGGAGCAACAGTCACCTAATTAAAAGGATAAGGAACAAAGTTGACCCACCCGTAATTAACATGTAATTAACATTCTAGGTTCTTACCTTGGCCATCTGAGCCTGTACACCACCTGCCTTCAGTGCTGTCACTGCCTTCTGGGCTGAGCCGGGACTGTCGAAGTCGACAAAGCCATAACCTGGAGAGATTAAAACATACAACTTCTGACCATTACGTACAAAGCACACTGCAGGACTGAACTAAAAAAACAATAATACAAGTATTTGAATAAAAAGACACAAGCTCGTATTCAGGTTTTCAACTCAGCTTCTCTGAAAAGGCCAGATGAATATTATATAACACAGCCCATATTATCTCACGCAATATATACCAGTCAAGCCGGTAGAGTATGAGGTTAACTCCCAGGTGAATAGTTCATCTACAGTGTGCTGTGACCTGTTAACCTCTGAATTGATGCAATCTCACAAAACTGTGTATCAGTATGAGGGGCAGCTTCCATCCTGTTTATAATCTGCCATTAAGAGTTTAACGTCCTACATAATTTTCATGCAAACTTCAATTTCACAAAACATGGAAGAGAATTTGAACTGTGAAAAAAAAAGAATTCCTTTGTTAATTTCTTTGAACCTGTATTGGTCATCACCATGTTAAAAATAACTCAAAGATATTGTATTGGTTGAATACAAAGTTTGAATTTGTTTTTGCCTGCCAATTGTAATTCTTTGAATTACAATTTGAAAAAACAAGAATAATTACATGAGAAATTATACGTAGATACTGAAACTATTATCTCTGCCTTGATCAACAGCACCTTTACTTCCTCACCTTTACATTTGTTTGTTGTCTTGTCCAGGATGGCCTTGGTAGATACAATTTTCCCATACCTGCAAAAAGCAGTAAGGTTTAAACTTGTAGGAATCGTATTTGCATTTTGTACCAAGAGTGTTTAATTACTTGCACATATACCATTTCAACACGTTGCACGGCAACATGGTTTCTCTCTAAACTTAATGCACATGTAGGTTGTTATGACTAAATAATATCTCACCAAAAGCATTCGGTGAATTACACCATCTGATAATAAATTCCATGCAAAGAGAAAAAAACCTAAAGTGGGGGTGGGTAAATTAAATGAGCTATACCCTCTGGGTTGCTGCATGCTAGAAAAGACTACAGATTTTGTAGTTCTTCTCAATTCTTTCTGACGAACAATATTGACAATAAAATCCAAAATGATGTGACAGTTTGGTACAAATAAATAAATAAATAAATAATGCCCCCTGTTGCTTTTTAGACTGCCCCCAAGAGACGCTATCAGTACAGAAAATCTTGCATTATCTACTCGGCTGGATGGATGAAGATACTGCAGACAGTTGGGAGGGATAGTGCTTGACTTTGGCAAATGCTCTTGTGCAGCAGTATCTATCAGTTACCATCTCTCCAGGCATGTGCATGCAGTGTAATCTGATATGCCTCTCCTTGGCTGTCCTGTCCAATGTTGGCTCCCAGCCATGCTCTCATTCTACTAACCAGCTTCTCTGCCGGCAGTCTCAGAGTTACACTGGGTCTTAGTGCCCCCCCACACACACCGAAACTCAGATTGCACCACTACCTGTGAGCTGAACAACTCACTTTAAAAGTCATTTTATTTCATATGGACAGAGTGATGTCCAGCCACAATTAACCTGCCAGTTTATTTCTTTATTATTCATAACTGGACGTCTACTTGTATGTTTGCTTTCCTTTTACTGGACGAAGTGTGGAGTCTTTTGATAAAGAAGCTTGTTGTGTTCTACACGGGACCTTCTATTATGTGGTTCATTCTGGTTCTAAGGACTGACAGATATTCCAACGCTGTCTCTCTATTGCTGCACGCACACTTCAAAAGTGGAGGGGAAACAAAAAAAAAACACCTGCCACCACAACTGACATTCAAGCTCAGAGGTCTGCTGTCCGCCTACTTGCTGCCAAGTGAGTTTCACTCAGGGATCTCTGAGTCTTCAGGATGCCGAGCAAAAAAAAGAAAAAGGGGGATAGAAACGCAGCCATGTGTGAGACCAGCCCGGCTTACAGAGTCCCATCCAGCGCCCATCCACTGCCGAGCATCAGAGCTGAGGGCGAGACCCGGAGAGGCAGCCGAGCAGCCAGAGAGAAAGCTGCAGCGGCCGGAGATGGAGAACCAACCCCCATCCCCTACTCTCATCCCTCACTCTGAGCACAGTCAATCTGAGCGCTTGCATACAATAACTCTAAGTGTGGGGGAGGGGAGCCGTGGGAGGGCCGTCCCAGCGGTGTGGACTCATTTACTGTACAAGCTCGAGTTTTAAAAGTCCCATTCCGTCCAGAAATTGTCTGCCTGTTGCTCAGTATCTTAAGCTAAGTCGCTATGCAAATCATTTTGCCCAAATATCCTCAGTCTAAAACTAAAGAGAGCCTTGTCGGTGAAAAGCGTGGAATTTTCCCTGCTGAACAGCTAATTCTATGCAGCGGTTTTATCAGCTCTCTAAAGGCAGAAATATGAGAACTTCCCCCATAGAACACCTCTCGATACACAAACCCTGAAATCCGTTTACTCCTCCCCCTCTGGTTCACTACATCCTCGCCCAGCTCCCCCCGCCACGCCGTTGCCCTTGTTTGTCTTTCCCTTTCCCCTGGGCTCGCCGTTTCCTGTAGGGTTGGGCAGCCTCATGTGAGCCATATCTTCCAGACAGCTGTAAAATAGCGGGCCTCACCCTCCCGCTCTCCCTCATTCAGTCTTTCTAACCCCCTTTTCCCTCCTTTTCTCTCACTCCTCTCCTCTGCTCCTCTGGTTCTCATCACCGGGCTCCAGAATTCAATTATGTAAAAGCGGATCATTCATCTCAGCCCTCAGTGTTTTGATGTCTTTCACTGAAGGCCTAACAAACATATCAGATGGCTCGGATGAATGTGTTTTTTTATGTCTACATGCTGACCACACCAGATTTTTTCATGAAGCACAATCACATTTATAGGGCAGAATACGACTTTGAATTTGGACGAAAGGCTCCGATTGCCGTCACACTGAATTATGAAAATGGCGGATGAATAAATAGTGTAGGTTAAACGCATAAAGCGGACGTGACAGAGAGGAGGATCTAATGTGAGCGAGTTAGACTAAACATTCCATATCTAGTTGTTGGAAAGTCTGCGCTCAGCTGTGTCAAACTGAGAGCTCTTAGTTTAGAGCCAGGTGACTGTTGGTTTTTCCATCTGTCTGAGAAAAAATGGATGAAAATACGACTCTCTTTTACTTTACAGGAAAAACCTAATGTGGTACGCTTAAGCGTTCACCAGCATTTCAAGTTGAAGGAAACCATCCATCTGCTGTATTTGCCCACGCTGACATGCAAACCGCTCGGCCCTTCAACCGGCCAGCCATCACTCAGAGCTCTGGTAATCCACCCTGCTCCTCTAACTAGGAGCATGCTCACGGCGGACGACCAGAAAGAAGATTTACTGGGTGTGTAGGAAGACCGTGAGGCAATTGGTTTTTCCTTGGACTTACGGCTGACAGAGTTTGACCAGATCCTGGTCTGTGGTTCCCGGGTGGAGGCCGCGGATGTAGAGGTTGGTTTTGCTGAGCTGCTCTCCCCCCCCCGCCGCCGCCGCTGCCGTTGCTGACGGTGGTTGCGTTGCTGTTGTTGTTGTTGCTGCCGGGGCTTGGGGGAGCCATCTGATAGTTGGAGGGGGACACATATGTCTGCTGCAACGCAAACAGTACGAAAAATAAATGACAAAAGAACCCCTTTCGAAATGCACACAGCGTAGATACCAGAGTAGGTGTACACAACCGGATGGGCTAAATGATGGGTTGTGTATCCGGATACGAGTAGCAGACGCGCTGATGGGGCCGTGGGCTTGGAGCCAGCGTATCGATGTAAATGTATTGCTTTATCTGACAAGTTTAGTCCAGATGATAGGCCATGAAAAAGATACACCAAAAGCAATAGAGTGGTTGAGATACCACGGAGTACTTTGCCTGGAGGTCAAGGAATGCTGCCCCCAGCAAGTCAACGTTCATTGTGCGCTAAAATAAAGGTCTGAAATGTTTCAAACAGATGTTCCTCTACATCAGGAAGATCAAGCCAAACAGTATATCAAGAAGTAACTGTTAGGAAGCATTTTAGTATTAAAATAATTAACAGGTTTATGTAGGAATAGGCATATTTCCAGGAATGTTTTTCATAAATCTTCTCATCAAATTTATTTATATATCATCAGTTATTGTGTTTATTCTGGCCAACTTTTGTATGAGGAATTACTTCAGTCAGATGCTTCTAGTAAATATGTAGCATACAGACCATCAATAAATGTGAAGCGTTTAAAAACAGAAACACAAATTGAGTTGCTCAAACAAAATTCCATTCATCACTGTTCTACAGGAAGACACATATTTCATAAATGCTGAACAAATGAAATCAGTAATCAGTAAACGTCAGCTGCTCGGCCTCGTTGCTGCATCTGTCTCTACGCTGCCAGGCAGGAACTATTTGATTCACTCGGGTCAGGAGGTCAGACCACGGGGAACAATGGCAGGGCTTGTAGCTGAAAGTAATTCCGCCAAATTTGGTTGGAATCCATTAGGAGGTTAAACGAGGGATGGGATTGCCAATGCGGCAGTGAGTATTAGTGCCATTTATCATGAAACCAGGTGGCACTGAAATCTGAATTAAGCGATTTCCAATGACTTAGAAATTAGTCCACGTTCGCCTTGGAGTCAGTGTCAAGCTCCAATGCTCCAATAATCTTTTTTGAACTTGAATCGCATTTTCATTTTTTCGACTCAATAGATTTCCTGGAAGAAAATCAATATTTTGAAAGATGTCAATGTTAATATTTAAACTGTCTTTGACATTAAGTTGATTTTTGGTGAAATCGGACCTAAAACATTTTGTTTATGTCATGTATATTTAAAAAGTAATACTGACTGTATGACAGTCATCAGGGATAAGGTCACTGGAAAATATAAATGCAATTTTCCCCAAGTACAATTTTTTTTTAATTTTATGTCTTAATCCCAAGACATAAAAGTGTGTTATGACCTAAAGGGCTGTCCCTCCCTCCTGATTTGCTGCACAGTGTAACTGCTGGCTCCCTTCAATTGGAGGCAAAGAGTGAATTGAGTGGCAGCATCCTTGATTCTATCCTGGGCTCATTTGCAGCCAGCTGCCTTACGTTTTCCAAACTGACGGCGGATCAGCCTTCAAAACCTGAAAGCTGTGTTTTTTTTTTAGTCAAGCTGAGAAAATCACAGTGACTCACAGAACCCATTCATCTTGGTCTGCCTCTTTAATATCCCTCTCCTCTTCGGCGTCAACAGTACGCTGTTTGTTTTTCCACGTTCGCAGCCTCCTGCCTTCGCTAGAGGCGGCCTGCCTCGGCTTCCAGGAGGGATGCACCTGCAGAGGCTCGGAGGCGTAGGATCTGACGAGAGACCGAGCCCGGGCCTGAGCCTTGCCACTGAGGCCTGTCTAATTGGGATCTGAGCTTGTTAGCGGAAAGTGCTAATCCCTCTCATGTGCTTTCCAGTCAGAAGGCAGTGTCTCATTAGAAGCGCTCTGCTAGTCTTCATCTGAGAAGAAGATGGCAGGGAGTCGACTCTGCACCTCACCGAACCCGGCTCGAGGTCTTTTTTTTTACATCCATGTACGGTAAAGTCCAGTGTAATGGTGCAATCACGTGCAAACAAGCATGCGGATGAACACAAATGCAGTTAAGATGGGAAGGTCAGAGATTGTAAGATGTCTGGAGTCCTGAGCGTGCACCACTGGGAATCACAGATCTAATTTTACCGCCTCCAAGGCTACGTGTCCTCTCAGTTTCGTCTGTACACAAAACGTGACCTCCCAGCAACCAGCACGCCGGGCATTTCCATCCTGCTCACGACTTCCCGCTTCAGAAATCTGCTCACACTTCTAAGAGTGTAATCTCTCAGCGTTCTTTACATTCCAATGCAAATAGCAGTGTTTCTGTCCTTGAGGTGGACGAGGGGATGTAACCCCGAAAGTGCTCTGTTTATGTTTCTGGTTCTTTACATTTCATGACATCCATGACGACGGACATGTCTATGGGTATGGGTTTGGCTCACTTAGAAGTTATACACAAATATCGGAGAGAACATGAAAATTCTTTGTTTTCTTCACCATCTAACAGCACCTGGAATTTCTGCGACGAAAATCTGGAAAGTAAACAGTCTTCACATCACTGCTGTGATCGGATGTTGCTGTTTTCACCTTAGAAAGATGAATCAGTTTCTTTGCATTATTTCTTTAGTTTTGCGTTTCGCGTTAGTAGAATAGGTGGCCTGCGACATGGTGCAGAGGATGGGAATGTGCTCCAGGCAGCAGCAGAAGACTGATGAGGTGATTACAGATAGAGAGAACAAGGGTGATGCCTAGAGGGAATGCAGGTAACCCCGGGACTTTTTAAGCTGAACGGGATGAGGGAGGCAGGATGCACGCCTTTAACTTTTACAGTAATAACAAGGCATTGTTGTCCCCCGTGTGAGTGCTGGATCTGCCCAACGTCACAAATGTTTGATCAGCTGATACAATACAATAGGCTGTCATGACTATTACATCATTTCATTCAATTCTACAGGCACAATATAACATTATTATCCATAAAAATAAGTTGAAAAGCGATTCTATATCTTCTGTTTTAATGTCCTTTTGACCTATCATTATTCTAAACATATATTAAAATAAAATCTACAAATTAGTTATACATAAAATAGAATTTTTTACTTGGTGAAGCAGTATTGGTAGTCTACAACGAATAATTAAAAACAAATACGCAACCCTACCTGTTTAGTTAATGGCACTGTGGAAAAGATCATAATATCAAAAATGCAATCTCTTAATATCAAAAGCTCTGTAGCAGCTGGATAAAAAAAAGAGGACAAGAAAAGCAGTGCAAGCTGGGAAGAACAAAAATAAAAGTTGCTGTAAACCCGCGGCTTCTCGTGGTTCACAGGTGAGACCTCCCTGCTCGTCTTCTCCTCTCCTGACTCAGTCCGCTTTCATGTTAACGCAGAAATGCTCTGTTTTCAGACCAAATCAAGGTATGTGAAACATGCAGGGAGGAGGGAAAAAAGGCAGGGAGTTAATGGAAAGCAGGAGGGGAAAAAAGGGTGGGTGTCCCTCCTAATCCTTTTCTTCTCTCCGCCCTTTTTTTCGTAGTAAATGACACAGAACAGAGGTTACCACTTGAGGCTGGATTTACAAGTCTCCCCTCTGTGTGACTTTGGCGCTCTGACAATGTCTGATGTGTAAAGAAAAAAAGTGTGTGTGTGTGTCTTTTCTTTCAAAGATAGAAATAAATAAAAGAAAAACAAGTTTGAGTTTGAAGAGCCCCTGTTGAAATGAACATATTGTCTGAATCCAGGATTCCGGGAATTCCGGGTCATTAATCTGAGCAATCTGAATTCTTTCCAGCTGTGAGGCAGGGAAGGGAATGACACAGCCTAGGAAGGTTGTGTTTGATTCCAGCTGTTATGGAAGTTCCTCTCATCAATATGAAATCCCATTTAAAAGACATTTCTGGATGAAATCTCACTAGTAAACAACCAACCCGGACGTCTGTTTGCGCTTCTGTAAAATACAATCTTTGTGTAAAGCCTATATAGTCTGCACAATGCAAGGGACTGGAAATAGAAAACAATTTGATCCGATGAATTATTCATGTCAGCGAGCAAGCCAATCGATATCACACCATATAGGGATCCAGTTTTGATCCATTGTGGGGCCCATTCTACAGGTAATCTGCCCGATCTAATATGGTGGCAAAAATTTTTTAAAAACAGGTCTAAAACCGGGGTTACTACGGACTTACGGCACCAGCTCTGTAACTTTCCTGGTCCTTATGAACGCAGACCCTCTCTAATCATTACTGAAGGGGTGGGGCGTAATACTGCGCGTAATAGAGACAGAAACTTTGCTAACTTGCGCTCAATTCCGTCAAATATCAACTAAGTACGTGCGCAATTTCAACCATTTCTCAATAAAGACGCAGAAAACGAGCCCCGGTCCGCCTGTTGTGGCCAACTGCGCGCCTCCGGAACACAAGTGTGAGCCGTTCAGCCGCAAATAGGAAGAGAGCAGGGACCGTGTCGGAACAAACGAAAGCAAACTGAACAAGTCACAATTCACGAGCAGCCGTGCAAAAGAGGGGCCCCGTTTTTCCTTTTCCTTTTTCTTTTTTTAGTTTGTAACAGTGAAACAAAACAAACAAAAAAAGCAAACGTAGCCACGGCCGCGGAGAGAGAGTTTAAAACGTCGCCTGTGATCCACTTTCAAGGACACTGCAGCTTAAAGCGCCGAGCAGCTTTTAACGCGAGAGGCAGAGCCCGGACGACGCCGCAAACCGCCTAAACGAGTTGAATTTTGACGGGGCTTGGAAGTGGCCGTTGCGTCATGGCTCACCTTCTTGTTGCTTTTGCCGGCGTAGCCGTTGTACGGGTTGATTCCTGTCCTCGGCGGCACAGAGAGCAGCATTTTTACGCGGCGCCGTGTCCAGAGGAGCGGAGAGTCAGCTGACGTCAGGCAGGGGGAAATTCAGCCAAGAGCAGCAGCGGTGGGGACTGGAGTCGCTCTCCTCAGCACTCTGATGGAGTCCACTCTCTGCATGCCTCAGTGTTAGGTCTGCTCCCAGCCCGGAGAGGCAAACGCAGACTCAGGTCTCCCGACGTGACAAAAAAAAAAAGCTTTCACTTTATGTGCCAGTGCCCCCACGTTTGTGTCACTGATCCAATAACGTTTAGGGACATGTTTGCAATCGTTTCCTGCTCACAAAATAGAGATCAGCAAATAAAACTATGATTAAATTTTTTTAAAGACTCTAAAAGAGAGATTGAATGGAAATAACTCAAAGTCAGAGCTGAAACCTTCCGCTCTTTTGGGCTCAAGGCAGATGTGCTCTCTCTGGATTACCGTCTATATCTTGGCGTGAAGTTTGGGAGATGTTGTTGGCCACCGGCAGCTTAACAAGTCCAGCAAACTGAAACAGCTTTCAGGACCTCTGTGGAGGTGGGCCAGCTCGTGCTCATCATGGTCTCCGGATTTGCAAAGATCTCGAAAGTCTGAATTTGGTCTGATTTGGGTTAAGTAACGAACCAGTGAGCTGGGGTTGAAGGGTCTCTCAGTGTTGATCTGAAATAAACAAGATGCACTTTCTGTCCGGTGTAACAGTCGGCACTGGTCTGGGGGTCACACACACCACGCACGCCCATTAGTTATAGGCCACTGTGAGGTTCAACGATTTTGACCACCTGTGGTGCTTAACTCCTGCAATGTAGTCCAGATTGAGTCTATCCCATTCATCAGAATACAGATGAAAATGGAAAACTAACCCAATCCTCTAGCTAGCCGAGCAGGAAAAGCAAAACCCTGTATATTAAGGTGTTTTGATAGACATATCCCAATAAGACCATTGGGATAACTTCAGTCTTTGAAAATCATACCCAATGACCAAAAAACAATCAAAACAAAAATGACAAGTAACTAAACGATAAACTCTACAGTTAAACCAGGAATCGCTCATTTAAAAAGGTCCTCACATTAGTAAAAAAAAAACAATGATTTCCTCAGAATATTCCATCAGATGTCTTTTGTAATGACTACAGTAGGTTAGCAGAAGCTGTAACAAATTCTTCACACAGTGATTTTGAAATATAGCTAGCCATCCTCAGTTGGAAAGAAAATAAACTTTCATATTGTTTTAAAAGCTATAATAGACAATGGAAGTTGCAAGAAAGTGCACGTCCTGCTTCTTCTGCACACACCGTGAGTCATCTGTGTGCTGAGTCAGGACTGATGCTGCGAATAGCCACTGAAAGTCTGAAAATGAGGACATGGCGTTCCCATGTTTAACTTGTAAGCTGTGTGTGGTGCAGGACAGCCGTGGCCAGTGTCCACTGCATCCGTCCTCTGAAATCCCCTTTTCTGTGAAACTGCTCAGTGTCGGGCACGACACGAAAGCACGTGTTGGAGTGAGAAATCGTGCTGTGAGAGATCAGTCAACACATTTGAATTAAAAATACAGAGAAAAAAGAAGAAAAATAGAGGTACATGGGTTAATTGTGTATCCCACTCCCTACACTTACACTGAAAGGTCAGAGTGATATTAACTGATAATTGATGTGGGTTAACTGAGAACTGTTGATTTTCAGTTAGCATGTTTTCTATCGTGCAAGTTCTTTTGATCGAGTTAAGAATTTGTATGGACGTATCTGTGTCCGAGGAGCTGATTCATAATTTAAATAAAACTGTTGCATCAATCAAAAGTCCTGCCTTTTGACGGCCCTTGTCCTATGAATACTATATTTGTGTCTGTAGGAGTTGCTTGGTAACTAAATCCCCTCCCGCTTTCAGCCTTGACCTGCATCCTCACTGATTAGTGTGTGGAATACATATGCAGTTGTTCATTCATTCATAAAGTGTATTCATTCTTGCCCCAGGATCTTTACAGCACATCTACCGCTCCCCCTATATAACTCATTGTAATATACATGCCCAAGAGATTTCTCCCAGATTGCATCATGTTGATGCAGTCAAACACATGAAACAGAATTGGTTGTATTTTCCTCTATTTTTCTCTCTATCTTTATTTTGCGAACACATGCATGCACATACTGTTCAAACTTGAAGCAATATCGACGTTCATTTGACAGAAGCATATTGAGCCCACAATTAGGTCAGCCAGAGTTGTTCACTCCCCCTGTTTTAATCCATGCAGTGTTTTGATACGAGGTGCAAGTGTTCAGCCAGATGGGCTGCGAGTTCCGCTGAGCTCAAGGCCAGTTTGGGGAGTGACTCACTCAGCGGAGTGCCAGAGCCAGCTAACACCCACTGTGAATTTATCAGGAACAGGAATAATGAGGCCGGCTGGGAGCCGGGATAAGTTTTCCTCCACCAGCAGGAAACAATAGCTCGAATCAAACTGAATTTAGTGGCAAAGGCTGTTTAATCTTCACAATTCAAAGTGGTTTCATGGCAGAATAACCCCAAATGAACATAGATGGATCGCTTTGAAACTTCCGATACCAGGCTGAATGTTTCTTTTTTTTTCCTTCTTTTTTTGGATGGTTGCTTTACTGGTGGGGTTGAATGGGGGAGGGTTGGAGATGGGGGGGAATTAAGGTGGGGTGAGTGCTGGGGGTGGTGTGGTGGTGAGGAGAACACAGGCTGCTGTTGCATGCTGCACATTCCTCAGGTGTTGTCAGCATAGCATAGTCTGTAATTACCTCCCTGCGAAACTATGCACAAGGCTGCACTTTACCAGCAAAGAACAGCAAAATGGAAACTGTTCAGACGGATAGATGTACCGTACATCCACCACTACATCCTGCGTAGGGTGAGGTAGAACGCTAGTTTTTTCATTGCAATGGTAGACGGAGAAAACTTGGAAATCATCCGCAGTAGTAACTTGAAACACAACACAGTTTTTATCAGTTGTTGTTGTTAATGAGAATCAGCTTCCTGTCAAATAGCTGGTGCTTGTTTTTTTTTACAATACATTTAATTTTTTTTTTATTGGAATTTTTTCACTTTCATGAATGACAGAGGATCAAAGAGCAGGCAGGTCATCCCTGTCTGGGAGTGCTGCTCCTCTCCCCGCTTTGCCGCTCCGTCTCCTCGGCTGGCTGCTGGCTGAGGGATTGTGTGCAGATGTGCTTGGAGAGGGGCCAGCCCCTCTGCCCTGGGAGAACATGTGGTCCGGGAGTGTTTACGCTGGCACTCTTTCAAGCTGTCTCCCACACAGCATGCTGGCGTCTGTCTCTTTTTCTTTTCTTTTTTTTTCTTCTCGATGACAGTGCTCAACCCACCTCCCAGCAAGGGGGCATTCTCAGGTTAAGGTGACACCAGCCAATTATGCTGGTGTTGACAAACAAAGGAAACGGCGGCTAAATAGCAATGTCAATCAAAAAGGCTTGCATGAGAAAAGAGCGTTTTCTTGTAACGGGGCATAATTGAAACACGTGGTGTAAACGTTTAAAACAAATGCATCCTGGACCCCGGCAGCATTTTCACCTGCTTGAGTTGAAAAGTGTAGGAATTCAACTCAGATCCAGTGGTGTTTTTCAGATGCTCCACATACTTCACATTCTCTCCCCTGATTCAGGCTCTGGGTAAACATCTGTGAGTGGAATCCCCCCCCCCATTTTCAACTGTAGAGGCAGTAAGACCTTTGTGTAGTGTGAAATACTTGCCAGTTGTTTTTATTTCCCGTGAAATAAATACTGATGGGAAAAGGGGCATTGCATAATATCACACACCCGCAGAAAGACTCAAACCTTTGCACAGGCTGACTGTGGCAGGAACAAAAAACACCCGGACTACCTTTTAAAAAAAGAAAAATCTCATTAAAATACACAATATGTTACTTTAAATTGCCACATTAAGGTTATTATGTAAAAACAGGATGGAGCCTGCTTCCCCACTGTAACGTGGGTGTTCAGCGCCCCCTGCAGGTCAAGTTGGTCAAACTACTCCAGAATCATTTTCCAACTTTCATGTATCTTAATTAAATATAGCAATAGTTTCACATCACTGTTAAATCAAAACTTTGCATTAATAAAGATGAGTAAATAAGGGAATTTATGACAGATGTTAACTTTCATCTGGAGTGGAATGTTGAATTGTATTACAGTAAAACTTGCAGAAATAGACCATTTAAATTATTAAAAAGAGTTCTAACGAAAAAGGACAAAGATTTAACTAATCAGCAGGGCACTGTACTGATCTGCTGAATCAGTGCACCTGAAAACCAAAATGATCAAATGATCTCTCAACGGGGAAATATACACTGCCCTGTGTGATTTTGGATAATGACCGCATCACTGTGAGACAGACCCCACAGGAGCTGCTCACACACATTCATAGCAGCATGTGATTTACATGAATCAGCTGTTGTGCAGAACAATTTGAAAAATGACCTTTGACCTTCTTCATACAATAAAATTTTCAGCTGTTTTCTTATCTCCTAAAGTAGTTTCTTCTGTCTGTTAGGTGCATATTCAGGAACACGACAGTGACTTCTATTGTTAAGATGAGCCAGAATTGTGTCTGTGGGAGAAATTTCAAAAACTTAGTGACTTGCCTATTCTCCTCAGTTTTCTCAGGCTGAAATGTAACTTTGCTCTCTATGTGTCAAAGCGTTTTTCTGACTAGAAATGTTGCTGCTCAGATTCCAAAAGCTGAACCGCTTTGATACTTACATTATATTACAGGGGAAAAGTTTCCTTACGATTTAAGGTGTACATGCAACTTGAATGATTTGACACTTTGATGTCCTCACTATAACTTGACCCCATAGGAATGTGTTGTCAAATTTGAGGGATAAAAATTAAACCTGTTATATTTTTACAAACCACTAAATATTAGGAATGTCTGAAAAAATGTATATGTGAATGTTTCTGACACCGTTTAAAAGCGGAATGGTGTTTCTAGCTGAAAGTGGGCGGAAGTAGTTTGAGAGAAGTCAACGTTTTTGTAGAATTTGAGGAATTAGAAAACAAAATCACAAAAAATTCAATGTTTGAAAATAAACACCAAAACACACATCGTAAATATACTAAACAATGTGAATGTTTTTGTATTTATAACATGTTGAAATCGCTCATCGAACGGTTTAGGAAGCAGTTTAAAAATAACAAAAAAAAAACAAAGCAGGAACACAATATTGAAAAAGGCTTTAAGGCCAGTCTCCCTCTCCCCAGCAGCACCAGCAGAGGGCCTGCTTTGGGGTTGTGTCACATCTGCTCTTCCCATGCAAAACCTTTCCCCTTTGATCTGCAAACCAAATGCACATTGCACAATCATGTGTAGGGAAAATAACTCTTTTGCTGAAAATATTTTATGCTATGCAAAAAAGGAAATAAACTTAAACACTGTGAATAACACCTAAAAAGCAGACATTGTCTTTTAAAATATCAAATAGCCGTTTTAAAGTAAAAAAAAAAAAAAGATGGATTCTGGATTCTTTTGAAACCTGGAGCCAACATGGCTCCATTCTAAAAACCAGTTGCTGCTCCCATCTTTTCTTTCCCACCTCCACGGCTCAGGACACACACAAAAAAAAGGCCCAAACAGAGAGAGAGAGCGAGAGAGAGAGAGAGAAAGGGGGTGTTTATGCGCATGCGCAGACACGGATCCTCGTTCAGTTTTTCTTTTTTTTCCGGTGGCGTTGAGCGTGACGTCACGGGCTCCTGCACGGTGCTGGGCTTTAGAGAGGCTGACCGTCCACTCGTGCAGCCGCCACAGGAGCAGGACACACACCGGCGCTCCGACGGAGGCCAAAGCCTTGTGTCTTTTTTTACTTCTTCTTCTTCTTCTTCTGTCGGTTTTCGGAATTGAAGTGACCCGCCGCCGGCGGCTGCTGCTGCTTCTTCTTCTTCTACGGCCGAGCGGCTCCGGTGGCATGGTGCTGGGAAATAAAGGAGCCCGACGGAGGGGGGACGGTGTGCATCATGTTTGATTACCGATAATCAAGCCCCACATCTACATGCGCGTGCCGCTGCGTCGCCTCTAGCTTGGCCCGGGCTTTTCCCAGGTCTCCCCCCCCCCCCCCCTTTCTTTTTTTTTTATTTATTGCAGAAGTCCGTCTGAAGCGGTCACTGTGCGAACGGACCATCGCATCCCGGACCTCCGACAGGGTCCGAATGAGGTGCTCGATTGGGCTGCTTAGGTTTTAGAGAGCCGGTCAACTTTTTATCTCTACATTTTTTTATTTTTTTTGGGTTGCTGTTGTCGTAACGGCAGTGCCATCGGGCATTGCTCGGGAGATGGCGATGAGGGTGCTCTACTTGGGATTCCTTCTCTTCTGGGGGATCCCTGCTTCCAGTCAAGCGATGGCCACGGGTAAGCAGCCTGTTGTCTAATCTCGCATTTGCGATATTCCACTGAGCACGAGCACTTTTCCCATTACAAAGCATCTGTGGGAACAGGCCTCGCGGGGGCACTGGAATTGATTGGAACCGACGCCGAAAAATATCCAGTTTATTTAGATTTTCTTTTTTACTCTAACACACGCAGTGCGTCTCAGCAGATGGAGAAAAACCGAGCAGGCTTTTGTCAGAGAAAGTGTGGCTCCCGTAAAGTAGTGTCTCAACATGTTCTGGCCCCTAAAAAATCCCGTATCGGCTTGTGGCTCCCCTCGGTGTGTGAGCAGACGGAGGGCCTCCCCTCAGAGGACAGGGGGTGGGGGGGGTACGCGGTGGGAATATCCAGCAGGTAGAGGGATCGCCGGACTCTGCGAGCCACCGAATTTCTGATGCAAAAATGCGTCTGTTTCCCCTCCATTTTCCATGAAAAAAAAAACACCCCACCAACGGTCTGGTGTCTCTGCGTGTGTGTGTGTGTGTGTGTGTGTGTGGCTGCAGCTGATAGCACACACATCCATACCCAACCTGCTGAGCGCCACGCTTCAGCCCCCCCCAAACCAAAGCCAGTGAGGACGCAGCGCACAGCAGCTTTTTTTGGGGGGGGGCTGGTTTTCATTTCCTTGACGCATTCGCAAAAATATTAAAAAAAAAACAAAAAACAAACAAACACCTTTGTGGTTGGGCTTAATGGTTGTCACCCCTGGTGGGTTCACTGGTGACGGGGCAGGTAAACGCCTGAGAGGGAAATGAATAGATTTCCCTCTTTTAAACTCCCGGATCCCAGACTGTAATTGTGAGGTATCAGATGCACCGCTGCTCTTGTGATAATGCATGGCAGACCTGTTGAGCAAACAGGTTGCCTTTTTGTGTGTGTGTGTGTGTGTTTTTGACAATGAAGCTTATTTTTCCCCACATGTGGGAATACCATTCCGTACATCATGTTAAGGAGTTATGTGACACTGCTGCTGTCACGTGTGGCATCACAGACCCAGCTAATCCTGGCTCGGGTGACTGTTTTGGGATGTTTTAGTGCCAGTGAGCAGGGCGGCACTGTGTGTTTGTCACTCCACCTAACGCCTTTCCAGAACCTTAGGGGCCCGCTCTGGTTTTTAGGAAACCTTGCATAAGTTTTGGGTGTTGACAGAGAGAGCTATAGCTGATGTTACATGAGTGTTGAGGCTCCTCCTTCCCCCATCAGTATGTAACATCTGGACACAGGGAGGCCATTAATCCAACTTAGATATGATGGAAAGGGCAAAGACCAGGGGGGCAAACAGACATCTATCTTAGAAAGCCGGGCTGAAGGGAACAGAGCGTATTCCAATGGCATAATTATGATCTGTTGATTTATTATTTTCCTCTCAGAATGGTGTCAATCTTAAAAAGCAAAAGTTAGTGAGCTCACCTGAAACCGTTTTGCTGTGATGACTCGTGTTTGAATCTTGTCGACATCGGACTGATGTTTTCCACTAATCAAATATCCAGAGCTCACCTTTTTTTCTGAATATCCAAAGTCTCCCTTTGTGTTGCAAACTCCAGGGTTCCCTTATGTATTCTTTGTCCAGGTTCTGTTAGATATGAAGTCAGTATGAGGAGAATGTTAAACCTTTAGTACTGACCATATTCTGCTTGTTTTTGTTTTTTAGAAGATGCAGAAGTTTGAGTTGGGTGCTATACATCATTTTTGGGACATTTAACTTTTCGTACCAAATAAAAAAATTGAATATGAATGCTGTAGCTGCAGAAACGACTGACATCTTGGTGCAATACGTTTGGAAAACAGTGCAGATATCGTATGCTTCTAACTTGAATTACATTTGCGTCAAGCTTCAGGGACAATTATCACTTTGGTGTCACTGGCAGTATGAAATCTGTTTTTAAATGGTCCATGATTCACATGTACCAGTGTGTTTCAACATTCCTAATCTACAAGGCAGCGATGTGGGAGAAGCTGTTAAGTGGATTTGACTAAATTCATATGGTATGGTGATTAAATAGCTAACAAATCAAACAGCTAAGATAGCTTCTGAATGTTTGCCCAGCTATTGTTGAAACCCCATTTTTTTGCTCTAGCTAAATTGCCTGTATATGCAAATTCCAGCAATTCTGTGTCTAGTCTTGGTTCAAACCAATTTCTGGATATGAAGCACAAGCCTTCCCCAGTGTGTAACTTCAGTTGATTTATCAGGTAACGGAGGCAGTCCCCGAAATGAGTTCCTGCCACTCAGAGACACCCCACAAAGAAATATGCAACACACGAAGAACATTTGTGGTAAAACACAGTCTGGGGGACGTCCTGTCGCTTCTACTGGGACATTTTGTAGAGCTTATGGGCAGGTGTTTCCCATTATGATCTCCTGGACCGAGACAACACAGTTGTGACTTCATGGTTTCAAATAAAGATCCCATTTTCATCCCTTCAACTTGCTCTTCCTGTTGAATCCACAGCGATGAGAAGTTAAAACCAGATCAACAGAAACGACTTGAGCGCGGTTGCCAACACGCCGAGGGCCCCGAAACAGCAGTATTTGTCGAGCATGAATAGGTAGGGATAAAAAGGAATTGGTATTCTCAGCTAGCTGCATCACTATTCATCTGGTTGGGAGCTTAAGAGCCCCCCAAAAAGAAAGGACTGCTTTCTTTACCAAAATAGGAAGCGTGGCTTTGTGTTAATTCGCCTCTTTTTTTTTTTCCCAGTTTATTTCTAAACCTGACTCACTGTGCTTTTCAGCTTTCTGTTAAAACTGTCAAACCTAAGTATGACGAAGCTTGCCTGCCTCTAACGTCTGGCACGGCTGTAGAAGAGCTGCCTTTGTGGGGGTGAGCTCATAGCTTGATGCTTCAAGCTGACCGGAGAAACGTATTTTTTCTTTCTTTCATTCTTTTTTTGTTTGCGTGGAGAGGTTGGTCAGCTTTACCGGCTCACGCACACCGCGCTGGCATGGGGTGGCTGGCTTTGCTTGAGTGGAGTATCAATTGATCTGGGAAGCCCTTGGCTGCTTTCACACCTGGTCAGAGAAGAGACAGATGCAGGAAGATAGGGTTCAATTTCACGGGCTGCTGCAAAGTGTCACGGCTGTTTACTTTAATCAGAGTCCCGTCGGACAGCAACTGTACTTGCAGCAGACCTTCTATTGGCACGGACCACGTCCACATTCAGGACACAGCGAGTTCCCAGCGGGGAAGAAAAAACAAACAAGATAGAAGAAAACACTAACGGCTGTCATTTCGAGCGTTCATTTTTATGTATCATCCCTTATTAAGACATTACAGACTAAATAAGTTCCACTAGTGAGGGAGACTTGAACTTTTTTTATTACTGTTTATTTAATTTTGTTTCAAAAGATTTTTTTTGTCTTCTTTCCAGTTGGCTTAAATCGTTTGTTTCAGTCTGAAAGTAATATCTTTGTTTGGTCTTTAACTTAACTTTTTCGGCAGAGGTGAAAAAGGGTGTTATGTAATTTTGAATGAGTCACACTTTTTTACTCAAAACAGCTGTTCATTAGACACGTTAGCTCATCCGTGCTGGCATTGTTGCACCAGAAGCTTTTTAAAGAGGTCTAAAGACCATTTCTTGTGTTTTTTTTGTTTTACTGTCAAGATTTATGATCGCATCTGGACAAAGGCTGTTTGTCATGTAAAGTGGATGTAGCTCATTTGTCTATTTTCTTCTTTTTCTTTTGGGTGGATAGCATTCCGGCCTTCTGCCGTCTTTCTCTGGTTTGATTCTAATGAGGAAATGACTGCAATCCGCTCAAATCAAAGTAAAAGTAATCCTCCAGCTCCTTTGCAAGTCCTCCGGAGAACATGTCCAAGCTTTGGTTTTGCAAGCATCTCAATTGCAGCCAATGCTTGGGTTTCTCTGGCCGAGGCCTTCATTTTGTGGCTCCCTCGCTCTGTTTTCATAAGGGCTGGATCTGGGTTGACGGCTCCTCTGTGGCCGCGCTGTACAGAGACCGCCGGACGGACAGAAAAGAGGAAGAATTCCTCCTTTGGCGGCACTATGAGCCCATTTAGGTACATCTTTTTTGCCGACCATCGGTGGCACTCCTTCCGTGCGTTTTGCTGCCCTGTGGCGTCCCGCAGGGCTTCATCAGGTCAGCCCTGAGGTCACAGCCGGGTCCTTTTGTTGCGTGATGTCACAAAGAGGAGGTTTTCATGCGTGACAGCGGGCTGGAGCTCTAATTCAGGCCCCAACTATTTGTGTACATTCAATCTTTTTGAACATGCGTTTCAGAGCTGGACTGGCCCGTGGGTATGGCGTGCGCTCTGTGAGCTGGTTTAAGTGCTTTGGTGCCTCGCTGTGACTTAGCCTGTGACCAGCATAGCGACCGAGAATGCCCTGTGTAGCTTTAGCCGTTTCCAGCTATACTTATGGAGACCCTTGAATGAAATGGCATTGTTCCTGCTCTTACTGTCTCTTACAAGAGTTGTTGTTCCATGCTTTTATCATGCTTAAAAATCGTTGATAAGATTAAGATGTTCGTTTTAATAGGACCCCTTTCTTTCTCCTTGTGTTTCACATTTATTGTTGAATAACGTTAGGGAAAACATTTAGTTTTTGGCATCTTAGTAAAATCTATAGTCTAGTCAGTTTGAAGACCTGATTTTTCACATTTCAGGATCAGGAAGTGTAGAGGTGATGGCTGATGAGAAACAGTCCCCGGTCATAAGATTTATTGCTCTACATCGGGTTATGTAGTCCCTTCTATTTATTCTTTCCAGCCATTTCTGTTATCTCTCAGCAACACTAAACAGAACCCCTGTTTCGCTCCTCGGCCTCAAAATTTAGAGCACTGGGTCTGTCGAATAATTGGATGTGCTCAGTTTCACGGGCGTGCTCATGTAAGAAAAGCAAATTTCATAAATGACACTCTGGTGAATATGACAGTCTGCTGTTCTGTGTCTGAGGATGTCTTAATCAGAGGAAGGTTTCATTTTGAGGTCCAAGTCATAGCACATGCTGGAGCTGAAAACAGTACCTTTTAATCAAGTAATAAACTCTCTCACTTTGTACATACTGTATATTCACTGAAACGTTCTAACAAATAGAAGCGAGCAACAAGTGCTTTCCTTTTGGAGACAAAGGCTAAGTTCTTTGGTTTCTTCAACATTTAGCCATCCTTCTGTAACAGATTTCCTTTTTGAGGCAAAGGAACACACATGAAACCAATTAGAAAGTGCTGGAATGTGCAGTGTGGATCTGGAGCTGATCTGTGGAGTCGGACGGCCATATTCAGGAAGACGGATCGGGTGGTGGTGGGGAGGGGAAGGGGGGGGGGGCTGGTTCAGCGTTGTGTCCCAGCTGGTGATGGTGTCTGGAGGCCTCTATGATTCGCCAGCTAAAGTGGTGCCAAAACGCCATTTACTCCACCACTCCATATTGATGTGTTCTAAAGAGTCCTTCACAACCTTTCATTGCTTGTTGGATTACACGAAAACAGGGTGTTACTTAAGTGGCCCTCCTGTGGAAAAACAACTGCTTTTTAAACAAAGTTTTCAAGCTCTTGGAGGGGGGTGTTTCTATAGGACCCAGGCTCTGTGTGCATTTATGCATTTGCTCATTGGCGTGTGTTTAATGCTTTTTGCCGTGCAGAGTGCTGTGGGGCAGTCCACTGTGCAGTGTTTTGACAGTGGGGAGCTGCATTAGGAAATGCAGTGTGCGCTCCATACGGCTGGCAGTGCGCTTAAAGTTAAATGAAGTCAGACAACTGGAGCCATGGCATCCACATACCAGGAAGTGACTCTGGGATTTATTGCATTTTGAGTGTGACAACTCTGGATTGAAACATTGGTTCAGCAAATCTTTTAGTGACAACAATATGTAGGAGTTTATAGTTCAGTTTAGCTGCTTTATAACAATCATACTTAAACTACATGGTCTAGTGTTAGTATCTTGATAACCCAAAGAAAATCCTGAAGCCATTGTTTCAGTTTGTAAAATGCAACATTTAGTTAATTTAAGTTCATTTAGTGTTTCTAGACCACAAAGTAGATTTGTGGTCTATTATTTATCATTTGAACTAGGTTAAAACTGACACTTGGTGCCACTGAACGTTGAATCAAAACATCCTAAACAATTGAAGATGAGTTGTGTATTGGATAATTGTTTCACTTTCACACATCCTGTTTGTCTTCATTATTTTGTTTAAAGCACACTGTGGGTGCAACGGACTGTAACCACCTGTACAACAGCCGTTAGGATGACAGCCATTTCAGTGTGGTTTTTCCAGTAAAAAAAAACACTGTCCCCGATGTGAACATTGCAATGCAGAAGCAGAAATGCAAACCAGTTTTCCTGTGAAGATTTCTATGCCATAAGGACTTCATCACTGTAAAACTGAGAACTCCATGGATTGCTTTTTATCGATGCGATGCCCTCGAATGTGGTCAGGATAAGGTTCATGACTTCTGCAGAGAAAACACTAGCACTCTGGGATTCCTACCTTTTTAAGTCAGAGCAGTGCGATCAAGTTGCCATTCAGCTGTGGCAGGAAATGCCTCAGTCGGAATGACATTATGCGAGGAGAACTCCAAATACTGGGTACAAAAGGGTTCATGTAGGGAGAATATGTACGTGGCATCAATGTCACTAGTGTTTGCTGCCTGGTCAGTCTTAACAGATGAAATATGTAACTGAATAACTGAAATTGTCAGTAAAATGAACTCGAATGTAACTTCCCAATAGGACTTCGAACCCCTGAATATTTTTTGTCCGTATTTTTTGTCTGAAACTGTGGAAAAACATCGGTGTGCAAGCTGAATTAACAGTTTACATCTCTGTTTGAGATGTTTCAGTGGGCTTTGAAAGCGGACTGCTGAGGGGGAGGGCTGTCAGTGCCCCCCCCCAACCCCCCTCCCTCCGCCAGTCTCTAACCCTGTCCTCAGCCACAACCTCCAATTAGGCTCAAAGGTTCTCCCCTCTGTGGTCGTTTCATGCTGGTGTGTAAAGCGATGATGATATAATTAGAACCCACAATGTTTTATTTCCAGTTTTATGTCTGCTCATAAGGAACAACTGGTTCAGTCCAGCTGCTTCACACTGAGACCCAAGAGTCCAAAGGAATGCTTTTACATTGCAAAGCCTTCAACAGCCCTCAACTCTTCTCAGCACACAGCCCAGGATGTGGGCCTGTTTCTGGTTTCGTAAGGAGATTAGATGGCGTCGCGTAAACAAACGTAAATCCTGCTTATTTATCACCATCCATTAGGACATTGGCAAACCGAGCAGATGCCAAACTGATAGGTTGGCACGGGGCCATGGCCAGCGTCCGTGGGTTGGGAGTGTGCGTTTCGCCTTCGCACGGCCGATTAGAAACGGCTACCTGCACAGCTGAGTCAGGCTGTGGTTGCAGCTGGGTCACTCAACTGGACCACCGTCCTGCTCACATACCGCCACATGACCAGAGTCGGTCACTCAATGGACATTCAATGTCGTGGACTGAGAGTAAACATTCATTGCATTCTGCTCCTTTTAACTGTCAGTGTGGGAGCTCATCAGTTGTGTGGATCTGCTGCACTTTAAGCGTCACGGTTTGTAAGACAATAAAGTTGTTAAGTAACCAAGACCTTATCGGAGCAGATTAAAAAAAATCTGGGGACTGTGAATGGGCATGTAGTAATCAGCCCGCTTTAAGTTTCAATTTCACTTGCATCAGTTGAAGTTTATGGCTTGTTTTCTTAATCTAAACGCGTATTGAAAAGTTGCTTTTGTCCTGGGCATTATGGTATTAGGTAACCCTATATGCTCTCATCTAATCTAAGAAAAGGTACAGGTATGTGGCCTGATTGAAGAACTGGGTCTGACCACTTTAACCCGACAGTCAAAAGCAGTGTCATGGCGGTGACACGGCAGCTTCACGCTCTCTTGAGATTTCAGTCACATCCCGGCCCTCTTGCGGTGCACCCCTCCATCACCCACCCAAAACACCTCCCTGCCTGCCAAGCACATAAGGAGGGAAGTCATCCAGGGCGAGTCAGGGCTCAGTCCCTGCAGAGAATCACAATGAGTTCCCTTAGTGCTGTCCTTCCCAGATCACTGCTGTACACACTACTGTAACAATAACCACATAAACACCGGTGCCGCGGCCGTTTTCTTCCCCTTTGCACGCGACTTTTTAAAGTCAGACTTAAACTAAAACATTTCCCATACTTATTGGGGGCAATTTACTTTCATTCTTCTACTCTCCTAGAGGAAAAAAAAAGAAAATAATTTGATATTTTATGGCATTAATGATTTGGAAAGCTTAATTTTTTTTTATTCCTAGCACAGTGTTTACACAATTTAATCAGTTTAAAAGAAAGATTGCAAGTCTTGATTTATTAAAAATACAGTCCTCTGACTGTCCTTGACAATACAAATCTTAGAAAATCTTGCTCTTACCAGTTTTATTCCTGTGTTTTTTCACAAAACAAAACACCAGGTCTTTTTTCTGTAACACCATAGGATTCGGTCTTTCAGATGCAAGTCCTGCTTTTAACTCGAGATAAATAAAAGGCCGATCGGTGACTCTAAATTGCTCATAGGACTAAATGTGAGTGATGGACTGGCGACCTTTCCAGGGTTTTAGCCTCCAGCCCCCAGTGACAGTAGCAGGAATAAGTGGGATGGACGATGGTCGGATGGATGATGCCAAAGTTTACTCACCCACAGTGTGTTGTGTAGGCTGGCTCAACAGTGAGTCCGTGTGGGCTGCCTGTGCATGAATATATTCTGTTTAATCATCACTCATACGAGCTGAAAAAGAGTTTTCGCCTGACTCTGGTCCACTTTTTTTAAGCGTCATCTTTGGATACATTGTACTGTGTGTTGTGAACACTTAGTTTGCAGTTGAATCCTAACCTAAAACCCATGTTTTTTTTTTATGAACAGTCAGTCGTTCTACAGAGAGTTCTGTTTACCAGGTTTAAAATCTAGTCTTAAGTGCGTCAGTGACAGTTTTCACCTCTACAGTTTAGAATACTAGCTCACAGAGGGCTGAAAGGGTTTGGACAGTTTTGCATCTTAGTTGATGATGCAATTGATGCAGCTCTTTTGAAATGCGGCTCATGTGCCGTGTTTAGACGTCACCCCACAGTCTGAAGTGCGACAGCGTGACTGCAGCAGCATATGTAGATGTTACTAAGTCAGTAAGATGCATTTTGTTGCTCAGATTCGGCATAAGCCTCACAGTTTCAGTCTGTATCAGGTTGCTGTGTTTGTCTGTGTCTGACAGATTCCGTGCTGACAGTCGAGTTTAAATATGTTAGCAGTCAAACATCTTTGGGTTAATGAGCAATGCTGTATTACAGCTAACATATAGTGCACCTCAATAAGTGGGACTTTCTGACCAGGACTACTGTGTTCCGCAGTTTCCTATGGATTAGATGGCGATTGAATGCCCTGTTATGTGTTCGCCTTGAAACATGAAAGAACTTCAGTTGTGAGATTTTTAAAAACACCTCATGAGAGGGGAAAAAAAAAGAGCTGAAAGAAATGAGATGTCCCTAAGAAGAGAGGAAAAAACCAACAAACCATGACTAACAGCTCCGCTGTTGGTTTTAAGGCTTTCGGGGGATTTTTAAAAAATCTACTCGAGTTCTTGGACACAAAACTGACATTGTAAACCTAAATTGACTTTAACTTGTTGCTTTGTCCGGCTGAGTTTCGACTGCTGTGCTTCTTGACGTGTTAGATTTTCTAAACGAATTCTCACAAAAGAGAATTCAGCAACAGATATTGGATTTGTTGTACAATAAGACGGTTCCCGTTTCTCAGATACACACCAGTGATATGTTTTGTTTGTCACAGTTGCTTGACTCCAGCTCCTTCTCTGCTATCTTTTCTCAGATTTAGATTCAAAACCTAGTGGGCCACCCAAGACTTGCAGCCCGAAGCAGTTTGTGTGTAAGGACCAGGTGACCTGTATTTCCAAAGGCTGGCGCTGCGACGGGGAGAAGGACTGTCCAGATGGCTCTGATGAATCACCAGATATCTGTAAGTGTGCTCACATAAATGTCCACTAAAAGCCTCTAAAAGGGTTACTGTGTGAAGATGATTATTTCTACATATTGTGCTTCATAAAACTTTTTTAAAAAATGACTTTGAGGAGACAAACGGCAACACGTTGACCGTGTAACTTGGGCCTGAGTAAGAATTACTCTCCTATTAAGCGAAGGTTATTCAGACTGGACGCTCACAGATGTGTGTGTGCTCTTGTCCGGACTCTGCGGCGTCCCGGAGAGTCTTGTCCCGGCCACTCACATCTGTTCATTTCTCCTCCTGAGTAAAAAACCTCCCCTCTGTTTATAAGGAGGCCCTAATGGTGACATTTACTGTCTGCTTCGTGCCACCCCTTCCATCTGTTGGGGCAAAAACACTCTCACCATAGCCTGGCAAGTGTGGACAAGCAGCTGACACCAAACATTAAGGGGCTTGTTATTGTGGGTAAAACACACTCAAGCGTTTACACATGGTTTTCGGGATTGGAAATATCTGAGATAGTTGAGGGCAACAGGACGTATCGGGTTGCTGTGTTCACTGTAGAGGAAGTGAGAAAGTTATTATGTGAACAGGTTATTTGATCCTTCTTTTGTTTATTAGGTATCTATTTAAAATGGTATTTCCTGGAGATGAGAGGTAAAAGTGCAGTTCAGTTTAAGAAAATGCAGCTCCTTTTTTTTCAATGTTTCTTAAAAGGGAAGAATTTTATCAGTTAGATATAGATAACACCAGTCGCAGGCACTCGCAGAATTTTAAGCAACTTTATCAAAGTACGCCACACCTAATTCAGTCAAGCAAGTTGTGGTCATTCGATTAGTGCCTTTTTAGAATTGAAGTGAGTGAGTTTTCCATAGCACTTATGTAATTTAGTGAGACAAACAATGGTGCGATTCATCCACTGCCCAGAGAAATGGAGAGCTGTGTTTCTCCAGAACATCAAGATATGTTCTGCTCAATTACCCACTTCCCAAGGGTGCTCCTCTTCCTGTCATTTTAACCAGAGTTAAGCCACTTCTTCTCCATCAATCTTAGTTGCTCGGCTGTTTTCACAGTAAATATCAGTTGGCGGTACGAATTCCCATTTTCTTTGTACAGTGCATCATGCGTTTGCAGTCTAATAAGCATCGCAAAAGGCAAGGCGCCTTTTAAGTATCACAATGAAAGGCTGCCAGACTGTGATTTTATCCATAGTCATTAAGTTGATCCATCTGTTAAATCTGAGTAGTGTTTAGAAACGGAGGGCTGCAGATAAAACCGGTGAGCTAATGCAGATGGGCCAGCAGGACAGTTTTGAGCACAGTTTGACTCTGGAGGTTGCTTAACATTCTCTTATAACTCAGAAATGGGAAAGCCCGCTTTTGCTCTATGCTGGAGTTGTTCTGTACACAGGGTGGAAGGAGTCGCAGGTCACTGACACATGCACTTCACATGTGGAAAGCCTGCCGTGAAGCAATGCTCGTCACAGTAATGAGGTTACTCCGACATTGTCCGAGAGCGATAATCGCATGAAGTGAAAACGGTTTGGTTTGGTGCAGCGTTTCTGCTTTTGAAGCTTTGAGATCTCTCACCTGAGCCCCAACTGCTCAGCAGTTTTCAGAGGCAGGCATTCACACTTGTGTTTATGCAAATGTGACAGAGAAAACTCCTAAAATGTTTCCTTTTGACTGGCTTTTCTTTCAACACGTCCCCAACCTGCACTCTAATTCTCTTTGATGATGCTGATGAGAGATGGAGTGGTGCCTGCTTCTAATAATATCAACATCATCTCCAGTTAATTGCCATCCACACAGGCCGTATGCACAGGTATGGCAAAAATAAAGACAAGCAGCTTTTCCATCCTTCCTCTCCTCTGCACTTGTTCCACTTTAACACGAGCTGCGTTTTTGTCCTGATGTGGGATTGAACCATGGTATGTCTTCCCAGACCATCACATTGTTGGGATTTGTAACCGCCAATAATGCAGCACCGCTTTTGTTTTAATAACTAAATCATTTGAAATGCTTGTGCCTATAAAAAGTACTATTAAGCATATGTTAGCAGTCTTCCACACTGCCTCCATCTCAAGAGTTATGGAAAAATAACAAGCCAATTTGGTTAAATCTCCGGTTTTGTTTCGTGAGCGCCACCTGTTTTGTTGGGAGCACACATCCCCTCCCTCCCCAGTGCGGTGGGTGCTCTGAATCTTCATCTGGTACGGATCTTTGATCTAGTGCCTCTTCATGCTAGAAGTTAAGTGTCCTCCACACTATCACACTGTCTGAAGGTCTAATTGCCTGTCGTTTCCAAACTATTTACTGAGGCTGTAATTACGCTGAGGAGCTGAAGACAGACTTACACCCCAGTAGCCGGGTTGTTATGCTGCATCTCATGGGAGGCTGATATGCCAGTGCATCTTTGGCCCGTGGGGGAGTTTGTATGTTGAATATTTTAATGTTTTGGGGGTTTTATGTGTGGATCTGCATTGGTTGTTAATTTCAATGACATCTTGGGTTATTTTGATTTGTGATCAGATTCCCAAACATCTCTACACACTCAAATAGTCCCCATAAACCTGCGTCTACAAGCTGCCCACTGCAGTAGTGACATGGTCATCCTCTCCTCGGGACTGCACTGACTTCCCTTGATTTGTAATTGCGTGGCTTTGACTGGGTTCAGTAAAGCAGCTTTTCCTCAATAACATGAAAACATAACAAACTCATACAAAACTAAGCTTCTCAACACTGAGCTTATGCAGATTTGTTGATGGCTGAAGGAAGGTTTCTGGCTTAATGCTTTTAGACAAACATTTGACAACCACGGCTTTTTGGGCTATTCGAGTTTTTCAGGACATTGCTGTGTCACGACTAACATTCTGCTTCGTGAAAAATATAAACTCCTCCAGTTTGTATGTCAAGTCTGTGTGCCATTATGATTCTTGCATGAACCACAGTCGTTGTGGTTGAGCCAGCAAACGGGAACAGATGTTCGACTGAGCCTCGCATGTAAGCACTTTCTCCATCTTGAGTGGGGCTCACCACGAAGAAATCCCTTTCAACATCAAAAAAACCTTGTGCGACAATTGCCTGTGCCTAATTCTTTGTTGGACTTTTTAGCCCTGATTTAGCATTAAAATGTCCACAGATGGACTGCAAAACAGAGGCCTGAATGTACGTCAGTCATGTAAAGACGCCGCCTTTCTTTCCGCGGGCAGGGTTCTCAGCATTTGTTCCGGGACGGACAGTGGGCTGATAACTGAAAGCAGTTAACACTTGTAAATAACAAGCTACTCCCTGCCCTCATGCTGTCAAGCCCTTATGTGAGTTCTCTCCCCTTCCAAAAATAGGTAGCAAGTACGCAGACTCACACACACACACACACACACACAGATTTATTTTTGTTGTTGATGCTGGAAAGTCATTTGAGGGGATATTTTGTGGAATGCAGTTTAATAATGAAACTCGGGGACCCCGACCTGGAGAGACTCAGGCTACTTAATGCAACCATATCCAAACCTCAACCTTAATATTAGTAACATAATTAAAACGATCCAATGTTTGTGGTGAAGATTTTATTTGTTGGTGGGAGAGAATTTATTTTCTAACATTTTAGAAACGTAATCAAAGAGTTCAAAGTTTGTAGCAAGCATTTAGCTATGACCTGTTCCTTGGCCCACACGCGCTGGCCAGTGGCGGCCCCTGCTGCGCTGTGGAACTGGGCTGGTGGGGGAGTCGGATGGGAGGATTGAGTTGTCATGTCTGTGCGGCTGCAGGCCGCCGTGGCCCTCACAACACCGCTATCTGTCCATCGCTTGCCCTTGAGGCCCCTCTGGACAGCTGCCAGCTCGGGCCTTTCTCCCCGCCCTGTCTGACAGTCATGCCTCAGCAGCCTCTCCAGGACGACCGAATGGAACCGACCGCTGAGCCAGGGAGATGGGATAGAGGCATGGAGTGATGGTGAGGGGGGGGGGTGGAGAAAATCTACAGAAATGTCTTTGTAGAGGAGAAAACGACCAGATTAGCATTTAGACTGAGGAGGAAAATGGAAATGACCTTGTTAGGCTGATCCTGTTTCTACAGAGGGGGCCTTTTACTGTAATAATACAGGTGGCGGTGGGAGGGGTGGGGGGATTCATAATATGCAATCAGTCATGTAGTAACAGTTGCAGGGGGGCACCAGGTTGGGGCTAGAGGGTCTGCAGTGGCTCAAACACTGCTTGGAAAGAGGAAGGAGCAAAGTCCTGTAAATCTCCCTGGTCTCTGGCCCCGAGCCTTCCCCAGCTTCACCAGCCTATCAGCAGGCCATGAACCCACGCTTTCTCACGCCATGCAGGCACCACTTCCCCTTCTCCTCCGTCTCCTCCGCACCCGGTCTCCTTCCCTCCATCTCCTGCTCCCGTGTTGCTTTGTCTTTCCCTCGCACACATCAAAACAAGGCTCAGAACAGACTCTTCCTCACGTCTCATCTTCAGTCTTTCTCTCTGTCTGCAGATATGACCTTTCCTGGTTGGACTTGGTTTAAAGCTGAATAACGTTTGGTGTTATACTGTGGGAACGCATTTAACAGGCTGCAGAGTTTAAATGCAGAGTTATTTGGTTTAGTTTTTTGTTGGTGAGATAGTTGAGCTGTGTGTAGTACTACTATAAGGTAGCAAAGTGGTAGTAAAGTGTTAACGCCTTGGATAATGGCATTATTAGAGCTTTTCTATTCTAATTTATTGTCACTGTGTAGAAAACAAGGCTTGTACCAGTGAGCACATTGTGCAGCTTGTTGGCAATGCCGTGTGCCTGTAGTAGAGTCTGCTGGCCAGTGGGGTCTCAGAGTAGAAGGGGTTGGTCGGTGGATAGGCCCGTCAATCAGGGACTGTCCTCGAACCCGCAAGCGGGAAGAAGCACAGGCTTTCAGGTTTAGGACAAAAGATCGACAGGGGTGCTAAATTTAAGACAGAGACTCGGGGAGAGGGGGATGTTTCGATCCAGAACCGGAGGGAAGCACACATTAGGAGAGGTAGTCCTCTAAGCTGACGCTAACCTCTGATGTCCGCTGTCCATCAGACTAACTTTCTAGAGCTCCCACCTATATTTGAAAGTGACAAAGGAAAAGGTCTATCACCTGAAGCTGTGACACTGAGCAAAGGGAGGAGAGTTTGTAATATTTTTGCACATTGCCATATTTTACTCACCTATATGGATTTCTGTAAAGCTGAGCAACAGTTGTGCACTAAGATATGTAGTTTGATGTGTAAGAATAGTCTCCGACATGATTTAATTTCACATTACGCAGTCAGCGCAGGGATGAAGTGCCTTCGCTGTGCTTTTCTTTGGATAAGGGGGGGCTAAGTTAATTCAGCTCTGAGTCTACTGAGTAGTCGCTGCAGCAAATCAATGTGTTTGTGTGTTGGTCTAAAGGACATTCAGTATGGAATAACACCCAGTTCTTGCCAACTAAGTCACAGTCACGTCCACAGGAGCAAAGTCAATTTATCGACTGAAGTATGTCCAGCGCCGCGTGCTGTTGGGAAACAGTCGGCCGCTTCCAGGCATCGTCTCCGACTCGCTTGAATGGTAACTTTGTCAGATCACTTGGGCCAACTTTCAGGAATTTTTAGATATGTCTCTAAGTGCACTTTCCTGGTCACGGTGTCAGTGTCAGTTCAATGTACAGCAAACCAGAAAATAATTTGGTGTGTACAGTATTGCGTATGTTAAAGTATTGACATTGGGTTAAAAACCTGTGGATTCGCAGGAAAAATAGTTGAACACTTTGTGTTATCCTTTACAGAAATGACTCAAATAATGCGGCAAAGCTGTCGACGCAATATTTAAAATGATTTTAAACTAATCTAACTGTGCGACTATGTATGAGTGTGAGCAAAGAGGAAGGATGAAGAAGTTCAGCTTTCACAGAGGATGTCAGAAAATGGCTGCTGTCAGCATAAGGGGTAATTATTGTAATACACAGTCACCAACATCCCACACATGAGCAGGAAATGCAGGGTTGGTAGATTTTCCCCTCTATAAACTTGTTTGTTCCTCAATATTTCCGTTCTATTTATCTGTCAAGGTATTGCTCTGTTGCGGAACTCCTGTCCATCCTCACTTATGTGAAGTGCTGTACTTGTTGCAAGTGGGATTTCAAAAAAGTTGTTCTGTTTGCAACTCAGCCTGTAGAATCTGATCATAGCAGATCTTCTGGTGGTGTCGGATTGATGTTTTGGGTCTGTGTTACACACTTCACAGAATGAGAACCCAATTTTTGGTTGATTTTCAACGAGGATGCAGCATCACGTATCCAGTTCTCACCCCATATTTTGTCAGAATATCTGGAGAGACACAGACTCCTGTAGTGGCCCTCCTTTGGACGACTTTGAATTTCATACTTCCCTGAAAACTGTTGACAGATGCTAAACCCGTGGGAGGGTTTTCATCTCCAGAATACATGGCAGTTTATTCTTGGTACTGCAGTTTATGCAGAAATCCCCATGCTGGCAACTTATTGAATGTAAATCGGGCTGGCTTAGAGGCTCGGGCTGCAGGGGGGCAGCTAATGTGCTAGCATCCCCGGACGGGAGAGCTACTCTCCCTCTCCCTAAGCCAGATGTATAAGAAGCTAATTCTCTGTTCCAGAGTGGCACATTTTCCGCCCAGGCTGCTTCAGTGGGATCATTGCGGATGCTTATGTCACTTTAAGGCACTTGTTTTAACTGAGTTCTGTTCTATGTTCACTGTGTGGTTACTCTTTTTTTTTTTTTCATGGACGGAGAAGACTTGGAGGGAATGCTTGTGGTTTTCCGTAGGGTTATAGACTCGTGGTCATATTTTCTTTTTTTTCTCCTTCATGTAAGGTTTTATCAAATCTACATGATTGTATGCATAGTTTAATTAGTTGGATTCTCCTTTTTTTAGACATTAAATGTCTTTTCTTTGAACTCCTGCATACAATTCTTAAGCTTGCAATTTTTATTCCTCAAAATGTTCTGGGACAATTTAACGGTCAAGATCAAATAAATCCATAAAAATAGCGCCAGGCCCTATATATTTGAAAAATGTTTTTTGCCTCCGTCAGCCAGAGATTGCACACGGACGGGAGTCTTTGTGTTAATGAGAGATATTTGAATATCTGCAGCCTGAGCAAACCGGCCTCAGACGCCAGCGTTTCAAAGCCTCTTCCAGCTCTACATCTAACCCGCACAGCTCCACAGATCGTTTCCTGTAAAGGAGGTGAACTTTATTTTCTCTGCTTCAAGTGTTTTTCTAAAATGGGTCAGCAGATGTTAGAAAGGGGGGAGGGAAGGGAGAGAGGAGGAGGACAAGGAGGAAGAAGAAAAACAGCTAAGGCAAACTGTTTGCTCTGCAGTGTGGGCCGAGAGGAGAGAGAAAGAGTGGGAGGGAGAGAGGCAAAGAGACTGCATCTCCTGTATATTCTGATTTGACGTCGCAAGAGACAAAAAAAAATCTCCTATCGGTGTTGGATTCGTCTAATTTTCCTTCAATGTTTTGAAACGATGAGGGCTTCTTGTCGTTTTTTTCTGAAGTTCCACAGCAGTGAAAGTGTACGCAGTTGTTGCATGCGAGCACATTTGTTGAATGCACGCACGATATCTGACTCAATGTCTCTGACACAACCAGGGAACGCTCGGTCTCTAATGTGTCAAAAAGTCAGACACCCACACAGCCTTCCCTGCAGTCTGCTGCAGTTTCATCCTCTGTTTCTCGGGTAGAAACCTTTCTGTTTCATTGCTGCGCGGTTTTCACAACAAGACGTAGCAGGTGTCGTATGGAAATGGCAATAAGGCAACAGAGATTGTTTTTTCTGTCTTTTCTAACCCTGAGTGCTTTGCACATTAAAAATGAAAATGGGCCAAGCAGGCTGAAGGAAAAGGGCAGAGGACAGTAGAACAAAAGAAACGTTCTTTCAGCATATCTTCTTAAATACACTGCACTCCTTGAGTACACAGTCTTTATCTCAAAGAGACCATTTGATTTGATAGAGGTAGTAATAAGTAATAAGTAATATCAGATCTAAATGGTTGTGCTCTAAGGAATGTTTTCCTCTCTGGATCTTGACCAAGCTCATTTCGTTCATTTGATTTTAGGTTAAAAGATTCAGCGCAAAGCTTCCAGAGTCAAAACATATCATCTTAAATGTTGTAATCATATCACAAATGTAATTTGTCTTCGGTATTAGGAGTCATGTTGTGTTTTAATGGTCCAATTTTACTCCCATAGGTGGTCATTTGTTGGAACCTGACCCTGCTTTTATAGTTTTTTGTTTCTTTGTGTTTCAGGCACACACAGCAAGGCGAACCAGTGTCCTGTAAATGAGCACGGGTGTCTGGATCCCGATGTCTGCATCCATTTGAGCAAAATGTGCGATGGAGTCCCTGATTGTTCCGATGGCTGGGATGAAGGGCCTCACTGCAGAGGTAAAGTATCTAAGAAAATTATACTACGTTTTGGCTAAACATTCTGAACAGCTACCGTTTTTTTTCTATCTCTGTAAATGTTGGTGTGTTTAGATGTAAAGAATGTTCTTATTTTCTTTCTACCCTGAATTCTAATCCTTATTAAAACAACCTCTCTTTTGAGCCGGCCTGCTCTGGCTTGTGGAATTACAATGGGATATCTCTTTCTGGGGGGGAAAAGCCATTAATTTATCTATCAGCTCAGCCCTAAGGATGCTTCCCCTTCCCATGCAAGGATAATTATTATTCAACTCGGATGCGGCCGAGGAAGAATCCCATCAAATCTTCTAGTATTAATTAGAGACCGCACAAGAGGGAAATGTGAAAAATACTGGCCCTGTAGCTCCTTTGTTGCAGCTCACAAAAGAGTGAACGCCGACTGCCGTCGGGATGTTGCCTCAGCATTCGGGCCGGCTGTAGCTGTCTGAAGTTCTGCCTGGTTTTATAGCGGCATCTTCCCACATGTGGGATACGTGTGCTTGAAATGCGTGCTCTGTGCCGTTGTGCGACTGCCTCTGTCCTTTGATTATGTTATCCTTTTCTGGGAAAAAGACATTACTTTAAGCAGGATATTTCTATCTTCCACCCAAGTGGACCTACGTCCTAAAAGAGAAGTAGGGCAACCAATTTCTCAAATAATAGCGGTAATCTTGGATCGGCTTATCTCCCCCGTTTAATCTGAAATATAAACCAAAGCATCTCTTGAGTGCAGCGTCTCCGCTTTTATTTGCCCTCCGCTATGGGATGAAAGGGTGAATGAATGAATCCATTCTGCACCATTCTGTGTAAATAATACGTTTATAAATGGTTTATTTGAAGTTGAGTTTCGAGATTTAAAAAAGTGGAAGCATTAGTCAAAGATGAATCGTCTCAGAGCAGAAGAGAACTGCTACCTACCGGGGTTGTCCGACAGTGGTCATCACAGCCACGCAATCCCTTTACGCAACACAATGATGGAGTCATCAAGTCGCAGCATGCACTGGCCGTCCCGGAGGACCCGGGTCCAGCTGTTTCCAGGAAGGGCCAGCGGCCAGCACACAGTAACACTTCAAAAAAATCCCCCTTAAATGTTCACGTGTCTTCAAGAGCTGTCATGCGCACACAAAGATGCACTCACATGGTCGCATTTTTGCACATAAACCCAAACACACCCAGTCCACCGCTGGCAAACACACGGCCAGTGTGTCCACGGCGCTTGGCACGGCTCTTTGTGAGCCCACCTTGTTTCAGGGCAGCGTTTCACAAGCATCCTGGTGTTTGCTTGTACAAACTGCTGAGTTGTGTAAGTATACCTGGCAAACTGATGTCTGAAAGCACACTTTGTCAGTCAATGCGCCCGAGTTATTCTGCCCAAGTTGTTGACAAGGGTGGTCAGAGAGAGCGGGAGTGTAGCGTAGTAGGCTGACGAGGAATTTGATCTGGCTAAAAAAACTTCTCTCTGATTTTTCTGTGTGTGTCAGAGTGTCGTAGCAATATTTATATATAGGAACAAAAGCAGCAGGAAACGGGTGGATGCAAGGGAGATGGTTAAGACCGACAATCAAACGTCTGACTTTATTTTTAGACATAATTATTGATTTACATAAAAAAAAAAATATATATTTCAGCAAATATTAAAGCATTTAATGTTCTGCACTTAAAATAATCTCTCAGGAGGTGTTCTTCTTGATGAGACCTGGGATTATTCATGACAGTGGTGATAGACACTATCGTGCTGTGACCTGTTAACTTATGATAAAGACAGACAAAGCTAAAGTTTGGATTTCTGAAGGCAAACTGGGTATTTGTGCCCAACGCTTTGTGAGTTGATTTAGTAGATTTTAAGACTATTTGTTCAAGTTTAATTTCAGGCGTCTTGCCAGCGTGCGGCTAGTTTGTCACAAAGCTAGTCTCTGTTTGCTCATTACTCAAGCCTCTGCCCTTTGTGTCTTTACCAATGGTTGCTCCTTGAGTACATATCTTTCAAACAATTTCCAGTAGCCCCAACTTGTGCTGTGCTTTTGCACTGCGCATTCTCACATTGGCACCAATTGACCCTCATCTAAAATTAATTTGATCCCTTTGAATCTAGTTTAACAAAGTTTTAATTGATACTGGAATTGTTGCTATTCTAAAATGTTAAGGCAGAACGCTTATTTATTTCTCTAAACCTATTCATCACAGTGGACAGTAGTGTTTCATACAGGAACTGATAAAATGAAAGCTCACTGACATAATTTCCACTGAGCGGGCAGTGGAGGCAGGTTTGAATACATACCTCAGTTATTTGCACAATACATACTTGAAGTAGAAATGAGGTCATTTGATGGCACTTTGCGAAGCTGAAAGAAACCTACTCTTTTCCTACAAAGAGCTGGCAGGCATGTGTAAACTTGTTTCCAGATGGTGAGAGCACAAAGGTAGGAATGTCCTGTAAAGTTTCTGACTTTCAGATGTCATTTGCTGGAATAGCTGCATTTGTACAGCGAGTCGTTTTGCTTTCAATGACTCAGAAGTGGAAGCAGAACTGGAAAGATTTCCTGGTAAAATTTTTAAGAAAAGAGTTTGACTCTCTGTCCAAATTTGGCCATTCGGCCAAGCTTCCTTCGTGTTTACAGTCTGCAGTTTTTGATGCAACTCTCTAACGTTCATCCCGTTTTTAATTGTCCTTTTTATCGAATGTCCTTAAATTGTTTCCACCTGTTTTTTGCTTGTAAGAATTATACATTTAGATGCAGTAACAGGATCAAAGCACTGAAGCCCTTCAGTGTGTGTGCGTGTGATTTGTTTGTTTTGTTCGTTAACTCTTGGTCAGACTTCTGACACGATAACTTTGCTGTTCGTTTGGACCTGGAACTTCCTAAGCTTGCATTGGTTGTCCTTCATTGCTCACCCCAGTTTACCCATTATTATGCTTCTACATCCTCTTCTTTCATTCTATCACCACTTCAACCTTCTTCCTATTATAACACAGTAAGAAATGCTTGCTGAGGTCAGACCTGACCAAGGCTTTTGTTTGATCTCATTTCTGTATGTGATTTAATCCTCTCAAAGGAATAGCCTTGTAAGAATTGTAAAATTATCTAACTCTTTTTTTTTCTTAACGATACATTCTGGTTCCATCCAAAATTCATTTAGGCATTATTTCCCATATAATAGATACAGGTAAAAAGCCAAAGTATGTCAGAGGTCAACAGTTTAAAAAAGATTAAAAAGGAAATGCACAGTAGTTTAAAAAAAAAAAAGTTTGGTTCATAATTCTAACAGTAAGACCAATTACTGTTATATCCGTTGCAGGATTTCGTACTTCTTCAACATAATAAAAAAATCAGCATTGCATCGCGTGTACAGTTCATTAATCCATAGCAAAGCACTGAAGTGTAAAACAGAACATAATGACCCTGGATGTTGTGAGTATTTTAGCTCTCCAGATGCCTGTGGTCTCTCCTAGTGCTCGGCTTGGTGAATGGATTCGATATGGGCCACAGTGTGAGCTGGGGGACTCTTCCTTTCAGTGGGGCTGCAACAAAAGAGTCATTATGGCCCCGAGTGCAACAGGCTTTATATAATGAGAGCCCTTCTCCTGTTGGGTCCGCTCCTCACAGCCTCACTACCACAGGCTACTGTATACGTTGCGTGTCCATGACCAATTATCGTTTCTTGTTGGACGTTGTGGCGAATTTTGTTGTGGTTGTGGTAGCCTCCAAGTGACAAAAGAAGAGAGGTTACCACATATATCCTGCCAAGTTTTGATGTGCTCCCACTAAGTAAATGATTAAATGAGTGTTTCTCAACGTGTTTAGGCCAGTTTGGAGTGAAATTTCACCTCTTTAAGTTTGTTTAGCCTTGCGAGCTTGACCTGACAGGGAATGTTGCTTTTTAAAATCTTATGTTTAAGCTTTGAAAAAAAAATTTCAAAGCTTTTTTCTCTTTCTATTTTTTTCAGAAATAAGTAAAGAAATCAGTCTATTAGGATGTCAGTACAATCCAACTACTCTGCATTGATCTGCATGTTTTTATGTATTGAAATTCTCTCTTCAGACTGCTGATAATAATTTAATTTGCTCACACTATGAAAATAACCATAAAAATGTTTTTTCATTCCCCAAAATACTTTGTATTATGAGAAGTTGAAAAACTCCAAACACACCCATTAAAAACTGTTCTTCTGAATTTTTTTGTTCTCTATTCTGAGTAACTCTGTTATCTATGTACATGGAATCATTGACATTTTTCCTCAGAAAAACAATCATTGTTATCTGTCCTTCCACTGTCGTATTTCACCTAACTAGTGTGTACCCTTTTTATTATTTAGTATCTTTTAGTGGCAGATGAGGGTCCAAATCTACAGCAATTAAGCCCAGCATTAAAGAATTGTGAGCCTTTCATTGTTGACAGTTACCCTTCACAACCAGTTCTAAAGTGGAAGCAGAGTACCAGACACAGGAAGCAGGAAGTGATCCAAAAAGTCAGTTTTGGACTCGCTGGGCTTATCCTTCTCTATTTCCAGCTCATTTTGTAATTTTCCAGGCTTTATATTAAAGTGCTGTGCAGACCAGCCCATGCACACATCTGCTTTCTTACATCGCAGCCACTTTTCTTTCTGGAAAATTTCAAGATTGCAATGCATGTGTTGAAAATGACTTCTGACAGACACCAGACACAGTTTATCTCTTAGCTTTGACACACACCTGTGCACACAGGTCCTATAGAGGCCACCTCGAGACAATATTCCCCTCTTTTATTTACTCCCAGTGTATGTCACTGGGTTCTTTGGGTTGGGAAAGCAGAAGCCCTTTTAAAGTGTAAACATTTAAATCAACCCTTCGATGCCCATATGACTACACTGTGACATCAATTAGGAGTGGTTTTGAAAGATTACCTGCACTCTCCATGTCAACTTTTCATTATCTGAAGTGCTTCACTCTGCTCTGTTTTCCCGTGTTTTTCTTTAGAAAACGCACCAGCCTGTGCCTCCCTTGGGTGCCAGTATCATTGTGCGGTGACTCATGATGGGCCTCGCTGCTACTGTGCACTCGGTTACGAGGTCGCCGCAGATGGAAAGACATGTCAAGGTAGGTGGTGATTTGGCGAAGGCTCTCCGGTCTGTTCACGCTAAACTAAGCCTGTCTCTTTATTTGCTGATAACAAAGAAGTGATCTAACATAACCGCCAGTGGCTGAATAGCATCGCTCAGTGGTTTTGCTTCTGGACCTTTTGCCTTTTGACAGATTTCAACGAGTGCGGCGTGTACGGAACGTGCAGCCAGACGTGCACCAACAGTAATGGAAGCTACGCCTGCACCTGTGTGGAGGGCTACCTGCTGCAGCCCGACAACCGCTCCTGCAAAGCCAAAAACGGTGAGCTACGACCCACAGAAAAGTCAACAGACATCAATTATGACAGTATGGATTGGACCAGCAACAGGTTGCAGATGGCCCGTAACGCCTCCCCCCCCCCCCCCCCCCCCCGCTCTTCTCTGGTCGCCCCTCTCAGAGCTGGTTGACCGCCAGCCGGTTTTGCTGATCGCTAACCTCCAGAATATCCGATGCACCTCCCTAAGGGGCCACCCGTCCCGGCTCCCCCCCATCCCTACCAAGCAGACAATGGCTATGGACTTCATCTACGCTGAGGAGACGGTGTGCTGGATAGATGTAGGTGACAGTCCGGCTACCACCGAGCTTAAGTGTGCCAGCATCAAAGACCTGAAGACCGTCAGTAACATCCGCACCATCAACGTCACTCTCAGCTTACACCGTAAGTAGTGATTTCATTTGTTAAAAATGTGAGAAATGTCATTTAAACTGTTTCATTATTTTAATATCAGACACACTATTAAAAGAACTTTTCATTGAAGCTGTTAATTGCTTGCGATAGAGAATAACTAAAAGCCCTCAGGTTACTAAATGTGGTTTTGAGGTTGCGTTGCTTTGAGGTTTACATGTTTTGCCATAGAAATTCAAGCATGTGTCTTATCAAATGTTACATGCAAAGCACTGCAGTGATGTGACAATGCTGTTCAGACTAGCATGAAAAAGCAAACAAACAAACAAATAAAACATATAGGAAAGATTTATTTTCAAGTCTTCTGTGTAGGGCAGTCCTACTCTGACTCACTGCGCAGTCAATCTGATGAGGCAATGCTTAGGCAACTGATTTACAGTGATAAGATTCATAAAGGCTGCCAACATGCCTTGAGGCATTAGTTTGCACATTTCTTATCTGGCAAATGGTAACCTACTTTTGAGCATGATTTATAACCAGACCTTTGAATGTGAATAGCTATCCTGAACTACAAATATTTATTTATCTTTTTCCCCATGTGGACGAGTTGAATCGGATGCATCGTCTGATGAAAGCGATTCATATTTAAAGCTTGGCACTCAGACGCACGTTTCATTGTGATTCTATCTAATCCTTAGCCTTATTGCATTGAATTAAGTTTTTGCTAAACAGGGAAACAAAAGCTGAAACATAATCTACAGCTAAACTTATATTGCTTAATGTTGAACAGTAAACTCATTGACAGTAATTGCTTTTTAAGCAGAGATGACCTTTTCATGTTTTTCTCTATTTCCAACTGTTAACAGTGTGGACAGTTTGGAATTTCAACCACTTGAACCCATGACCAGCACTCATTATGAATCCAAAAATTTGCCTTTTAATATTTTCAGCAGAAACTGAAAATAAAGAAGCTTTGTAAATGTAAAAGTAGTTGTAGAACTATTTTATGAACTGCATGAGGTCACCAGCTAATTTGATTTAAGTGTCTGGTTGGTGGAATATCACTGACAAATCTGAAGGCAAGTACCTGTCTTTTTTTTTATTATCATAGCATCGGTACTCGAACCAGGGTTGTTTTGTGACATTGCATTAAGTTGCAATGTCTCCATCTTCTCTGTTGTCTTGTCCTTGGATTCTAATTTGACAGCGTCTGACATTTGTTTTTTCTCAGGTGTGCATTTATACCTGCTCCAGTACCGTACATTCTGTCCTAGGACCTGTGTGGAGTTGCTAACTGATGTTTGTACATTGAGTCATATTGCCAATTGACACATCTGGCTAGTGGAGTTAGTGTCTTCACACACACAGACTCTCACACACAGCTCGGTGCTTCGAATTTAGGAACTTAGTCATATAACACTGACATGATTTCTCTTTGATTATAATCCAGACGAGCTTTGTGTTTATCCTCTGGGCTTCCAGATCTTTTACTCTCTCAAAATGAGGGCCGAAACGTAGTCAAAACATTAAAAGAGAGGGTGTGGGTTTGTGTGCGTGTGCAAGTGGACGTGCACGTGGGAAGCTTTCCCTTGAGAATTAGCCCCGGGCGGGAACGGCAGACATGCGAACAAACAGCAGAGAGGCTGATTGTGTGGTGTAGACCCTGTGGCTTGATTAGTAGTTTCTCAGCTCAGATGCATTTGAAACGGGGCCTGTGTTTCTCAGCCGACAGAACTCTTTCATTCAGCTAAAGATATGCTTGATATGAGTAAATATCTTGACCATACATGTATATTATAGAGTGGATACAGTTTTATAAGACGCAGTAGCTGGTTTAACTTTTTTTCGCAAAAAAACTATTTGAACCTGACCTTTCTGTAGACAACAGAAGTAGGCCTAACCTAACCAGAAATATTCACTAAAGAAATGGTTAGAGATCATTTTAAGGAATCGCTTCAGTGTCCCTGAAGAAGTCAGGTACTTGCTCATCTCTTGGGAAACATCAGTCAGTCACATGACTTTGCTGTTTTCTTACTCAGACAGATGAGTCACATCTGTCTGATCTTTGATCAGACCACCAGGTTAAAACACGATGGTTAAGTTGTTTTCATTTCCCAAACCCTGTATAAAATCTTGTGTGAAAAGGATTTTAAAAAAAATGTTTTAAATCAATGGATTTACTCTCTCTGTCATAGCCCAGCCAACCCCAGCCTGAGCCCTGAACTGCCACTGTAGCAGGTCTTTACTGTTTCCGCTCAGCTTCTCGTACTCAATCTTTTAGATATGAATCAAAAACAGAAATTGAAACCGAGTTAGTGTTTAATTTAGCAAACATTTGCAGCAACTTCATGTGGACCTTCAAGATCTGCATCTTTTTAACTTTAAACAAAATGCTTTGATGGTTGATTTGATCCAGGAACCAAAATTTTAAGCCACAGCCACATCAACTCTCTGATGTGCATTTCATGAATTAAAAACTAGTCTTTAACGCATCCTAGCATGAAAGTAAAGACAAATTATTTGAAATAGAGAAAAAAAACTGTCATTCCCAGCAGATGAAGGGTCTGCTTCTGGGAAGAGGGACACGGGGGTGGAAGCGAGAGGGGCTGTGAAAGCAGGACTTCATCGGAGTTGAAAGGAATGATAAAATGAGAGGGAGAAAGAGAAGTTTGTGATTTGTTGTACCTTAGGGGTGTGTTTGTGTGGGAGGGTGGTTGCTGCTGGTGGTCATGCAGATGGTATTTACATTCCTCTGTTGGGTTATGTCAGCCTGAAAAGTCTCTAAATTTGTCTGGCTGTCTTAGATCCGTCCACTTAGTTAGTTTAACGGCATTCATAGCCGTCATAGGAGCTCCACTTACCCAAATACCTTCCACCCATGGATCTACTGTAAAGGCTACCTTTAATACATTGAATGCCTGAGTGTGTTGTCACATTTTGTGCTGTTACACTACAGATGCTTATCACGTTATTCTGCTGTTTTTTTTAAACTGTCATACAGCAATAACATAATTTAACATAAGAGGTCTTCATTAATTCCATTTATCTAAGCCAAGCAATTTGGCTAAAGATTTTTTGAAGGATAGTATTGTTTGCTCTGAAAATCCAGTGAACATCCTCCCTGAGTTCTATGTGCCGTTCGCGGTTTGCTCGTCTTGTCTATTTGATGGTCAACTTTGGGCATACTTATCATGTTACCGGTGCCAGCGTGCTCTCTCTCCCTGCTGTGGTCATTGTTTGAAACAAGCGGGGCTCCAGTGCTCTTGTAAAAGTAAGCGTTGCAGACTTGGCGTTAGGTGCGGGGCTTGAAGCAGGGTTCACACAAACACGGTGATTTATTGCTTCAGGGAGCCTGAGACAGCGGGGCAGATAAGTAGATGAGGGTTCCAGATGTGGCTTGCCCTGTCGGCATGTGATTCCCTGACTGGAAAGATAAAAGGGAGCTGAGCCGTCCAGTCCCATCCTCTCTTGATCAGTCTGCATATTCCTTAATTTGCTTTTTTCCCCTAGAAATATCTGTATACATTTTGAGTTTTTAGGTGTATTTCTAGTTTGTAATGTATTTATTTAAGCAAAACTACAGCGCCAGCGCTTTTAGCTGGGTCCAATTAAATCGTGCCTCAGTGCCCTTACCATCAATCGATGACTCACTGGAATTGAACCGATGTTTATTGAGGATTTGGAAGTACTGCCTCTTGAATATGTTGGATCCCAACAGAAAATCCTAAACGGATGAGCTCCAAAACTGTGCTCGTAAGAGGTCAAAGAGTATGTTTTTTGCGGGGTAATAGGATCATCTTAGCACAGACAGGATTATGGAAGCTGGATGATCGCTATTCTTTTCCGTCTCGCGTGTTAATACTTGCCCCCTCAAGCTAATGGAGGAAATGGCACAGAAAGATCAATTCTGAGGCACTCCTTCTTAGCTTATGCGCTGATGGGTGACGCGCTTGAAGAGCTATATATGGTGTGGTTGTGCGAGTAAACAGCAGTGGGATGGCAGCTCCGGTGGAACACACACTGCATTTGTTGTTTAGCCCCCTATCGACCCCAGGAAACCGAAAGGAGTTGCAAATGTAGGTGCTCAGATGTGAAGAGAGGGGCGGGTTCATTCAGTTTCCCAGCAAACTTTCCATTTAACAGAGGCAGCATGAAGGGAGACGTCAATAGAGCAGCCAGCTCTCTGGATACGGGGGTTCATTAGGTTGTTGCACCATGTAGCAGTTACCCGGTTGCACAACTTTCTCTTTGTTCTGTATATAAATCTAGTGAGTTTCTTGTTCCACCAAGTTTCCAGCTGGACTCCTTTAGAGGGTAGGGGTAGGTTTTTAAACTGATACAAATGGGAATAATACTAACCCTCCTTAGTTACGCAGCTAGTATTTTCATTTTCCAGAATCTTAAATCTGAGTCTCACTGAAGACACCAGAACAACATTGTCCTCGGCTTCCCATTTTCTCATAAAATGTGCACAAAAACTATCCCCAAGCATTCTTTCAGACACACAGCACTTGTATTTTTCATTCTCTGGGTTTGGTAAGAGGTGTGGTGGGTTTCTGAATTAGGCCCAGATGTGGCAGGGCTCTGTTGTGCAACTTTTAAACTGCATTGTCGAGGGCCTCGGCGCAGACTTCTTTTTCCTTTTCTGAATGACCAAATATTCGGGACAGCCTGCTCTATGACAGCACTGCTACACCCTGTCATACATTCCAAAATCTAGGAAAGACAAATGTGGTGACTTTATTGGTCTATGTCTGAGTAGTTGGCCAGGGTTGTGTGTGTATGGGTGCTTTTAAATAACCTGCAACCGCAGCTGTTTAAACAAGACCGTCTTTCCACAAAGATCTTAAGCTGCAATGCTTCTTCTTTCTTAATGGACTCGGTGGCATTAAAAAAACATGAAGTTTCTTTTGTGAGAGGTGCAGTAAAAGTTGGTGCATTTAATTAGCTGATTGTCATGTTATTTTTCTATCGCAAAAAGCTGAAAAGGCTTTGCCAGGGCATGTTAAAGTTGGGCTGGCATTTTGTATTTGGCCAATACCTTATCAAGATATTTGATTTAGATTTTTACTCTAATTAATTGCCCCTCTGGATGCATGCCCTCTCCTGTAGGGGAGGTCCATTTCTTTTTATGGGTTGAAGTCCAAAATGTCTTTCTACTTCCATAAGGAAACTAATAAAGCAAATTCTATTAAACTTGATGGAGAGAGCAGCGTGGGCAGCTGATCCCTCCTCTGCCATCCCAGCTGTCGTCTTTGTTTGTGCGTTCTACTTGTCTTTGTGTGATTCTAAAACTTAAATAGTTTAACTGCACTCCTCAGAATTCTAGATGAGTACATTTCACATATTGTAGCTACCACCCACAGGCAAAAGCTTAAGTGTCTCTAGAAGCAAGCCCAATGTTAACGCTGGAGTTCATTTCTCAGTGTTCAAGTTTACAAAGTGCAGGGCTTCACCTCTCTCTCGTGCTGTAACTTTATATCTTTAATTTCCGTGCCTGAGCTGGGCCTTTATCAAACACAAGTGAAGCAGTGCTAGTACACAGCCTGACAAGGCAAAGGAGCACAATAGTTGAGCGCTTTCCCATGTATGTAAAGGGAGTGAGTATTCTAAAGGAGTATATCTGTAAGAAACATAATCCTGGTATTTGCTCAAGAGTTCACAAAATGCTGTGATTTATGTCCCCCCCCCTAATGATTTCATCTTGTGCGCTTTCCTTCTCTCCCTCTCCCTCCTCTGCATCCATCAGATGTGGAGCAGATGGCTATAGACTGGCTGACTGGAAACTTCTACTTCGCTGATGACGTGGGTGACCGGTTGTTTGTCTGCAACAAAAACGGTCAGACTTGCGTGACCTTGCTGGACCAAGAGCTGTACAACCCTAAAGGCATTGCACTGGATCCCACAATGGGGTTTGTACTTCAGTCCGTCCTTGTTTACCGACATTAACCCCTCAACCAATGCTTAAGAGGAACATGCTGTCCCATGATCAGGCAAAGTGCTGACCAAGCATGAAAAGCAGCGGTCAAAGCACTTCCCCCAGACATTAACTCAGACAGATACTTGAATGCTTTATAAAACTCTGGTTCCTAAATAAAATTAAAAAAAGAAGATGGCACTCATGTAGTTCCATTTTTTGCAAAGTATCAATTCTCTATTTTTTTTTTCACTTGGTCCACAAGTGAACATGCTCACTTGTGGTCATTTGCGAAAGCTAAATCTCTCATTCATGTTCTGAAATGCAACAATTCCCTGTTGTCAGTACAATTAACATCTTCCATATTCTCCCTTCTGCTCCTCCTCTACAGTAAAGTGTTCTACACAGACTATGGGTCGACTCCAAAGGTGGAGCGCTGTGACATGGATGGTCAGAACCGCACAAAGCTTGTGGACAGTAAGATCGTCTTCCCCCACGGTATCACCCTGGACCTGGTCAACCGACTGGTGTACTGGGCTGACGCCTATTTGGACTACATTGAAGTGGTTGACTATGAGGGCAAAAACCGACACACCATCATCCAGGGTCAGCTGGTGAGGTTTTATGGATGCTTGGACAGTTTTTTCTTTTTTTTTCTGTGTGTGTGTTTTTTAATAATAGTATACCAACATATTGTTAGAGGACATACAGATGCACCAAAAACATTGTTAAACAGAGTTGAACTTTACATAATATGATTGCTCTGGGTCCTCAGACGTGACTCTTCTTGCCTATAATGCAAAACATCTGTTTTTCTATTCTGTATCATCTCTGATTTAATGTCATCATCTTTTGAAGCGGTACTATTTTCCAGTTGTCTCCTGTGTATCTAGGCAATGAAAGTATGCCTCTCCTGGGAAGCAGAGTTTTTATTGCCTTGATTGATAAAACTGATCGCATGTTATTTTCTTGGCTAGTGCCTTTCTTAACTTATTAGTTAGGCCCGAGCAACTCTTGGCTTTAACTTATAGTGGAGTAATGATCTTAATGAAATCTGGACGGTGTTGGCGTTTGCAACCTTAGAGAACTGGGGTGGTGGGGTGGGTGGTAATTTGATCCTAAACCATACATCTCTCTGACAGAAGAGGAGAGCCGCACTGAAAGAACCCTTAAGAAACAAAAACCTCACTCTCCGTTTGACAGCAGATGGAAGTTCACGATTAGGCTGCCCCGTGCCAAGTTCACTCAAACATTTTTCTCTTTATCTGTCTCTCAGTCTGTATGCTTGTCTGCCTTTCAGAGATTAGTCTTTACTTAAAAAATCATTAGCCATTTTGCACGGCTAAGAAAAACAGCGGCAGAGGCTTCGTTTAGCTTTATTTGTCTGGCGGTGCTCTAGATAAAAAAAATGTGTGCAGAAATGACATGCAATTAGTCATGCAGCCTGTGCTGTTTTGCTTGGACCCTGAGTGTTTTCAGTATCCTACAAGAAGGCGTTTTCATCTTCCTTGTGTTACAGATTAAACACCTGTACGGACTGACTGTATTTGAGAACTATCTCTATGCCACAAACTGGGACGAGGGCAACATCAACTCCAAGACCAGTGTGTTTCGAGTGAACCGCTTCAACAAACAGGACTTTCACGTGGTGACCCGTTTGGACCGGGGGGGCGCGCTGCACGTGTACCACCAGAGACGGCAGCCTCAAGGTTCGCAGCGCGTTTCAGGGCTCAGCCTTCGCTTTAACGCCTGACCTCTGTCTCAGACCCACCGCAGCAACAACTCCTGGTCACTTAGCTCGTGTGGTTTGCTGTTAAGGTGTTCTTCTCCTCCTCAGTGCGCAGCCACGCATGTGCCCTGGACCAGTTTGGAAAGGCTGGAGGCTGCTCTGACATTTGTCTGCTGAGCAACAGCCACAAGGCCCGTACCTGCCGCTGCCGCTCCGGCTTCAGCCTAGGCAGCGACGGCAAGTCCTGCAAGAGTGAGTGTCCCGACCGGGGGGGGAATTTCCAATCCGATATGTGGAAACAGAAGCTGCATCCTTGGCAGAAGTAAAGGTCTCTTACACGTGAGCCGTGTCCGTGTTTCTGGTTCGTGTCTGCAGAACCAGATCACGAGCTGTTCTTGGTGTACGGGAAGGGTCGTCCCGGGATCATCAGGGGAATGGACATGAATGCTAAAGTGCCCGACGAGTACATGATCCCCATTGAGAACCTGATGAACCCCCGAGCTCTGGATTTCCACGCCGCCAGTGAATTCATTTACTTTGCCGATGCCACCAGTTACATCATTGGCCGACAGAAGATAGATGGCACAGAGAGAGACACCATTCTGAAGGACGGTAAGGAGGAAACCAAAGCTAATTCAGGAGCTTTTCTAGAATTTGGACAGGATAAAATCTACATTTCTAACAGCCCAGCAAATAGTCAGTTTTTTCACACTGACCTGCTTTGCTTCTCTTAGGTATACGTACGGTAGAGGGAATAGCAGTGGACTGGATGGGAGGTAACCTCTACTGGACAGACGATGGGCCAAAGAAGACCATCAGTGTTGCGAGACTGGAAAAGGCCTCACAGACCCGCAAGACTCTCATTGAAGGGAAGATGAGCCACCCTCGTGCCATTGTTGTGGACCCACAGCACGGGTGAGGCGTCAAAGAGAAGGGAACGTCTGCTGTTATGATGCAATGGTTATTTTTTCTCATAAAGGCTCCAGATTAGAGATTTCATGCAGCAGCATTCAGTAGCTGGAGAGGATGGCCTCAGGGTTTGACTGCAGCTGTGTAGGCAGCCGGCACTCTCAAGATGTGTTTGTGTGAGCGTGTTTGTATGTGTGTGGGAGGAGGTCTGTTCAAGGGATTTTTGGATACTCCTACCCTTGTCTTTGCTGTGAGGTTTTCAATCAGCTCAAAGGTTCATGTTGTGATATTTGCAGCTTTTACAGGAATGTCTTATCTGACATCACTTTTGAATGTTGTGATGCCTCCCGTACTTTCCCAGATGGATGTACTGGACAGACTGGGAGGAGGATCCCACAGAGAGCAACAGAGGGAAGATTAAGAAAGCCTGGATGGATGGCTCACATCACCAAGTGTTCCTGACCAGCAAAACAGTGCTGTGGCCCAACGGCTTGAGCTTGGACATTCAACAGGGAATCCTGTACTGGGCGGATGCTTACTATGACCGCATCGAGTTGGTTTATCTTAACACCACTGAGCGAAAGGTTGGTGTTATTCTGAGATTATAGCGCATTTCGTGTTGGTTTATAGTTCATAAAGAACATTTAGGGTTAAGACAAAAACCTTTTTTTTTTTTTTTCAGACAACACATTTTATCTAACGTGAAAATGTCAAATGTGTCACTTTTTTAGACATGACATGAACCTGCAAGAGAACTGATCAACACTTGAAAAAAACAAAATAAATCTTGCGGAAAGCATCAGACCTCACAGCACTACATAATTCAAAATTTCTTTGTTTCTTTATTTTCCTGTTTTGTTGAGTTGTTTATTTTTGAATATATATATATGTATAATCTTAACAAGTGCTTTTCTTCACATTGGGGAAAAAGCTGCTCATGGTTGCTTAATTTTGAGATTGGATCCTTCTCTGTTTCTGGAATTAACAGGTTGTGTATGAGGGCCCGGAGTTAAACCACGCCTTCGGCTTATGTCATTATAAGAATTTTTTGTTTTGGAACGAGTACCGTGGTGGTAGCATCTACAAACTGGACCAGACCACCAAGACTGTGACTCTCCTCCGCAATGAGAGGCCACCCATATTTGAAATAAGAGTGTTTGATGCACTCCAACAGCAGGGTATGCTCCTCGAACTCCAATTCCACTCAGTTTTGTCTCATCGAATACCAGTCAGTACCATATTATGACAGCATTGCTTTCTTGGCGTGCTTTTGTTTAGGCTCCAACGCATGTCGAGTATACAACGGGGGCTGTAGCAGCCTGTGCCTTGCCATTCCTGACGGCAGATCATGTGGGTGTGCTGATGACCAAATCCTCGATGTTGATGGCGTCACATGCAAAGGTACATGCTCACTGCACCAGATTGGTACTTCACACATCAACTTGGAAAAGATGGAAAGCTCATTTTCTAAGCTCGGGTTGTATTTGATCATTTTTGGCTGGACGTTCAAGTTCCAAGCTATGAGGTCATGTCATGTCCTAATAGGAAGAGGGGTTTTGAAGAAGCTCCAAAGGGTTTTTATATGTGATATGAGGAAAAATAAAAAGCTTTTGTTTTGCGTCAGTGCTCTGTTCATGTCTCAATGGCCCCATTTGTTTCCCCTCCCCACCCTGGTGTCATATGTAGCCAACCCCTCCTACATGCCCCCGCCACAGTGCCAGCCCGGGGAGTTTGCCTGCAAGAACAACCGCTGCATCCAAGAGCGCTGGAAATGTGACGGCGACAATGATTGCCTGGACAACAGCGACGAAGCGCCGGATCTCTGCCGTGAGTCTGCCACGTCGTCGTCATGGCCACAAAAGCAACAAACAGCTAAATGATATTCTGCTGGAAGGTCTTGGCTAACACAAACTGACAAAGCACATATAAAGTTTTCCAAAGGTTGTCTCTTTCCATTCAGCGTAGTGTATTAATTCAGCAGCCAGCTTCGTCCTCACGAGGCATAGTGAGAAGAAAATGAATCACTTTTGTCTTGGATCTTTTTTTCTTTTTTTGTGCCTAATTTAGAGTGGCATTCTTAAAGGGCTGCAAAGGTTATTTAGATGACTGGAGGGGCTGTGAGTAAAAACTGTCACTTCTAGAAGATGATGAATATTTTCGTCTCCACCATCAGACCAGCACACCTGCCCGGCTGACCGTTTCAAATGCGAGAACAACCGCTGTATCCCCCTGCGATGGCTGTGTGATGGTGACAACGACTGTGGCAATGATGAGGATGAATCCAACACCACCTGCTCTGGTACATACAAACGCGACATACAAACGATTTGTTGTTTTTTTAAAATTAATTTATTTGATTTACAAGACGGGAGGCTTGTTTTTGCTACTGAAGCAATTGGTTTTACTGCTCTATGAGACTGTACCGTTGATTTAAAAGGTTTTAAAAGTGTTATGTGCGTCTGTCTGTCCTTTATTTTATTTTTTTAACTCTATTTTAACATGCTTCCCTACTAGCTCGTACATGCCCACCTAACCAGTACCCCTGTGCCAGTGGACGCTGCATTCCTATCTCCTGGACATGCGACCTGGATGATGACTGTGGAGATCGCTCAGATGAACCCGACTCCTGTGGTGAGCCTCACCACCCTTCATGTTCATATTCTTTCTATTGCTTTACAATAACATGGCTAATGATGCATTTTCTGTCATCTTATGTCCTTCCCATCCCAGCCTATCCAACCTGCTTCCCTCTGACTCAGTTCACGTGCGCCAACGGCCGCTGCATCAACATCAACTGGCGCTGTGACAACGGTAACACCTTCGCTCGGCTTTCAGAAAGCGGCAAAACGATCAAATGGGGCAGTGATTCACAGGGGAATGTTCCTGTGGTTTCCTGTCTGCAGACAACGACTGCGGGGATAACAGCGACGAAGCGGGCTGCAGCCACTCGTGTTCCAGTGTGCAATTTAAATGCAACAGCGGCCGCTGCATCCCAGAGTACTGGACCTGCGACGGCGACAACGACTGTGGGGACTACAGTGACGAGACTCACGCCAACTGTACCAACAAGTGTAAGAAACGACAGCAACAACAGCAGACTGTTTCGGCTCTGTTTGAGACATTTGTCATGTCAAAGTGTGTGTCAGTCCTTCACTTATTCAAGTTTTGTGCGTGTGTCTGCGTGTGTTTGTTTGCCAACTACCTGGTTGATGCCGTCTATCATAATATGACGAATAGCACTATAAAGATGCAATCTTCCTCCTGTCTTTAACTCTACATGATACCTCTTGCCTGCTCCATTCATCTTCCCCTGCCACTCCCATCTGTGGCTCTGTTCAGGGTATGATAATGTTTTTGTGGTTAGGCGGCAATTAAACTCTTTCATGCTCAGTGAAAATGTCACTGTTGTTTTGACTTGCCTGTGGTGATATGGATTTTCGTGTTTACAGATTTGAATAGCTGATGTCGAGCTGCTGAGGAATTTAAAGTCAGGCAGCATCAGTGGTGACTGCATTGAAATGCACAGTAATACTCTGCTCTTAACCTGGTTATGATTAATATATTATTCGAGTTAGCAATATTTATTAAACAAGCTATGCGGAGTATGCCGGTCTTGTTCTAAGGATGTGGTTGTATATGACTTTTAACTTCTTGTTTTTTTTTTATTCTATTGAAAAGAACCCTGTCCTTTGATCTGATCTGGTAATTCTGTTACAGATATAAAGACGATTGAGTGTTCTGATGAGGACATTTTTAGGACTAGGGAACTAACTCAGGGTTTCTCCCAAATTAGTTTATGGATGAATAGATTTGATTAAGCCTGCAAACATTGGCCTTGCATATGGAAATGTAATGTGAGCATAAGTCCCTATTAAGACTTGCTCAGTAACTTGTTAAAATCAACATGAACTTGGAATCTTATGTGCAACACAAACATCATGATTTAAATCATTGGTTTACGTAGATTAATCATCGGAGCTTTCCATGTACATATGGCTGTTTTGCTGTCCTCTTTCAGATCCTAGTCTGCTAAAAAACAAAAGCTTTTGTACATTAAGTGCTCTGTGTACTGTTGGATCCATGCAATCTGTTCTCTGTTGTGTGTGTGTGTGTGTGTGTTTGTGGGCTCTCTTAGCTTGCTGTCTGGAAGCTATTAGTGAAAAAAGCAACACTATCCCCCTTCTCCTCCAGCATGTCCAGTTTCCATTTCCTGATTTAACTTGCCAAGTACTGACTTTTGTCATGAGTGGATGTCATCTGGCCACCTCCACAGTGGTGCCTCTAATCTGTCTATGACTTCAGAGAGATGTGTGTGTCAGTTCTGTTTCACTTGGCTCAGTGTCAGTTTGTTAAACCAGCATATTTACCATACAGACACATTAATAGATTACTGTAAAAGCTTTTTCATTCTCTTTAGCTTTTGGCCACGTATATTTAGATGCTGCTGGTTTAAGTTATTTTTCAGTCACAGTCTCCTGATGAAATTTCAAATATACTTTGGCAAAGTCCATCTTTTTTAGCTAAGTAAAACATTTAATATCTCTGTTTTCTCTTTAGCAACCCGCCCCCCAGGTGGCTGCCACAATGATGAGTTTCAGTGCCGGATGGATGGCCTCTGCATTCCTATGCGATGGCGCTGTGATGGCGACACGGACTGCATGGACCTGAGCGACGAGAACAACTGTGAGGGTGTCACCCATATGTGTGACACCACAGTCAAGTTCAGCTGCAGAGACTCTGGTAAGGACTACTTCAGCTCTCCTTCGATGCACAAATCAAGGGCTAGTAATTTATTTGCAAAAAACTTGAATTCTGTTTCCCCATTTTTGTCTTTTTTCTCCCTGATGCTAAATGATGATTAAAGGATTTTGCCCCAAATTTCTATAGAATCAATACTGGTGATTTCCTGAAACTGAGATCACAAAGTATGTGCACTGGTAATTCAGCTGTAATGAATTCATCATCTGGGAATTCAAATTGTGTGGCCTTCCTCAGCTCGCTGTATCAGCAAAGCATGGGTCTGTGATGGCGACAGCGACTGTGAGGACAACTCGGATGAGGACAACTGTGAGGCTTTGGTGTGCAAGCTGTCTCACCACATGTGTGCGACCAACGACTCCATCTGCCTGGCACCTGAGAAACTGTGCGACGGCACTGATGATTGTCCGGATGGCTCTGACGAGAAACTTTGTGGTAAAGATATTACCGATGGCCTCCCACCGTTAGAAAAAAGATTGAAACGATCGTTCCAAATAAACAAAACATGTGCATTGATAATTTACAACGCTTTCTTCTATGCTTCCTGCAGACTTGTGTTCATCTGACAAAGGGGGTTGCAGTCACAACTGCAGCATCATTCCGGGGGAGGGCTTCATGTGCTCGTGCCCCCTGGGAATGGAGCTGGGCGCTGACAACAAAACCTGCCAGATCCAGAGTTTCTGTGCCAAACACCTTAAATGTAGCCAGAAGTGCGAACAAGAAAAATCCAGCGTCAAGTGCTCTTGTTATGAAGGCTGGGAGCTGGAGGCAGATATGGAGAGTTGTAAAAGCACTGGTAAGGGCAAAACTGGACCGTTGAGATAGCTGTGGTATGATTTCATCAGGGATAAACAGCTGTGTTTGTGCAGATGGACTCTGGGGAAAGATTTAGAGCATCAAGATACTAGCACTGTTCTGAGTGCTATTTCATGTCATTTTTAGATCCCTTCAAGCCTTTCATCATTTTCTCCAATCGGCATGAGATCAGAAGGATTGACCTTCACAAGGGAGAGTTCAGTGTGCTTGTACCAGGCTTGAGGAACACCATTGCACTGGACTTCCACCTTAACCAGAGCACACTCTATTGGACCGACGTTGTGGAGGACAAGATCTACCGAGGAAAACTGTCAGAAAATGGAGGTAATTTTTGGTGACATTGAAAAACAGATGGGTTGGAGGAATGGCCTCTTAGAACAAGTCAAATGTACATGTTAATAATCTAATTTTCCGTGTCCTATATTTAAAAGGTAAATAAGAAAAGAGATGAAAGTGTGAGCAAATCCTGTGTTTGTAGAGAATTTCAGGAAAAATATATTTGACTCATAAAACTTTTTAAAACCGATAATTCCTCCGAGCCAAGTGTTTCTTAAAGCAGTCTGTGGACAGCAGTGGCAGTCTGTGACCCTGAATAAATGTACCAGGTCATGGTTCGCCTTTCTTGTTCCAAAACCCCAGGTCTCATTGCCAATCAAGGTTGTGTTCCCAGCACAGCACTTCAGGGGCACACGGAAGGCTTTGTCTCTTCTCATTTGTTTCAACTCTCACTGTGCGTGACTGTTGCCAGAGAACTGACGTTGCACAGGAGGCACAAAACTTTGCAGTGCTATTTCACAGCCCTGCAAGTCTTCCATAAATAAAGGCAGGGACATTTTGAACAGCTCATAGATCAGCTCCTGCTGCTCATTATGGAGCCCATTTCAGTGTCTCCAAGCCATGTACTGGATATTGCCAACAGCCTAATAAAGATTCCCATGCTTCCACACACTCAGACAGCCGTTACTCCAACATTCCTTCAAGTGAACTGTGTAGAGGTCCCTGTCTAATTATTATTGGAAGGGCTTATGATCTTTCTTAGCCAAAATGATCAAACATTTTGGTTTCGAACTGTTCACGAGAGCCAGTTGTTTCTGGGAAATTATTGAATAGAAAGTGATCTGGTGTTGGTTGCTTGTTTTCTTAGAAGGGGTCAGAGAAATGGTGCTTGTCAAAGTCAAAGCCACACCAGCAATGTTTGCCGTTTTGCTGAGGGAAAACGCAGAGGAATTCTCCAGTGCTTAAATACATTTTTGAGGTTTTTGCTTAAAAACATCCTTGTTTTGCTTATCTTGAACAAGGCCCACCTTCTGATTAAATCTATGTCATTATATACATATAACTCATCGCCTATGTTTCAGCCTGCTGATTACAATCCACTTGCCAAATACATGATAACAAGGAAAGTTTTGAGTTCCTGTTTCTCCGTCTTTTGCCCTTATCAGCCTTGACAAGTTTTGAGGTGGTGATCCAGTATGGACTTGCTACTCCCGAGGGCCTAGCTGTTGACTGGATCGCTGGAAACATCTACTGGGTGGAGAGCAATCTGGATCAGATTGAAGTGGCAAGACTGGATGGGACCATGAGAACCACTCTGTTGGCTGGGGAAGTGGAGCATCCCCGGGCCATCGCTCTAGATCCTCGTGATGGGTGAGATGAAGCGATTCCAAAGTCAAAACCACTTCAGAATCCAGAATCGAGTAGAATTATCAAGATGCTTTTAAACATGGAGATGAAATTCATGAGATTTAGCCTGTCGAGAGACTGTCCACATCTCAACAATCCCTCACACTGATCATTTTCTGTTGGCAGTATTCTATTTTGGACGGACTGGGATGCTAGCCTGCCCAGGATAGAAGCGGCGTCTATGAGCGGTGAGGGCCGACGCACCATCCACAGGGAGACGGGGAGCGGTGGCTGGCCCAACGGCCTCACCGTGGACTACATGGAAAGACGCATTGTGTGGATCGATGCCAGGTGACGTCACTCATGAGCTCATAACATCACCCACTCATTTGGTTTCCGTTTCTTTTTCCCGTGACTTTATATTTTCTCTAAACCTGCAGATGGTCTTTGGTTGTGTAACGCTACATACTAAACACAAATTGATATTGTAACATTTGTGGCGCCTTATGTCATCAGTGATGATTCAGTTAATGCCGTTATGTAAAATAAACACCTTTGTCTCGTTGCTTTTAAAGGTCAGACGCTATCTACTCGGCTAAGTATGATGGCACCGGACTGATTGAGGTGTTGCGGGGTCATGAATATTTGAGTCACCCCTTCGCTGTGACCATGTATGGAGGCGAGGTCTACTGGACCGACTGGAGAACCAACACTCTGGCCAAAGCCAACAAGTGGACTGGGAACAATGTCACTGTAGTCCAACGCACCAACACACAGCCCTTTGACTTGCAGGTCTATCACCCATCCAGACAACCGCAGGGTATGTTTGACACCAAGTCCACATGCATACAAGCCGTAATGGAGCAGAACAAGTACATGGACACACAGAGAGCATGCTCATCTCTCCTATCTTTAACTGCCTTTGGTGACTAGCAGCGGTTTAATTTAAAACGGAATGGTAAAGAGCTCACCACTCATTGCAAACCGTGTTATTAATTGGTTTTGTTCCACAAAAGACAGCTGACCTTTCACAGCTGTGAGATGTGGGCAGCAATTTGGTCACCCCCCACTGCTGCGCTGCTCAAAATGTCCCCTCGACTCCTTTCCCATGGCCTGCTTTGGAAATAGAACTTTTCACGTGCCACATGTGTCTCACCAGTGGAGGGAAAGAAAAGTTGTGTTTCATTGTGGTCATTTGAAAATGGCAGAGGGAGATCAGCACCACATCTGTGTGTGTGTGTGTGTGTGTGTGTGTGTGTGTTTACACTCATCAAGCTGATGTCATGGAGTCAGCCGCGTGAGGACAGCATTGCTGGTCAGAGCAGCCTGTTCCATCATGCGTGCTTGCCCTTACACACAACCCTGTTTCGCCACTATTGCCACCTCCTTTGCCAGCTCGGAGGCTCGCTGGCGGCGGGTCAGCTCTGACACCCCCAATGCCGCCTCCTCGCTGTTACGCTGATGTGCAGTGAAGGCACATCACTCCCGGCCTGAAAGACATGTGAAAATGGCAAATGAAAGCCTCCCGCAACGCAAATGTCACACGGTGATCTCACACTTAAGATGGCAAAAAGCGATGTCATGGCAGTTTAGCAGTGTTTTGTCAAATTAAACCGTCACCTTCATGTTCAGTACTGGCTTTGACAGCCCTGCGGGACCCTGGGGGCTCGTCACGTTTGACAAGAAAATAGATTTTAATGAAATTTTAATGGCCAGCTCCACTGTTTCCTATGACAGCCACGAGACAAATAGCTGCACTGACAAATGTGAACAAACGGAGCAAATATTTTCCCCCTGAACTTTCCTTGAGGAGCTGTTGATTAGGATGTTAACTCTAAGAAAAGGAGAATTCCCCACTGGTGTGAACTGCATATTGAGTTTTTTATTAAAGCAGACTATTTCAATAGCAGCATTTTCTGATCTCTCATAAAACCCACCCCTGCCTTTATTATGCAAGCATTAATCAGTACTTTTAAAAAGATATTTTCTGACTTCCTTTCAGCACCCAACCCATGTGCCACCAGTGACGGCAAAGGCCCATGTTCCCACTTGTGTCTCATCAACTTTAACCAGACCTTCTCCTGTGCCTGCCCCCACCTCATGAAGCTGCAGGCCGACAAACGCACCTGCAAAGGTTTGGATGCATACCATAGATTCATCAAGTTTTTTTTTTTTATTCTTTTTTGTTTTATTATTTTACCTGCAAACCAGCAGATGTGATGTTTAGGACGATAGGAGCATTGCTGTAATTTTGCTTTTATTTCATACAAACATCAAATGAAAGATGACATGAAAGATAAAGATGAATCAATTACTGCTGCGTGATTTAGTCAGTGATCACGGTTTTGAGGGCTACTCGGGAAAACTGATATGCAGGTGTGCTCATGTTCTCAATGTGACTGGGTTTATTTTCTCAAAGCAATCTTTATTATACATCTTTGTAATTTTCACTGCAGTTTTGATGTGAGGATAATTGGATTAGTGTGACTAATGCAATCCCCATTAACACAGGAATTTTAAGAGAGAAAATCTATTTCTAGGCTAAGAAGAAATAACCTTGCATTAAAGTTTCTCATTTTCAATTTTACTGCTTTACTCCAGTGGCATGAAATCTTTAATAAGAGGTAAATCTGCCATGCTCCACTCCGTCCTCCTAAATGAGTCCAATCTGTTACACTGCTGTCTGAAATTTCCTCAAATTATATTTCTCTATTGTTGAAAATGAAGTTCTTGTAATGATTTTAAAAGTTCCCTTTGTTTTCTCTAGAGTCCCGAAAGTTCTTACTCTACGCTCGCCAGATTGAGATCCGAGGGGTGGACATCGACAACCCTTACTACAACTACATCATCTCCTTTACTGTGCCAGACATAGACAATGTGACAGTCGTGGATTATGATGCTGTGGAGCATCGCATCTACTGGTCTGATGTGCGAACACAGACCATAAAGAGAGCTTTTATTAATGGTACTGGGGTGGAGACCGTTGTGTCTGCTGGTAAGACCTTTCTTAGGATTACTTGTTGTTCTAGTTTTTCTTTAATTTGAACTACAGTTTGTATTTAATTACCCCCCTGCGTTCTGAAATTCTTCAGATCTACCAAATGCCCATGGACTGGCAGTAGACTGGGTGTCCAGGAACCTTTTCTGGACCAGCTATGATGCCAACAAGAAGCAGATCAACGTGGCAAGGCTGGATGGCTCTTTCAAGAATGCAGTGATCCAGGGATTAGACAAGCCCCACTGTCTTGTCATTCATCCTCTACTTGGGTGCGTGTTCCCTCCAATTAGGCCGGCATTCAGTTCAACATGACATTTATTTGAAACATTTCTGACTCTCATTACGCCGATTGGAGAGATTTTTTTTGATAAATTTGTTTTCATGGCTTACTTTTCTTTTTAGAAACTTTGAATTTATTGCAGACTTTTTATCCCTCCCTTGAATTCATGACCACACTACCCCTTTAAGCCATCATGTCTGTTATGTGGTGCCACAGACAGTTGTTCTTTGCAATACAGATTTAAGTTCAACTTTGTTGTTAATGTCCCTCCTCAGGAAGCTTTACTGGACTGATGGTGACAACATAAGTATGGCTAACATGGATGGTAGTAACCACACCACACTCTTCACAGATCAGAAAGGCCCAGTGGGTAAGTAGACAGGACTTCTATTTCCAGCATGACTATGATTAAAAAGCAAACATCCTCTCTGCTTAATTACATGCTTACAATAGCATTATTGGTGAATTCCCAACATGTTGTTTTTTTCCATCTAGGCTTGTCTATTGACTATGAAAGGAAGCAGTTATACTGGATCAGCTCAGGAAACAGCACAATAAGCCGATGTCAGCTGGATGGATCCAACTTGGAGATCTTGGATGGTGTCAAAGGCAAACTTACTAAGGCTACGGCCCTAGCTATTATGGGTATGGTAATAAATTATCATAGTGTCATGATATAATTGCTGCATGCACTCTGAATCAAAACAAAGAGGCCAGTGAATTTTCTTTACTGTAGGCGACAAGCTGTGGTGGGCCGATCATGGAACTGACCAGATAGGGACATGTGACAAGAAGGATGGTGGAAACTGGAAAGTAATGCGAAATAACACCGCTCCAATGATGCACATGAGGATTTATGATGAAGACGTGCAGAAAGGTAGCAAACTATTTGAGAACAGTTATTTCTGTCTGCCCCCCCCCCCAAAAAAAAAGACAGTTTTGGTTCATTTGAATTCAATTACATCTGTTTGATCTGGAAGTTTGACCCGAAAAATCAGCTTTTTTAATCTCAATTTCCCGTAGCTGGCATCAACCTCTGCAGCAACAACAATGGCGACTGCTCACAGCTGTGTCTGCCCACTTCTCCAACAACAAGGTCCTGCATGTGCACGGCTGGATACAGCCTGAGAACAGGGCAGCAGTCCTGTGAAGGTAAGACGTGGCTTCGTGCAGTCGCATCTGCACTACAAACGCTTTCTGTTCTAAGAATGCAAACTTATTGTATTTCCCCGAGCAGGCATGGGCTCCTTCCTGCTTTATTCGGTTCATGAAGGAATCAGAGGAATTCCCCTGGACCCGGCAGATAAATCTGATGCCTTGGTGCCCGTGTCTGGCACATCATTGGCTGTCGGCATTGACTTTCATGCTGGTGAGTGACCCTAGAAGACTTCAGTAAAAAGATTAGATATCTTGAGTGGCATTTTTTTAAGCCACCATTATCTCATGTTCAGAGAATGACACCATCTACTGGGTGGATATGGGCCTGAGTACCATCAGCAGAGCAAAAAGAGATCAGACATGGAGAGAGGATGTGGTGACTAATGGCATTGGCAGGGTGGAGGGCATCACCGTTGACTGGATCGCAGGTTTTTATTATTATGCACTACATAATTGAAATCGTATTTTATTTTTATATAACACACAGTACTCCACAAGTTCAAATGAAGCGCAGAAAGTGATTTTTATATTTCTTTTGCAGGCAATATTTACTGGACTGACCAGGGCTTTGATGTGATTGAAGTTGCCAGGCTGAATGGCTCATTCCGCTATGTGGTCATTTCCCAGGGTCTGGACAAGCCCAGAGCTATAACTGTCCACCCAGTGAAAGGGTAAGGCTCCTTGCCAGCAGTTTACTTGCACTCTCTATCATAGTGCGGCCTCAAAGTACTTTCAATGTTGTTTGGACCAAACTTCAGAAACTCCACTTCTGATTTCACTATAGACGCTCTTTAAAAAGATCCCTTTGCTTCTATGCACAGTTATTTGTTCTGGACAGAGTGGGGCCAATATCCCCGCATTGAACGCTCTCGGTTGGATGGGTCCCAGAGATTGGTCATGGTCAACGCCAGCATCAGTTGGCCAAACGGAATTTCCATCGACTACAAGGTGTGGGCCACAAACAAAGCCATTTCAAACTTATTGATCTTTTAATAAGAAAAAATATTTGTCATACCTGTTTTATATACTTGAGTGCCTTTAGTAACATTATTACAACTTTGAATTGGAATAAAGTATACTTTAATGTATGTGTCTTTACGATCAGAGTCAGTCAGAGTTCATAAGACCATTATACCATATTTCCTCTTAAAACATAATGCCTTAATGTTCCGTAATATTCCTTTCTTCTGCCTGTAACTGCAGGAGGATCTGCTGTATTGGTGCGATGCCAGAACAGACAAGATTGAGCGCATTAACTTGGAGACTGGAGAGAACCGGGAGCTGGTGCTGGCCAGCAACAATATGGATATGTTCGCTGTATCAGTGTTTGAAGAATACATCTACTGGAGTGATAGGTCAGCTTCTTTGTTATTTTATATCTTTAAGAGTAAAGGATTGTTAGTAAAATGTGGTTTAACTGGCTCAGTTTTATCGTCTTTTGTTCAGGACTCATGCAAATGGCTCCATTAAGAGAGGCAGCAAAGACAATGCTACAGATGCTGTGCAGCTCAGGACGGGCATTGGCGTCCAACTGAAAGACATTAAGGTTTTTAACAGGGCCAGACAGAAAGGTGGGAGCATACACGGAGTAACCATAAAACCTAAAGATAGTTTTTACTGCATTTTCCAACGATCTCGTCAAAAGAGCAACGAGGACAGCGTAGCATAAACATGTCACACTCTCTGCAGGCACAAACATCTGCAAAGACAAAAATGGCGGCTGTGAGCAGCTGTGTCTTTACCGCGGCAACGGGGAGCGCACCTGCGCCTGTGCCCACGGCATGCTGGCCGAGGACAACCGCAGCTGCCGAGACTACGACGGATACCTGCTGTACTCCGAACGCACCATATTGAAAAGCATTCACCTGTCCGACGAGACCAACCTCAACGCGCCGATAAAACCGTTTGAGGATCCCGACCACATGAAGAACGTCATCGCCCTCAGCTTCGACTACCACGGAGGCGGAGGGAAAGGAGCCAACCGCATTTTCTTCAGTGACATTCATTTCGGCAACATCCAGCAGATCAACGATGACGGCACTGATCGCAAGATCGTTGTGGACAGTAAGTTTTTCGTTATGCGTTCCCAAAACAAACCCCATAACCAACTTTGCTTTGCAGCGTCCAAACACTTCCTGCTCTGTGTCGATGTGTTTTAATTTCGTTACCCTGTTTAGGTTTAATTTCTCTTTATTTACTTGAATTCAAATAATGAATTTCAGCTTGTTTATTGATGTTGCATTGAGATTTTTCTTGAAAAAGAATGAGAAGAGTTTTTCCGGCAGTTATAACATAATGTTTTTATTTCATCCAGTCAATCGGGGTTTAGGGGTGCATTCATTCTGATTAGACTGGAAATCAAAATCGCAATGTATCAGCACTTTATCAACCACTTTGTCCAGCCTGTGTAAATAATTCAAATATATAGAGATTTTATAAATATACCACAAGAAAAAATTTTGACGAATGATCCTGGTGGAATAAACTGGTTGAAAACTCCTTTTTTCCACCAGCAGTTGAACTCCTCACACTTTATTCAACATATTTACATGCCCATATTAAACATCACTTCTAATATTTAATACATAAAATCAATGCTTATTTGATTTAGTTTGACAAATGTCAAACTAATTCAAGTACAGGTTTGCAGTTTACAAACTTACACATTTGTTTAAGTTTTGTCCAGAATCAAGTTAGTAGTGGTTACCATTGTCACTTTTTGGTCTGGGTAAGTGTTCACCTCTTTCTGACGTTGTGTCCAGTTCAAAGGGCCTGACTGTGTCACTGCTCGTCACACACGAACCGATAATCGGGCAGCTTTTCCAGCAGGCCCAGCCCCCTCTGCCAAGTTCCAATAAGTCTCGTCTAAACTTCTGAGACATTAGTACGTACAGCACAGGGTTTATCACTGCGACTGAGCACGACAGCAGCCTGGCCAAAACGGGAAAGGTATTGTGACGCCGTAAGCCGGTCAGATTTCCTCCAATGATGGAGAACATGAGGGCGTAGGAGGGCAGCCACAGCAGCGTAAAGACAACAACCAGCAGAGCGGAGGTGTGAGTCACCTGGCGCTGGTAACGTTCCAGCTGTGGGGCATTACCCATCTGCCGCGCATGCTGGAGAAAACAGTAGATCTTGGCGTACATCAGCACGATGACACCGAGAGGTAGAGCGAAACCAAAGAGAAAAAGGGCGATGCTGTAGACCAGCTGGCAGACGTCGGACAGGAAGGCGAAGCAGTAAACTGTGCGGGACACTGTAATTGTGCGGAAGGCAAACTGCGGCGCTGCCAAGGCCGAGGCGGGGATCCAGAGCAGAGCCGCCGCCAGCTTAATGCGCCTGTTCATCCTTAAACGATACGCCCAGGTGGGGTGCACCACTGTGAGGTACCGCGTCACGGCCAAAGCTGCCAGCGTGAACACTGAAGCCGTGGAGCACATCACGCCCAAAAAGCTGATGGCTTTACACAGGAAGCCGCCAAAGGGCCAGAAGCCCAGGGTGATGGCGGAGGTATGGAAGGGCAGGCAGAGTAACAGCAGCAGGTCAGCAGCACTCAGAGCCAGCAGCAGGGTGTCCGTACCATGAGGAGGTTGGCTCTCTTTCTTTCTCCTTCCAGTTAGGATAACGATGACAAGGATCTGGCCCACAAGTCCAGTCACCAGAATCAACCCATCCAGGATTAACACCAAGACTCTAATGAAAGCCTCGTTTTGTTCGTTCCCTTGGTTGATGTCGCTGTTGTTTAATTGCCCTGAAGTCTCCATGCAGTCCCAGTAGAAACCGGTTAATTTGATATACTGATGATTTTAAGCATCAGAACAGCAGGCTTTATCTGGGTGACTGATCTGTTGGCTCCACTTCATCTCTTAAACTATATTAGCAAGTGTAATTACATTCCGCTGAGGCAGCTTGTTCTTTGATAATGATAGCAATTAGTTCAGCTATTAGGATCCCACTGCTTATTTGGCCTCTTTTGATTATGTCTGTTGTCTGTGCTTGCTCTCATGAGAAAAGTATCAAACAAATATTGTGAATTATTTTTATTCGGAAAACTGTTGATCAGAAAGGAAAATTAAGAGGATATCCTTTCTCAAGTGTCAAAAAATAGTCAACTTGCGACATGATGGTCCTGTTTATGTCTGGTTGAAAGCCCTCTTAACTTCTTAAATACGGTTGAACTTGACACTCCTTTTCTGAAAGAAAACAAATATATAGAAGGAACTTGTCAGTTTTCACTCAGCAGATATTACTTTAAAGAGCAGTCTTTAGACCCTTTATTAAGCTGGAGGAGTTCTGGGTACAACAGCTGCTCTGTGACTGTATTGATTCTTGACACCGCATTGGCACATTCATCCCGGTGCCAGCTAACATTCCTTTTTAAAAGCAGTCAATGCTACTTGACAGTAAATGCTCACCATAGCAGGAGATATTTTGCTCATTTTGAAGCTCCTCAGAGGCGTGTGGCATGCAGAATCCATCAGGTCCATCAGACTTGACGTATAAGAAAAAGCAGCATTGAATCCATGGAGGGGAGAAAACGCATGGTAAAATTTAGATTAACAAAAGAACTTCCCTGTGTCTACCACTTCTAAGTATCGCACACTGTTCAGCGAGGCAGTCGTCTCATCTACAGGTTCTGTGCACTGTTTGCTCTGTAACCAGGGACTGAGGAGATTTGGCCAATGAGAGGGCAGCCTATGATGTTCCTTATTATATAATCCTTTGCCTGTACACACTTTTTTTCCAGTGCGTGATCTTCGTGCCGTCAAAATGATTAACTTCTTCAAGGTCCATTCTCATTTCTGTTTGGTACAGGTTCGCTGCTCAGCTTGAGAAAGGGACTTGTTTATCTGACTCTATATTTATCCTAGAAATGATGTTTGCAGGTTATGAAGAAGGTTTTTAGCCGTATAATATCGTTTAGCGCCACACTTTAAAGTTAACCTGAAACAATTATTAAATGGCAATCACATACTTTAAGAGCAAACAATAAGTTCAGGTTTTTATTGTGTGCCATAAATGGTTATAAATGCAGTTGCCAGTGTTACCGAAAGACATGGAGCCTATAAGGCTCGAGTGTCATTTTCCATAATGTCCATCCTGACGTACACATGCGATCCACAGAAAAACAAATCTTTTAACACAGAATATCATACCAGTACTTGGTCAAAAGATTAAAGGGAAGGTTTGGTATCCAATCATGGCCAGATTTTTTTTTTCACTCTAAAGTTAGTCCAGTTGTGCCAGTTTTGTTCTCAGATTGAGGAGCCCGGAACACAGCCGAGCACAAAGGAACTGTTTTTGTGTGCAGGCAGATAACCATGACGGGATAAAACTGACACTTTTAAGTCACTCCAGGAACAGCTGCTCTGGCACATGCTCAGCTCTGTGTGGTATCACTGTCAGTTATTCCCTTCCCCTCTCACTCCTCTCCTTCCTCACCACTTCAAAAGCTGATTCAAGTGTATGTGGAAACCTGAAAGCCAAACACCAGCGGCTCTTAAGTATTTCCTTATTCAATTTTAGGGCAACTATGATGATGATTAATGTTTTGTTGAATTCTCTGTAAAGCTCACATTTATCCCTGTGAGATTTCTTTGTCAGGCAGAGTAAAACAGAGTTTGCTCCTCTTAGCTGTGACTTGGCAACAGACAAAAACAAATTTGTTTAAATATCACCATGGGTCTAACTTCTTCTCTTTCTATTTAACAGATGTCGGGTCAGTTGAGGGCCTGGCGTACCATCGAGGTTGGGATACACTTTACTGGACCAGTTACACAACCTCCACCATCACTCGCCACACCGTGGATCAGAGCCGCTCTGTGGCCTATAATCGCAACACTGTCGTCACTATGTCTGGAGAAGACCACCCCAGAGCCTTTGTGCTGGACGAGTGTCAGGAGTGAGTCATTATCTATTCTGCATTAAATCAAAATCTCTTTTTTACCCTGCCTTTTCAGTCATACGACAGATTTATTTTTAATTCAATCAACCCCAAAAGATTGGGTGAGCTCTCACTTCATGTCATATTTCTTTGTCCTCTGTTTACTTTCACTGTAGTCTCATGTTCTGGACCAACTGGAACGAGCAGGCTCCCAGCATCATGAGGGCCTCTCTGAATGGAGCCAATGTGATTGTCATCGTTGGCAATGACATCAAAACTCCAAACGGATTGGCCATAGATCACCGCGCTGAGAAACTCTACTTCTCGGACGCCACCCTTGATAAGATTGAACGCTGCGAGTATGATGGAAGCAGCCGTTACGTAAGGCGGCCCTTTAACCTGACCTTCTTTGATAAGGTTTATATTCACCAAGTGTAAGTGCATGATTCATGACCCTGTATTTATGCCAACAATGCCCGTCCTCAGGTCCTGCTGAAGAATGAGCCTGTCCATCCTTTCGGTCTGGCTGTGTATGGAGATTATATCTTTTGGACTGATTGGGTGAGGAGGGCTGTCCTTAGAGCTGATAAGTACACAGGAGGAGACATGAAAGTCCTACGTGCCGACATCCCTCAGCAGCCTATGGGCATCGTTGCTGTGGCCAATGACACCAACAGCTGTGAGTGTCTTTGCTATCGAGGATCAGCCTCTACCGTGTTGTCATTTTAAAGTTTTAGACTTTCAGAGAGGAACTTGTCCTTTAAAAGTACCTTATAATTTTTTTCCTAAACACTCTGTGTTTTTTAGGTGAGTTTTCTCCTTGCCGAACAAATAATGGAGGCTGCCAGGATTTGTGTCTGCCCACATCTGATGGGCAGGTCAACTGCAGTTGCCGTGGAGACAGACAACTTCTTGAAGACAGCACATGCTCTTGTAATAAACATTTTACACCTTTTACAGTGTTTGCTTTGAAGACCATCCCCGCAGGAAGATGTTCTGAATTATTGTTTGTTTCTCACCAGCGCTCAACGTGTCGTGCGGGAGTGTTGATGACTTTGAGTGTGGAAACGGGGACTGCATTAACTACAGCCTTACCTGTGATGGGATGGCCCACTGCAAGGACAAGTCTGATGAGAAGCAGTCCTATTGTGGTGAGTTTTTAAAGCATGATGAGATTGTAACCAGCAAGTTATTTCTAGTCATTTCTATCTTACTCCGGAGACAATTAACTGCTTGCGCTATTTAAAGCAGTTTAGAAATGGTATATGATGTGATATTAGAGAGAAATAAACATTATACTCATGGAATAGTTACTATTTTTAGCATATTTAAGCTCAGAGGAGAGTGGAGTGGATAAAAGCAATCAGTCGGATTTCTAAATTAACATCTCAACTCGACCGTTGTGCAGAGTGCTGTATTACTGTATTAGATATGATTGGTCACAGCCCCTTTTTTCCGTGCAGCCAATCGTATTTGTAAGAAGGGCTACAGGCGCTGCATTAATGGCCGCTGCATCGGTCACCAGTTCTGGTGTGATGGCACCGACGACTGTGGAGACCGTTCAGATGAACTGCCCTGCAATAGTAAGTAACCTTTATCCTAGTTCAAATATGGACAAGAGCACAAACTGTGTTCACTTTTTTGGTTTCAGTATCATTAGATTTGTTCTCTGAACACTGTTCAGTTGATTATCCAGGGTTAGTTTTCTATATGGGATTGGTTCTACTTTGTTGCCCTATTAAAGCCACTTTGACTGATTTGTGTTTAAGAGCTAATTTAGGAATTATTTTTATTTCTCGACCTGATGTATTTACTCACAAGTTATTCATCTTTGCTTGCAGTGACACTGTGCAAAGAGGGAGAGTTTCAGTGCAAAGATGGAAGCTGCATTTCCAACAGCAGTCGCTGTGATCAGGTGGTCAACTGTGAGGATGCAAGCGACGAAATGAAATGCCGTATGTCCCTTTTTTTCTCAAGAGTAGTCCCTGTTTTTACTAGTTTATGAAGGGGGAATGTTTGGAGAGAATTTGCAAACAATTTGAAAAAGAACAGGATTCATTCAGAAAAACAATTGTTTGCTTAAAACTTTCACAGCCGCGGAATGTAGCTCTGAGAAAGTATCTCTTATTCTTTTTTTCTTTTTTATCAGAACCTACGGACTGCTCCCGTTTCTTCCGGCTTGGCGTTAAAGGAGCCTCCTTTCGGAGCTGTGAGACAACCACTATGTGTTATCTGCCCTCGTGGGTGTGTGACGGCAACAATGACTGTGGAGACTTTTCCGATGAGAGAAACTGTCCAGGTGGGGTTTCTTGTTTCCTCCTCGACCTACTTTCAGCTGTTCTCTCTGGTTAGAACCCCACTATCATGTCTTTGCTCTTCCTCTTCAGATAAAAGAAAGCTTAAATGTCCAGTCAACTTCTTCGCCTGTCCCAGCGGTCGCTGCATTCCTATGAGCTGGACGTGTGATAAGGAGAATGACTGTGAGAATGGAGCCGATGAGACACATTGTGGTGAGTAATCTAGAAAGTTGCCATTTTTCCACTGTAGACTGAAAAACAAAAATGATAAGCACGGACATTTTGTTCCCTGAATTTGATGGACAAAGTAAAACATATCAAAGACCGTGTATAGTGTATCGATGAAAAAAATGTGCTCTCTTTTTCGCCGTTCTTCTTCTTTCATTTAGACAAATTCTGTACATCATCCCAGTTTGAATGTGGCAACCATCGCTGCATTTCCAGCCACTGGGTGTGCGACGGCTCTGATGACTGTGGAGACGGCTCTGATGAAGACCAGAGATGTAGTAAGTAGTATTTTGCTCCCTGTTCCTCTCCCAGTCTTAGAGGGAGGCATTTGACTGCCATGGCCCTCCATCTGGTAACCCCTGCCTAAAACTGTTACAGAATCCAAAACCTGCAGTCCCGAGGCTTTCCATTGTCCAGGCTCTCATATGTGTGTGCCTCAACGTTGGAAATGTGATGGAGATAAAGACTGTCCAGATGGTGCTGATGAGAGTGTTAAAGCTGGCTGCAGTAAGTCAGATGGTTACAAAATGACCCCGTTGACAGTCTGTCCATTTTCTGTTATAACTGCTGCTCAGTGCTCAGCAATGTTGAAATGTTTGTGATAAAAGATGGGATTCTCTTTGCTTTCAGTGTACACCAACTACACGTGCGATGCCAAGAATGAGTTCATGTGCCAGAACAGAGAGTGTATCCCCAAACACTTTGTGTGTGATCACGACATCGACTGCTCTGACGGTTCAGATGAATCCCCAGAATGTGGTGAGTTTTTTTTATTTATTTATTTATTTTTCCTGAACAAATACAGGAGATTTGCGAGTACTGGGAAATAATGTAGGTGGAAACAATTATATTTTTGGCCATTTTTGTTGAACCATGGATTGACCTTAATGGGACTTGCGTATAATTTCTTGCTCGGGTGTAGAATACCCAACGTGTGGTCCAGATGAGTTTCGCTGTGCCAATGGTCGCTGCCTCAACCAGAAAAAATGGGAATGTGATGGAGAGTTCGACTGTCAGGATCGTTCCGATGAAGCTCCCAAGAACCCTCGTTGCACAGACTCAGGTAAGGATATAATTAACCTTTTTTTTTTCTTATCAACATTTCTTTATCCTGTTTTATTAAATGTCTAGCTGGAAGTGATTAAGATTCAGATCTTAGCATGGATTTGTGCTCTGATCTCCGCCACCCAGCCACCATCCTAACGTTGTTTTGTTGGACATCACAATATTCCCAAATTAAGATAGCTCAAATTAATCAAAAGTGAATAGTGGTGCACCATTGCAAGTCATGTTGAATATAAGGCTACAAGAGTAGGAGTAAAATGATAGTTCCATCCTGGAAATGACTCTAATGCAGGTGCCTGTTTGTCTGTGATTGCAGAGAGGACTTGTAACGAATCAGCTTTCATGTGCCATAATGGGAAGTGCTTGAATGAGACCCTGCTGTGTGACCGGAACGATGACTGTGGGGATGGTTCTGATGAACTCAACTGCTTCATCAATGAGTGTCTGAACAGTAAGCTGAGTGGCTGCTCACAGCTCTGTGATGACCTCAAGATTGGCTTCAAGGTAGACCATCTAATCTGTGATTTAATGGAATGCGTTCGCTTTCTTTACTGCTTTCTTCTAAAGATACACAAACTGATCAACTTCAGTGGACGTTTAGATATTCATTGAGGGCACAATGTTTACAGAGAAATAGATTATTTGCTAAAATGAGTTTAAAAAAAGTCATGATGAAAACAGGTCTAGAACTTCCCTCCAGTCTTTTTTCTACTTTTTTCCTGAAGAAGGTGCCTGGCTTTAGAACAGCTTGGCCTCTGAATGAACTCCGGGAGAGTGTTGAACACTTTTTTATAACCAACCAGATGTTTTTTAATTATTTTTTAGGATGAAACGATGAAAGATGAAAGACTACAAATCGAGCTGATTTTGACTAGTAGTGAGGACATGCTTTACATCTATTCTGTTAATAAACTGGACGTCAGCTTTTACCCATGTTCTCTGTTATGAGACAGCCTTTCATGTCAGTTTTTAGATTGAAATACCGCTTTACATAGTTGTGATGCTGTTGTTGCCAGATAAAATCTGTCTCACACACGACCGCAGGCCAGTCGTGCAAGTGGTCCAAACTGACCTATCCCCTCTGCTCTCGGCCCCTTCAGTGCAGGTGCCATCCCGGCTTCCAGCTGAAACGCAATGGGAAGACCTGTGTGGATATAGACGAGTGCAAAACCACTTACCCCTGTTCTCAGCACTGCCTCAACACACACGGGAGTTTCCACTGTCTCTGCGTGGATGGCTTTGAAGTCAGCCCTAATGACCCCACCATCTGCAAGTCCACATCTGGTAAGACAGGCACAGCTGCCTTCTCGTTTCTCTAGATGCATAGCTCAAGATCAAGTGGAGTCCTGGATAATTAGCTTTTCTGTGTCGGGGTTTGTTTGCAGAAGTGGAGCCCTACCTCATCTTTGCTAACCGTTACTACCTGAGAAAACTCAACCTGGATGGCTCTAACTACACTCTAATAAAGCAGGTGAGATGCATGATTCTCATCTTTTGGAAACGTTCGGTGTTCTTGCTTTTAAACCCCTGTTCCAATGCTTGTCCTTCTTCAATTCTTCAGGGCCTCAATAATGCGGTGGCTCTGGACTTCCACTATGCAGAGCAGATGATCTACTGGACAGATGTGACCACCCAGGGTAGCATGATTCGACGCATGAACATGAATGGCAGCAACATGGAGGTCAGTTCTCTTCCAGCAACTGCATTAGTAGTTTTGGATTTGAAAGTCAGATGAGTGTTAGCTATGAGTGTTGATTGTTGTGTTTTTTTTTTGTTTTTTTTTTATCAAAATAACAGGTTTTGCACCGAACTTCTCTGAGTAACCCCGATGGTTTGGCTGTGGACTGGGTCGGTGGAAACTTGTACTGGTGCGATAAAGGCCGGGACACTATTGAGGTATCAAAGCTCAATGGGGCTTACAGGACTGTGCTGGTCAACAGTGGCCTTAGAGAACCGCGTGCTGTGGCTGTGGATGTACGCTATGGGTGAGAAGCATTAAGTTAAGTTGCAACTTTGAAGATTTTAGAAGTAACTATAATGTTGATTGAATATTTTATGCATCTCTTATTTGTTAGATACCTTTATTGGTCTGACTGGGGTGACAACCCCCACATTGGGAGAGTTGGGATGGATGGCACCAACAAAAGTATCATCGTAAAGGATAAGATCACCTGGCCCAATGGACTAACCCTGGACTTTATCAATGACCGGATATACTGGGCTGATGCCAGGGAGGATTACATTGAGTTTTCCAGCCTGGATGGCAAAAACAGACACACAGGTAACAGATAAGGAGGCTAGGTTTCCATATTTTACAGGGCATGTTTTGGCTTATCTGCTTTGACATGCACTAACAATAAGAACACTGGACATAAACTCTGTGTATCGGTCTGAGCTTTCAGACTGGCTATGTCCGGAATTATGTGCACAGAGGAGGTCAGATGAGCAATCACAATCATGGAACCGTAGTCGTGTTTTTGAAATAGGATTTACAACCCTTGGCTAAAACAAGAACGTTAGTGTTATTGACCTGTAGGTTTTAGAATGACTCGTAACTCCAGCAGACTCTACTCGAGCTGACATGCAACAATAGTTAACATTGTCAGTCACCCAACGCAGAATAATAGGATTCTGTTGTGTGCTGGGGGGTCTGCTTAGAAAAATTTGCATATTTATTAGGCTCTTTTCAACTCCTATGCACTGAATTCCATTCCTGAATAAGAGAGGCATGAGCAAAATCTATAATTGTGTGTGCATAAAGACGTCACACAACATAAAGGACAAAGGTTACATTGTTTTAGAAATGATTTCCTCATCAGCAGGAGCACCGATGATGTAAACATGCTGGTTTAAGAAAACATCAATACAAAATGGCAAGAATAATTCAAGATAAAATGCCATGTAACCCTGTATTTGCTTTGCGGTTTACCATCACCTATCCCTGGAAACACACACTCCCTAAAACACCATTGTGGCCTTGTGTGTATTTGTAGAGCAATACTTAGTATGTTTGAATTCAGATATGGACAGGCTAAAGAGCACTATGTGCTAATCTGGCTAATATCTTAACTCATTCTGGTTAAGGCTGTAAAGCTGCTATCACACTTTAACTGCTTCAAGGATATTGTTACGTGAAAATCACTGCTAAAACCATTGGTCAGCTGTTGGTGGGGTGTTTGCGAACTAGCGCCACATTTGTGTGCTCTGTGTTTGCTCTTGCAGACCTTTCAATTTGTGACGTTCTAGAATTTCTGTGGTCTGTTTCCACACGTCTGTGCAAACAGCTGAGATGCCTCATAAGTGCTGGCAGAAAGAGTGCAATTAGAGTGTAAAACCTAATGAAGTGTGGAGCCTGTTGCATAACATGCGGATATAGTGGGGTCACTGTGACTGTGCCCTGCCTCCAGTTTGCATTTACTGAACAGGAAGTTTTTCTTTTCGGAAGCAACATCTTAACAGCTAGAGTAAGAAATAATTCATGGCTGTAAATCAGAATTGGGTAGCTGAAGTGCTAAAAGTTATTTTAAAATATGTAATACTAGAGAGGAGAGAATTGGTTGTCCTATGCTGTTGGCTCTCTTTTTTATTCTCTTTTAAAGGAAGCAGTCTGATTGATTTTTAGATATTGCTGGGTAATTTAAAAGGAAAATACCCTCACGAAAAAAACTCTAAAATATTTCAATTGTGCCCTCAGTTCTTACCCAAGACATCCCTCACATATTTGCCATGACGCTGTTTGAGGAGTATATATACTGGACTGACTGGGAGACGAAGTCCATCAGCAGGGCTCATAAGACTCTGGGTACCAACAAGAGCACCCTCATCAATACCCTGCATCGGCCCATGGACATTCATATTTACCATCCCTACCGCCAGCCAGAGGGTAAGAGGCTCGCTTTAAAGATAATGCACTGATTTTAGGAGGGAAAAAAATCCATTCATTGCTGAGACTGTCCATTCATTTCAGATCTTAAAATGACAGTTTTTGTCAAATTTGGTTTGGATTTTTTTTTCAGAAGTACAGTATAATACAGACTCTAATCCTGCTGTGTTCTCTGTTAACATATATTTCTTTCCCTTTCCCAGTGCTTAACCATCCATGCCAGACAGACAACGGTGGCTGCAGCAACCTCTGCCTCCTGTCACCAGGAGGAGGCTTTAAATGCGCCTGCCCCACCAACTTCTACCTGGCCAGTGATCAACGTACCTGCATGTCCAACTGCACGGCCAGCCAGGTGAGGAGGCTGCTGTATGATCATTTATGGATCTATGAACAAATAACTACAGTGTTTTTTTTGTTTTTTTTTCAAAATACAGTGGCTCCTAGCTGAATGTTTAATTATCTCCTCCTGCTTGGTGATTGTCTATTGACAGCTGGCTGTCTGCCTAGTGCTCCATTAGCTACCATCTGCTACTGTCACCATCCGTGAAGCCACGCGGCTCTAGCTTTATCCTCGCCCTGATTTATTTCTCTCCCTGATGTAGTTTGTGTGCAAGAACGACAAGTGCATTCCTTTTTGGTGGAAATGTGACACTGAGGATGACTGCGGCGACCGCTCCGATGAGCCAGCAGACTGTCGTAAGTGTTTGAGAAGGTCGATTAGGACCGGACGGCGATAGGTTTTTATCTTGACACTTTTAAGGGACGTTTCTACAGAGAGGAGCTGAAGTGATAAGATTTTGTTGGGAAGGTTCATCACGGCCCCGAGTGACAGAGATGATTTGTTCACAGCGGAGTTCAAATGCAGGCCAGGACAGTTTCAGTGTGGAACGGGAATCTGCACCAACCCCGCCTACATCTGTGATGGAGACAACGACTGCCAGGACAATTCGGACGAGGCCAACTGCGGTAAATCTCTTTTTATATGCAGTCATAAATGCATCTAGTTTTCACACATGTTTTCTTAGCGCTTCGAGAAAGCATTGGGCCTAATGGCCGTATTATTACTTTATGTCCTCTCTTTTTCCAGATATTCACGTTTGCCTGCCCAGTCAGTTCAAATGTTCCCACCCAAGTCGCTGTATCCCAGGCATCTTCCGCTGTAACGGCCAGGACAACTGCGGAGAGGGAGAGGACGAAAAGGACTGCCGTGAGTGTCTGTCCGGTTTTTTTCATCCGCCTCTGCGAACGGCACACAGAAACTGTAATTCCCTGTTTTCCTCCCGCAGCTGAGGTCACCTGCGCGCCCACTCAGTTCCAGTGCGCCATCACCAAACGCTGCATCCCTCGCCTCTGGGTGTGCGACCGGGACAACGACTGTGTTGACGGATCTGACGAGCCGGCCAACTGCAGTAAGGCTCCCTTTTCGCATTTTTTCACCTGACGTTCGCCCTGCCGCCGCCGGCCGTGGGTGTAGCCTGTCCCCATTCTTTGCCTCTCCAGCCCAGATGACTTGCGGCGTGGACGAGTTCCGATGCAAAGACTCGGGGCGCTGCATCCCCGCCCGCTGGAAGTGTGACGGCGAGGACGATTGCGGCGACGCGTCGGATGAACCAAAAGAGGAGTGCGGTAAGAATCTCCCGCCCTGCGGATAGTTTGGCTGATGTCGGTTTTTTTGCTCCTTTGCTAATAGTGGCACTCTGTGTGGTTTGTACAGCTGAGAGGACGTGTGAGCCCTACCAGTTCAGATGTAAGAATAACCGCTGCGTACCCGGGCGCTGGCAGTGCGACTACGACAACGACTGCGGCGACAACTCGGACGAAGACAAGTGCAGTGGGTGTCACTTCAGTTATGAGTCAAAGTCGAGCTCACCGTGTTCACTGTCACTAACTCTCCTTCTCATGCCTTGTCCACTGGTAATGTAATCTTATCTTTGCACCTTTTGACTAATATGTGGACTGACTCGTTAAGTGCAATTCCATTGTCCATTGCTCACTGTCATTTTGGATGCATCTCATCTCATCTGACATTTGTTTCATTTCATACTGTCCCTTGGTATGAGCTAGAGGTAAGTTGTTTCACCTCCCATATTCAGTGTGGTCTCTCTGCCGTGTCTTGTCCTCCATGCGATCTTCATTTATGTTCTCTCATTCTCCTGTGATTTCCACTCACCTGTGAGAGTTTTCTAACTCGAACTGGTTCACTTGGAAACATTGTAGTAGTCCCAACCCTGACATGCAGCAGTATATAGGCTATTTTCTTTCCCATTTTTAGTATTGTGTTTATTATACTTTGGGAGATTTCTCTCAGACACCAGAAATTTAAAATGGTGTATTTTCCACATCATGTCTGTGGTCACCCTTGTCCCCCGCTTTGTGCTTAAAGCTTCAACTGCCGTAGCTCTCCTGATCTTCCCACATGTTAGTGACAGGATCCCTTCTTCCTCTGCAGAGCCCAGAGAATGCTCAGAAAGTGAATTTGCGTGCACAAATGGACGCTGCATCGCCGGGAGATGGAAGTGCGATGGGGATCACGACTGTGCTGATGGATCTGATGAGGTACATCAATGTTCTCATGATCAAGTGTTATCTGAAGGATATTTATGGACAGCTGTGTATATCTGAAAGTCAAACCTTTTTTTCAACTTTAAAGATATATAGTTTCCTGTTTTTCACTGGAGTTCTTTTCTGATATTTTGAGAGATTATTTCATTCCAGAGTCGTACTTGAGTCTGGCAATATTTGTTTGTTTTTTTATTATTGGTTTTGTAAGTTTAGAGTCTAACCCGCCGTTTCTGCGTGTTGTGATGCATCTGTAGCATGGCTGTGATCTGAAGTGTGACAACGACCAGTTCCAGTGTAAGAATGGCCACTGCATTCCAATCCGCTGGCGGTGTGACGCCGATCCTGACTGCATGGATGGTAGTGATGAGGAGAACTGTGGCAGTGCTGGTAAGCTTATGCATGTGGAAGTGAATGTTTATATGTGCATGTAGAATTTTTGACTAGTCACACTTCAGCTGGATGTGTCATAAAACTCCAGAATATTATGAAAAGATCGCATTTCTGATGTTTGAAAAAAACATCTCTTCCTCAGCTGGGCGTCACTGCCCTCTGGATGAGTTCCAGTGCAACAACACTCTGTGTAAACCGCTGGCCTGGAAGTGTGACGGTGAGGACGACTGCGGGGACAACTCTGATGAGAATCCGGACGAATGCAGTGAGTTCGGCTCTGTGAATCCCACAAATGTCCAACGTTAGTAAGTCTTCTCCTGTAGCCCTGACCTCTTTCCCCTCTTACGCCCCCTGCTTCCTCTCGTCATCCCTCTGCGTCAGGGCGGTTCCAGTGTCCACCCACCAGAGTCTTCCGCTGCCGAAACGACCGCGTGTGTCTGCAAATGTCAAAGAGGTGTGACGGTGTTAATAACTGTGGTGACAACTCTGATGAACTCAACTGCGGTAAGTTGTGTCACTTTCCGGTAAAATGACATGATTATATTGGTAATCTCGCTTGAGTTTTGGCTTGGAATTCAGTGATTTCTTAGCTGACTGTTTGCCTCTACAGAGGCCACTCCATCTACTCCCACCTGTGAAAAGGATGAGTTCCTGTGTTCCAATGGCAGATGCATCAGCTCCACTCTGCGCTGTAACTTCTTTAACGACTGTGAGGACTATGGCTCTGATGAGATCGACTGCAAGACAGGTGCCCTTTTGCACTAAACATGTGTCTGAGGGCTGAAACGGCTCTTCTTTGAATGCACACACTTACCTTTCGCTTGTGTGCTCGAAAGCAGAAACGAAGCTGAACGACTGTCGCAGTAACAGGACTCAGTGCGGTGATGGAGATGAGGCCCACTGCGTCACCAATGGCACAGACTCGTTCTGCTCCTGTAAACCAGGTTTCCAGAAGATAGGACACCACACCTGTGGAGGTACGTATGCAGAGAGCTCTGACAGAACACCTAATTGTGAATATTTTTCGATTTCAATGTTGAAATCGAAAATATTCGCTTCAGAAACGATGAGCTTGGTTGTGACTCTCTGCCATTATTTTTCTTTTGCCTCTCTGGTTTTTTCAGATAAGAATGAATGTCTGCAGTTTGGAGTATGTTCCCACATCTGCAACAACACCAAGGGATCATTCAAATGCAGCTGCCACAAGTACTTCAGCAGGATCCACGACACCTGCAAGGCTGATAGTGAGGGCCAGACCTTTATAAACCTTACACATTGCCTGTACTTTTCTAACTCATTTCAAATCCAATTTCTTGAGCCGTCATTGAGACCTTTTTTCTTCCAGACATGAACAGCAGTCAACAGATTCTTTACATCGCGGATGACAATGAAATCCGGAGCCTGGACCCCGGCATGCCAAACTGGCGCTACGAGCAGACCTTCCAGGGGGACGCCAGCGTGCGCATCGATGCCATGGACATACACGTCCGAACCAACCGCGTCTTCTGGACCAACTGGCACACCGGTCGCATTTCCTCCTACGAACTCCCCGGACCATCCACGTCCTCCAACTCTCATCGAAACCGCCGACAGAGCGAGGGCAGACACATCGACCTGCAGGTAGCAGCTGGCCACACGTGCTCAAAAAAGCCTCCCGCAAAAACCCACGGGTGGTCTGTGAAAGCCTTTTTCTGCTCGCTCCCAGATTAAGGAACTCAAGATGCCACGCGGTATAGCCGTGGACTGGGTGGCCGGCAACCTGTACTGGACCGACTCTGGCCGAGACGTTATCGAAGTAGCTCAGATGTCCGGTCAACATTGCAAGACCCTCATCTCTGGCATGATAGATGAGCCTTACGCCATCGTAGTGGACCCACAGAGAGGGTAAGAGAGACATTTCTATCTAGAATAAGCTTTTTTATCAAGATTTTTTTGTTGTCGTGTGTTTTCTAAATGTGCTTTGCTGTCCTTCAGTACCATGTATTGGGCTGACTGGGGAAACCATCCTAAAATTGAGACAGCGGCCATGGATGGCACCCTTAGACAAACTCTAGTTCATGAGAACATCCAGTGGCCAACAGGTGGGTATGGGATAAGAATTGCATGACATTTTTAAAATCCAATTTATCAGATAAAAAGTCTAAAAGTGTTCTTTGTGAGCTGCTTTGTGCCTGACAGTTACTGATTCACGTCCTCCATAATTACAGGTTTGGCTGTGGACTACTTCAACGAGCGTCTTTACTGGGCTGATGTTAAACTGTCGGTCATCGGCAGTGTCCGTCTGGATGGCTCTGACCCCGTGGTTGCAGTCTCGGGCATCAAAAACAGTTAAGACCTTTCTGTGCCTTAAATATCTGTATTAAACAAGGAATCGAATGATGATGGCTAATAATGTGTATGTTTTTCTAGACCTGCTGCATCCCTTCAGCATAGATATCTTTGAAGACTACATATATGGCGTCACATATGTCGACAATTTTGTCTTCCGGGTCAACAAATTTGGCAAAGGCCCCATGGAGAATCTCACGACAGGCATCAATCATGCCACTGACATAGTCCTGTATCACCGTTACAAGCAGCCAGAGGGTGGGCATCAGTTGTACAATTCCCTTTTTCAACATGAACATAATTTTAAAGGCTCTTCCATTTGATTTTTTTTTCTTACTGGGACTCTTGTTTATTTTTGCTTCAGTGACTAACCCCTGTGACAAGAAAAAGTGCGAGTGGCTGTGTCTTCTCAGCCCCAGTGGGCCAGTTTGCACTTGCCCAAACAACTACGTCTCAGACAACGGGACGTGCGTGGAGAGGCCAACCCCGACCCAGTCGCCCATCTGTAAGTCCACGCGCATTCGGCATCACGTGCCCCCCCCCTGCAAAACTGCTTTAGATGCAGTATTAAAAAAAAATAATAACAACAATCCAATCCTGTTCTGCAGCTCCCCCCTCAGGGCCCTGCAATATTCAGTGTCAGAATGGCGGCAGCTGCTTCCTCAACGCCCGTCAGGTGGCCAAGTGTCGCTGTCAGCCCAGCTACACTGGAGAGAGATGTGAGATCAACCAGTGCAGAGACTACTGCATGAACGGAGGCACCTGCGCTGCTTCCCATACCGGTACCTTTCAGTCATTTTTCACCCACGTTTGTGTTTTCTTTTTGTGTGTGAGAATCTTTTGTGTCTTTGGACTGAAATACCTCAACAAACTCTGACACAGGCATTCAGTCACAATCTCCAGTGGACAGTGATTAGTTGGCTTTTATTGTCTTGCTACCGTAGTTTGGCCTTGAGTAGCTGTGTATGAAATCCAGCTGTTTAATGGACTGCCATAAACTTTTATTTAGGCTGTGATCATTTGAGCTTGTACCTTGAATGCATAACAGTTTGTCCAGCTTTTTTTTTTTTGTAAAGACCGACATGTTATATTTGTCTCGTCTAAACAATTGCAGTGGGTCTGTAATTTAGTCTGTTATTTCTTTTATGAAATATTTAATATCTCTGTCGTAGGTGCACCTACTTGCAGATGTCCTAAAGGATTTACTGGGCCCAACTGCAACCTGCACACTTGTCAGGACTATTGCCTAAATGGAGGCAGCTGTACAGTCAACACAGGAAACCAACCAACCTGCAGCTGCCCATCACCTTACCAAGGAGACCAGTGCCAGTACAGTGAGTGACAGCACTTTTAGAGATTTTTACTTTAATGTTAATGTGTTGAGATTGTTAGCGCGTCGTCTGGCGGCAAATTCATCATTTCTTGATCGAGTGCTGACCCAAAACTCCAAATCTAATTATTTCAACTGCCAACAACCCAAGAATAGGTTTAAAGATGGCCTCTTTCTGTTGCTTGTCTATTGTGGGTGGAACACTTCTCCAAAATCCTGCAGATTGTTAACAGCTAGTCCTTATCATGTAATGAATTAATTTAATAAAAGTGAGAGAGATATGCAGTGTGACAGCCAAAATGTCTCATAATGTGATACAGCACAAGTTGGATAAAAACCCATTTAAAAACAATAAAATTGCAAAAAAAAGTGTTATTGTAATAGCTTCTAAATTACAAAGCAGTAGGTGAAAATTAATGTCCATATCCAGCCATCTGAAGTCTGTTGAATCTAAATGTATAAATCAATCCTTTTTGTTAATACTTTGTCAACCATCTGGAGTTTATGAATGCAAATTGACTTGAACAATGCATTCTAAATCCCAATCCTCAGGTAAATGTGAAGACTTCTGCCTCAACGGTGGAACCTGCTTGCAAACCACAAACGGCACCAAACTCTGTCTGTGTCCTTCTCACTTCATCGGACACCAGTGTGAGCTGGACAAGTGTCAGTTCTGTGGAGAAGGCACATGCTTGATGCCACCCTCCGGGGAAGTCTCCTGCAAGTAAGTTCACAGAGGAACAAGGGCTCGGAGCAAAATGAATTCCACTTTGGGTTTGAAGTCAGCCTGTTGTCTCTTTTTTTTTCGATTTTGACCCCCCAATTCTCAATTTAAAACCTCTTGGGAGAGTATGAGGGCTCACATTAGTTCCCTGTCTGTGGATTTGTGTATCTGTAGATGTCCCAATGGTCAGGTGCAGCCCAGCTGCTACTCCTGTTTGGACTACTGCCAAAATGGACAATGTTCAATTGAGACTCGTACTCTACTTCCCCAGTGCAAGTAAGATATACCGGATCTTGCATCCCCCACCTGATCATAAGGCTCTCATTTCTTTCAAACTCTCACTGGAACTCTGTTGATGTGTCCAGGTGTTCGTTGGGTTGGAAGGGATACAGATGTGAAGTGGCGCCAGATTTTTCAGATTCCTCCTCTTCTAGTAGTAGTAAGTCACACGAGTCCTCACAAAGAAATACCGTTGGCAAAACATGCACTTTGGTTCGCTGACTTGATTTACTTTCTCACAGGTGCCACCTCCACCGTCATCCCCGTGCTCCTGCTGCTGCTGGCGCTGGTGGTGGTGGGCGCCATCATGTGGTACAAATGGAGAATGCGGGGGTGAGTCAATCATCAGGACCTTCTTTTGTTTCTCTTATTCGAACTTCCATTTTTTCATCTGGTCCTTACTCCTTTTTCTTTCCAGTTTTCTGTCTCTTTTACATTTTGATAACCATCTATTTCCTGTCCCTCAGGTCTCTGTGCCCGGGCAAATCTCGTTCTCAGTGCTCGCGGTAACTTGATAGGGTTAAATAATTCCCCCTGCCGACCCACAAATCCTTTCCCTTCCTTCTTCCAATACACTTTGAGATTGGCTATGCATTTTGTCTGTCCGTCCATCTGTTCTGTTGGTCAGTTTGCCCTTGCTTGCCATACCCTGTTGACTACCCGTAGGAATACCATTTCACCAGCACAGGGAATTGTTGACCATGAAACGTTAACTCCTTTCTGGCCTCTCCATGCCTTTTCCTGTTTCGATCTGTAAACGTTGGGCTCAAACTGTGTGCTCGCAGAATAAAATGTACATTTGTGCATTTATGAAAAATGTGCCTGCAAAGAGCCAGATATGTTCGATGTGAAATCCAGCATTCTCCACAACAGACATGCTGCTGTATTTTTAATAGGTTTGCTCAAATGGGCTTTTAACCAAAAGACTCATTTGACAACCTTTGATATGTTGTTGCAGTTGTGTGAACTGTGTGTAAGTGGTTCTATGTCAGTATCAGGATCATGTTTTACTTTGACCCGTTTGATTTAGGGTTTCTCCCACAATGTAGTAAAAAAAAATGTTGAACCGTTGTTGTGGAGTGATTTATCTCAGTTTTTGCTCTCTGCAGTGCAAAGGGCTTCCAGCACCACCGGATGACAAATGGAGCCATGAATGTCGAGATTGGAAATCCAGCCTATAAGATCTATGAAGGGGATCCTGACGATGATGCTGGGGAACTTCTAGATTCAGATTTTGCTTTGGACCCAGACAAGGTAAAACTACTAAAAGCACCCATACAGATATTGGTTTTGAGTTTTTTGTGATCTTATTTTTTCTATAGCAAATGGTTCTGGTAAAAAAAAAAACATGCTCCTAGATCTATGAAATCATACCAAATATTTAGATATAATATGAAATGTACCAAATGTTTAATTTTGAGAATCCGCTGTTTTCCTGACGAGTAACCATATAATCTTCTCCACCATTCAGCCCACCAACTTTACCAACCCGGTATATGCCACCCTGTACATGGGTGCCCACAACAGTCGCAACTCCCTGGCAAGCACTGACGAAAAGAAGGAGCTCCTCTCCCAGGCCGATGAGGATATGAGTGACCCGCTGGCATAGAGCCCGGCTCGGATTGAACTCTGCCGTCATTGCCCTGCCTTTCCCAACCCAGTGCTGAGTGAACAAGCTTTCTCATCTTATGCCTTTCACCAACGGAAAAGAAAAGCAACAAAAGGAGAAAAAAAAAGCGAGAACACTGTATAAAATGTATAAAATGAAGGACTACTTTTTTAAGTGATTGCAGTATTATATTTTGTTCTTTGACAAACAAACAAAAATCTCTGGTGATGGATAAGGAACCATTTTATAGACCTTTATTCAGTTCTTTTTAATTTAGCTCACCTCCTCACAACTCTCCCTCCTCTGTCACACATATAGCCACTACCTCTGTGCAAATGTAAAAGATAGAGAGAAACAAATGGCTGTGGAACAATTTTAATTTTTTATTTTTGTATGAATTGTATAGGGAAAAAGAGTTTTGTTCCATCCGAGAGAAAGTTGCCAAGTCTTCTGTTGTTCATAAAAGAGAGAAGTGTCAGTGCTCACTATGAATGCTTCCTGGATGCTGGTTCTGCTCAGTCGCTCCACTTTATGTGCACATGTTTGTTTGCTGCTGGAGGTCTAATGGGACGCAAGACTGACAGAGTAATGTGATGATGTTTAACTGCACATCTACACACGGAGGACTCAGAAACTACATTCAAGTGATTGTCTTTTACCTCCTTGCACAGACTAAAGTTATATATATATATAAATATATATATAAATATATTTCCATATAAGAACCTATTAACAAAGTGTCTTGAAAATGTACCCAGGAATACAAACAACAGTATCAAATAGCAGTCTGTACTTTTTAACCCTTTTTTAAAGTCCGTGTTTAATTGAAATACTTTGTGTCAGCAATGAATGACTAAATAGCAGTGTGTGAGTGGATGAAGATGATTGTAATTAAGTCCACATTCCAGGATGAAAAGTCTGGGATGGATATCCGTGGCCTTGGTTTAGCTTACTGCAGGACACTCTGGACAGGAGCTGAAGAAACTGCTTTAGCACATTCTTTTTGGGAGTGAAGACGAGCTTCTGTTAATTCATCGAAAACCCATTTTTGACCAACAATTAGCAGAGAATAACTGCACTCGGCTTTTGTTCCTCGTCTTTTGATTGTAAACATACTTTCAGGAAAGGGCAGGGAGACTGATGGTACGAAGTTCTGTGGGAGATTAAACTTTTTTTTTTCTTTTTCTTTTATCTGCTACCTTCCTATAATTTAGATTAAAGCTCTTTCTCATGTGCATTCCTAGGAAGGAGACTGACCAACTTCCTATTGAGAAATGTTTAATGTTTTTTTGTTTTGTTTTATTTTTGATTTTCAAATTCTTCGCTTTGCTGCTAACCACCTGTCAGGCACGTCTTTAGTTGCGACTTTGTTGCTTGCTGTCAGTCACTGCTGGGCACACTGCTTTTAACTGAGCTCATCAGCCATACCTGCCACATCACGCTGTATGGTGCCTCTCACACCCCACCGACCAAGAGGATACTGTGGCCTCACTTAATAACTTCTTGTTTTTATTTTCAAACATTCTGCTCTGTTTAATTTTCAAGTGTCCATGTGAATCAGAACAATCATGTTTCAGTTGGAGGATTTCATTCGGTGGCAAAAACCCACATATTTGTGGTTCTGATTGTTTTGTTATGATTCCATTTCTTTTTTATATATAAAATTAAATGGATTTTTATAGTAGAAATGTAAAGTGGCCGTGTCTGTCATTTGGCGAGATGGAGAAGAAATATTGCCCCTTATTTCTCATTGGAGTGCGCCAGAGACCTGCCTTAGTTACCTTTTGAAGAATGAAGAAATAAAACACCCAAAGTCAATGCATTGCTTCTTTGACGTTGCTTCATGAAAGGACCCCCATCCTTTTGCGTTAATTTCCTTGAACTGTAATATCATTTTAATTTACTTTTTTATTTATTGAACACGAAGTGTCATCTGTCACAAAGCGGGCTTATTCTAGAGTTCTTGATTCAAATGTACATTAATAAAAATATCCACTTACAGAATAGTGTATAATACAATCTTGCACCAAATTAAGTAGTGTAAGGGTACATCTCTCACTTTGTGCTAATGTAGGTCAAGAGCTGCTAGGAGGAAGCACTTGTACAGGGTTAAAATAAAAATAAAAAAGATGTTTGAAACATCCTTCATCTATTACAGCTTTAGAGCAGGTAACGCAAACATCGTGGGAACCTCTCAACGGGAGCCCTTATTAAGTCTTACACATTTACATTTCACTTCCACATGCCACTTAAGGTGAAACCGGAAGTGTTTCTAGGCCCACGCTCAAGCATTCTGTCTTGAACCACTCACTGGACATAGAATGGAGATGAGATGACATCTCATGTCATCTGCTTTGATCTGAAACAGAGAGGTAAACCGATAACCTTTAAAGTGTCCAAACGTTTGTAAAAGAGTAAGTTTCTACTTGCACATGGTCAGAATTATAAGGTTATAGCACAAGGTGGTAAAGAATACAATTTAACAAATGAAAGATGTAAATTTAAGAAATTATGGCAAGATCATCAGAAATAACACTGTTTACACAAAAGGCACTCATTAAACACGAGACATTTGAGATCATTTTGGTTTGGCTAGCTCGTCCAAAAGAAGCACTTAAAGTGACGGCGCTTCCTTCAGGGTACAATCTAAACAAGCATTGTCGATGTTAAGTCTTGACTGAACGTGCTGTGAAGACTTGGTGTGACACTTTTTAGTCCAGAAGTGTCTGATTATACCATCCAAAGCTTCCCTGCTGTTTGGAGGACGGTCCAAACACACAGTGTTTTCCAGGCACACGTGCCAGCAGCAGCGATGGGAACTTGGCTGCCTCCCAGTCTGAGTCCTGCCACGACTGCATCGTCTTGGGAAAATTAGCAGCCTCTGAGAAAAGTCGGCGAGAAGATCCACGCACTGTCGGGCACTTGTTGGTGAAAACGCAACTTCTTCCCCGGCAAGTCCTTGATTGGCCTCATCTGTACTGCAGTCGTCTTCCAACTAGTTTGGCTCTCGGTGCCGGCAAAGCAAGAGAAAGTCAAAGGAGTTGCCCACCTGAGCTTCCAAAGTGATGCACGCTGGCTTAAAAGTGGCTGTAAAGGGCCTCCATAAATAAATAAATTACCAAGTCAAGACAAGGCCTCTGTCCTGTTTCTCCATTGGAGTCTTTTGTGTGTATGTGTGTGTGTGTATTTGTGATCTGCAGCCTCAGGGGTTGAAATGAACCACAGGAGGAAGGGTTACAAGGAAGAGGGGAATATAAGTGACAGATAAGTGGTTTAGGGTCTCTTCCAACCGCTCCGGATCAAGGCGTCAGCTCGCAGGAAGGGCTGGTTTCGGAGATCTGTGAGTAGGCAAGGAAAGAGGGGTAAGAGACAGGAGGGGACACCCAAGTTAGAGGACCAAGGACCAACTTGTCTTTTTCAGTGCTGGCTATTTCACAGCAACAAATACGAAAGCATAAACTCAGTTCCCATTTTATCAGGCACACCTCAAGAGGCAGCGTGTTCCTTTTATCAGGGCTGCTTCGGATTTATCAATGAGGACAAAGTCCATGACAGGAACAACAACCCTAGTGTCATTTTCAGAAAGGGAGACGTAAGGTCTGCTGCGTTTCTTTTGGTCTGGATTTAATTAGACATTCCAAATAAAACAGCAACTGAGAGTCTATTTAAGTCAAACAAATATTAGAAACTAAAGGCATGAACGAAACAGAGTTAACACAGAATGCAACATTCCCATATCCCTGTATGTAATATTGGTTACATATATTTGTACACAATTTGACTAGTTCAAGGCTTTGGAAATGCAGCTATTCCAACTCTGTCACACGAAAAATGGAGCAATAAACAACAAAGAAAGTTACAATACGATGGTCAACATGCTCAAGATGCTGGGAAACCATGAGGCAGCCATTAAGCTGCGCAAATACAGAATATAGAAGGTCTGTAAGTGTGTAAATTTAAATCATTGTGTTTTTTTTTGTTGTTTTTTTTGTCTTGAGCCTGTTGACCAAACAGCTGACGAGCACACCGCGGATGACGGTTAGCAAAGACAAACATGGCGGACACTTTTGACGGGTGATAAGTAACCGAACACCAAAAGACATGCAACACAAAATAGAAAAAAGGAATGAGGACGGTCTTTAAGGGCACAGTTATGCATTTAAGCTGCAAATACCACGGGTGCTTCCCCATCTGATGGGAAGACTGCCAACATAAGAAGTCATATTCTTACAAGATTTGGGGAAAGTTGGGATTCTTTGGCAAACGGCCCGACTTCTTCAAGTGTCGGGAGCCTCTCATAACTAGAATTATGTTTCCAGGTAAAGCTAAGCTGACTGCTGTAAAGCTTGTTTATTGGAAGCACTTGCTGAAGCAGCTGACATCACTGTAGCAGCAGACAGGAGCTAGAGGGCCAAGCGGTCCAGGTTTGAGCCGGGCCACCTTCCTTACCCTCTCTTAGGAGTGGGAAATACTCTCATTAATCTTCTTTTCAGCTGGAGGGGGTAGAATAAACAGTGGTGGTTGAGGAAAGAAGAGTCACATGTTAGCCGGAAAACCAACACCAAACAAGTTAGTCTTATGGAAAAAAGCACTCTTGGTAAAAAAAAAAAAAACTAAAAAAACAGTTCATTAGCCAAACCTCTTCTGTTTTATGTTATATAATTGTAGAGAAATAATGACAGCTGCTTGTAACATGCATTGAATTTTTTTTACACGTTTGATTACAGTCTGTTGCTGTACTGTTGCCTGTGAGTCAACATATTTTTTTACAGATGCAAAAAAAATATGTTAGCACTCTTTGTAACAGCTTTTCCAGAGCGGCCAGGCAAAGAGGTTTGGCTGTCTGCTATCACCAGATGCCTGACAGGGGTTCTCCTCAGGTAGAGATCAAAACACAAACAACCAAAGACAGCCCGGGTTAGTCGACAAAGTTGTAGTTGGGGTGGGTGACAGGGATCATGCTGCATGCACAGTGGGGTCAAGAGGCGTTCGAGGGACACCTGGACAACCTTGGCATTAGAGGGGGGGAGGGCTAGCAGTTGGCGTCGTCGCAGAGGTTGGCTTCACAGAAGAACCGTGAGCCGCGTTTAGCAGTGCGGGCTGTGAAGGGCACGCTCTTCAGGACTGGCGGAGGAGGGGGAGGAAGAGAAAACACGTCACACCTGAGAAACTGCCTCTCTGCCGGGGTGCAAGCGACCGTATTTCGCTCGGTAGACTGTAACCTGAGAAACTGTACGGAGGTAACCCTTGAACGATACTGAAGTCTTTAGAGGGATTAGGACACCGGGAGCGTGTCCTGGGTCAGAGAGTATAAGCTGTTACAGATCTGTGACAGGTCTGCCACAGAGGCATTAATGAACATAATTTAATATCACGTTGACGCAACATTTATATTATTTGCGTGTTAGACAATGATTAGTGATTTAAAAAAGCATCAGTTAGCTCATGGGCTATACTGAGGCTGAAGATAGTTCTTCTGATCTCAATAAAAAAATCCACATGAAGGATTCATTTAAGTGAGGATGTTTAAGGATTTCAGATTTCCAGATGTTTCAAAATGTTCTTTCTTTCTATATATATACATATATATATATATGTATTAAATTTTATGTATTCAGTGTTTTCTTTGACACTTGGGATCAAGCGTCCTTGACAGTGGTCCACATATTGAGTCTCAAAAGCCTCAGGGCTGTAAATTTAGGCGCTGTCATGGAGACACCAGCGACCGCTACGCTGCTATGTGCTGTGCTCCAGATGTGCCGGTTCCTGGACTACGTAGCACAAGGTACACTTCAAAGGAGCGGAGCAGTCAATGACCACGGTCATCCTCAGCCTGGGGGCCTGGTGGCCGCTGGCCCCTACGTGTGGTCCTTTAACTGTTCTCTCGGGCCCACCTGTGATGATGTCTTCGATAGTGCCGTCTTTGCCCTCGTACACGGGCCGGTGGTCTTTGGCTTGCCTCCTGCGCAGCTCTGCGATCAGCTCCTGCTGCTGGTGCCTTTTCTTCTGGGCCTGGACCTACACAGACACAGAGGATATGCGAAACGTTTGCTGTGTATTTTGGCACACAACGAGGCTTTATTTAGCACAAAGTAAACATCTGAGTTGTTTCATTCGGCTACACGGACTTGGACGGTACCTTGGGGTCATGCTGCTTAGCCTCCTGAGCCAGTAACTTCTCTCTCATTGCTTCCTCTTGCTTTTTCCTCAGTTCATTTTCTTCCACTGCGTCCTGTTGAGAGGGAATTAAACAGTTTGTGATTTAAAACTGGAGCTCAAAAAGTCCAAGAAAAAACACACTCCTGTCGCTGATTTCAGTATAAAGAAAGCAGGCCAAAAGTTCAACATAATTAGGAAAAACATTATTTGATAAAGATAACCACCCTTTATAAATCTATTCTTTCAGTCAATACTTGGAAAAGTTCATTACCCTTTAATACCAAGTTCCCCTTTATTTTAGCAGAGATGAACATGTAACTACAGTGTTCATTTAGCCCTGCCTTTACACAGGAAACAGTTGCATACTTGCGAGATCACCTTTAAACCTTAGAATCTGATTCTTAGTTCTCTGGCTAGCAAAAACAATGGGATTTGACAGGAATTACTCAGTTCATCTTATTGTTGCTTCAGTGTCTTACGGGAACGACTGCATTAAGGTCGACCCCAGTCTGTGGGTGGGGATTTTGTTTGGTGTTGTGGTTTTATTTCTAGTCATGGCTGTTCTGTTTAAAACTCTGGGCCGGGCTCTCTCTAAAGTTACATTTGAACTTGCCTTTTCTATCAATAAAAGAAAGACAAAACAGACAAACTAATCATCTTGCGCTGTGCCAATTTTCTGTCAATCTATCCGTTTGCATCTCGAACAGACACATGAATCCAGAAATCCCTCTGCTGCACATTTCCTTGAGCAGATCCCATAAATCCAGACGGAGAACAATCTCAGGAAATAAGCTGTGTGGTGGGGCAGGGCGCGGCTGTCCGGGGGTACAGAGGAGGATGAGGGGAAGGGGAGGGGGGGTAAGGGGGGCAGGCCTGACCACTACAGCTGTAGCTCCACAGTCAAACCCAGCTGCTCTTTCCTGTTTTTTGGCCTCGGACTACACGCCATGTCCTGTGGCCTGACGGCAGCCAAACTCTGGTCTGAGTGAGGCCACTAGCAGCAGGGACATTCCCACATGAGCTGCAGAGATGGCGCAAAGGTGAGCCGGGCCCGCGTCCTCACCTTGTAGGCCCTGATAAAGCGTACAAACACGGGGAAGAACACAGAGGGCGGAGTCGTCTTGGCACTCTCTCCGAAGTAGTTCACCACGCTGTTGAAGGCTTCCTAAAATCGGGATGGGAGAGGAGGCAGTGTTTGTAAATACTGTCAAGCCTGGAGCCACGACAGAAATGTCAGACAGCTAAGGGAGGGACAGAGGTGTGTTCCATTTTCTCCAGTAGATACTTGGATATTTAGGATGCGAGCATAGTCCTAGATACCTCTGCTGCCTTGGCATCCTTCTGCAGCTTGTCCAGCTGCGTGTCACTGGACTGGATGAAGCCCTTCAGCACCGAATGATCATGGAGACTGCACTCTCTCCTGATCAGGTCCATGCCTTTGCCCAGCTCCCGTACGTCGAGCAGCACATTTTCCAGAGATACTGCAAACAGTGTCAGCAGAGGATACGTCGCTGTCGTGCTCAGAATCGGTCACCCGAGAGAAAGACATTACCGTTCCACACGGGCTTACCTGCAGCAGCTTTATCCACAAAATGCAACTCATTGTAGAAGTTGGCCAACTCGGGGTACTTCTCTTTCACAATGAGAGCAATGTAGTGGAGCAATGTCATTTTTCTGTCTGTGGATTTGGTATCTAGAAGCTGTAAATGAAAAAAAAAGCAGATGGCATGAGACACTGTGCAACAATAGTGTCTGTTTTGGAATTTCTGGCTGACTCCGGCTCTTTTCATTACTCACCAGATCAAGACTTTGTAATTTGAAGCCATAAACACAGCCCCGTTTGCTGCTGTTCATGTAATTTCCCAAGGCTAAGATGATCTGGGAGCAAACCAAAAGCGTGTGTTGTTATGAACACGAAAGCACCTCTCTCAAACAGAAGCACTTAAACGCATCTCACCTCGAGCATTCTCTTTAGCTTTGGTGAGGATTTCACTGAGCCGGACGCAGCGATGACGGCGTTGAGCTGTGGAGTCAGCATGCTGATGTTGTCTCCAAAGTTCCCGACAAAGGTGATGATGTTCATTCTTTGGGTGAGCCTCTCGATCTTGCTGAAAAATAGCATGAAGCGATCTTCCTCTGCCAGCTGATCAAGTGGACGGCGTTCGCGCTCGTACTGGCGAAGCACCTTGACTTCGGCATCAGTGGGCAGAAAACGCATCAGACACTCCACAAAATCCACAGGCAGCGCCTGGAGGTCAAACCTGTGAAAACACGACACACATCAGCCACTTCATCTACCAGTGGCTTTTTACTATTCCCCTTTCAAACAGGCGCCTACTTCTCTATTGCTTTGCAGATCTCCTCTGTGGTCTTATTTGCCTTTCGCAGGGTAATAGCCAGGTTTTTGGAGCGGTTGGCATCCAGAAGCGTGACTTTGTTGACGGCTTTCTGGGCTACTTTGTTCTTTGTGCAGGAAAGATCGACAACTGGGCCCTGGGCCCTGGTCTTAAACAACTCCTCAAACCTCTCCAGATCCAGCACCTGCAAACAAATATGAAAGGCTCTGAAAACATCTTCTCAATCAACTTTGTAACCTGTCAACTATCAATTTGACAAACTTGTTTCTTTACATGATTTAGCTTTTAGTGACATTTGAAAACAAGACATATGAAATCAGCTTAGCTTAGTATGATATAAATTTTGTCTGTTGGATCTACCTCAAGTACACGTTCATCATCGATCTCATTGAAGACTGTGCCATTGATCTGATTTGGCTTTAAGGCTGTCCAGTTAAACACAGGCAAGCGGAACTTGGTCTTGATAGGCTTTTTGATTCTGATAGCTGTGGTTGAGACAAAAAAAAGCATGAATAGATCAATTAAAATGGCTCTATTGCACATAGTAAACATGAGGGCAAAGAAAAAAAGGTGCCAGTCAGTAAAAAAGTGGGCTCTGACCTGAGAGACCCACACTCAGGATGACAGAGGGTGAAGCATCTGGCAGAGGAGGAGCAAGAGGAGGAGGAGGTGGTGGGACTGGTGCAGCTGTAATAAAGTGCGACATGATATTAAAACGCCATACCCTATATTCATTTGTATATTTAGCGACTTTCTTTGATTTGCTACCATGCAAAAGATTTTTAGTCGTATTCTCAGTAGGGTAAGGTAAAATATAAAGTCATTACAGAAACTGGCTGGGGGCTACAGCAGCTTTCTGCACACATATGCAAACAAAGGAAATAAGTTTCGCGTTTCCCTTTCCTGTCTGGGTTAGACGAACAGAGCTGTGACCCATCACCTGGCTTGGCACGAAAAAGCAAAGAGCTGGAACTGAAAATAGCCCCGTCTCTGAGCGTCTACACTTCAGAGAGTCAACTTTCACATACACGTGTCAGCAGATGTGATCGTTCTGAGTCACTGTGTGTCACCTGTGGCTGACGGAAGGGGAGGGGGAGGTGGTGGAGGCGGCGGAGGAGGGGGGGGAGCTTCACTGGCTGGTGGTAAACTCGTGTCTGGTCCTCCTAGTTCTGTCAGCCCAGCTGCTGACCCCAGAGACAGCGGCCCAAAGTCCCCGAAAGGGATCCCGACCCCTCCGGGCACACCCCCGGCCCCCAGCGGCTCGATGGCGATGTCCCCATCGGGTTTCTTGTGCAAACGGAGGGTGCCCTGTTTCTCCAGCTCCAGCAGCCGCTTCTCGATGTTGAAGTGCCTCTGAAAGGCTGCGTCCTTCTCCTTTATCATCCTCCTCAGGGTGGTGACCTGGGTGTTGGTCGAATCGTACGTCTCCTGGGGAGTCACCAGGGGGCAATAAAGAGCTCATCACGGTGAATCCAAAAGCTTAGAGAAACATCCTGTTTCCTTCTGACCTAATTTGCCATCGCAGCAATTTATTCAGCCACATGCATCTGTAACGGATCTTTGCTAAAACACACGCGGTCACAGGAAAAGTTGAGCCCTTCTGAGGCACGGAAGGTGAGACTAATCATATCATGACGTTACCCGTATTGCTTGGAGGTCCTTGTCTTTCTGAAGAAGCACCTTCTCCAGGTCAGCTACTTTCATCATTGTTTCATTCTCAACTTCCAGCAGCTTTTCCGTTACCTGGGAGAGAAGATGGATGAACAACAGAGAGATGAGACGAGAACTGGGCTCCACCACGGGCATCTTTCCTAGCGCCACTCCCTCCTACTGCCTCCTATACACTGCATCATCAATAAGAAATAGGATATACCCGGCAGTATGACACAGCAAGAACAAGGCCTAGCTCCTTGTTTTGGCCACATTGCACATGTTGCTCAGGAATTCATAAAGAATCTTCACACCGATCCCTCCCCCATCATTCCCGACCTCTGATAGCAGAGTTTGTTATGAAATTCCAAGAATGATGTCAGGGCTGCCTACAACCTTTCCATGAGAAGAAGGCCTTTGCTCAGCAGCGTGGGATACACAGGCATCGGCCCAGAAAAGAACAATAATAAGATTGTTTCACGCATGGTGTTTTCCAGCATTCTCCACCCAATTATTATCCAAGACCACTTGTGAAAAGCAAACACAGGCTAGATTTATAATTACCGTGTAAAAACAGCCAAGTTAAATACACAGCTCGCGAACAACAACAATCTGCTAAATGTGCACTGGGAGCAGTGTTGGTGGTCCAGACTGGGTGGTGCACTCACATGGGACAGGTGCTCCTCCAGCTCCTCCACCTTCTCCAGGGCTGCATTCTTTGTCTCTGCATCTTCAAGGAGGCCACCAACATCGAACACGTTGTCTAGGTAGGCCTGGATCTGCACTGACAGCTTGTCACTCTCTGTGTGCTTAGATTTCTGACATTAGAGAGAATTAGAATTAGTAGCATGGCCACAGTGCTGTAAAACAGCCCCCACTTCTATCAGAAAATGGCTTCCTTACCTCAAGATAGTCATCCAACCCCAGTTTGGTGAATTCATATTGAAGGTGGACTCTGAAGTTCATGTCTTCAACTGAGTGGACCACAATGTTGATGAACTGCATGCAAGCGACCTAGACCACAAATGCAAATACACCGAGCCTGATTTAAACCTGTGATCTGCACTTAGACTGATATATCCAAACCAGGGACAGGTGTTAAGTTTTCAGGGCAAACAATATTCATGTGTATTAACAGGCATGCGGTCACACTGTAATCCATCTAAGCACAACACAAAACTTGTCCTACCATGAAATCAATGTTTCCCTCCTCGCTGCGGAAGTAATCCATTAGTCTCTCAAAGCGATGCTTCTCTTTACAGACCTAAAACAGACAAAAAGCAGCAAAACAGTTGCTTATGTCTACTTCACTGACATGTTGACTTTTCACAACAGATGATAGCAGTTTTTTCTTCTTTGCACTATTTTTAAAACTTTCCTAACTAAGTATTTCTACATGCAAGCTACATACTTTAGTAAATGAACCCAGCATCATGCCTTCCTGACACCATTCCCAACAATGGTTTTAGTTTATCAAGAAGTTTCTGTGTGTGGAACTTAAGTTATTCCATTCAAGGATCACCTTGCATTCATTCTATGATGCACAGAGTGGTTCAAGTATTTGAATGCTGTGGAAAAATAGAGAGGGTTTTTGTCTTAAAATGTACCTTTCAAAACAATCCAAAATTCTAAATGGGTGGAATATATTCTAAAAGAACTGCTTGAGAATAACCCAAACAAAACCGCCTGGATCACTGTACCAGTTATGATGGTACTGGTACAGTTATGTTTGAATACCTATGCCTTCTAATGAGATTTGAGAGACATGCAGCTTGGTTTTAATGTAAAGCCACTGAATTACCATATTTCTTTCCGCTGTGAGTTAATTAGCTCCAGTGAATTTCTGGGGCTTTCACTTAAAAGGTAATTTTCCTGTCTTGGGGTTTAAATGACCGTATTGGCAGAAACTGAGAAGCAAAACCAATCTTTCAGGTCCACTGGCTCCCACTGGGGAGCTGATCTTTATCACTGTTCATGTTTGCCTCACATCTGGTGTCTTAATGAAGCCAATAACTACTGCGCCCACAGAGCTTTGCTGACACCCTCAGTACACCCCTCCAACATCTCCTCAGCTTTCATTCCTCTACACAGGCCTTTATGCAAACCAGACAGATCGGTAATTATGGCAATTTGATAAATATGAGATTTCTGTTCTTGCATATTAAATCTTCCCCGTGTTTGAAAATTGTACTATGTATAAGTTTGGAAACCTCTTTGAAGTTGTCAAACGCTGAGAGGATGATCTCATGACCTCCTCGGACAAGACAGACAGCAGCAAGTAGCTCGAGGACCAGCGCTTTTGTTCTGGAAGTAAGGGAGAAGCTCATCAGTACAACACAGCGCACACCAGTCTGTACATGCAGTCCTCCAAATGACTGGAAATGTCAACATTCAGAAGCACAAAGTTTTAATCGTGTAAGTTCTGAATGGCTTTTTAAGTGTTTGCCCTCCTAGCCTTCATTATAAAATGATCAGCTGCAGTGGGTTACCACTAATCTGCCTTCAGTAAACATTCCTTGAACAGCCTGCATGTACGCCTCTGATCTTTGACTTCAGAGAGAAGCCAAGCCCCATGGAGAATGGGAAGCGTATCGTATGAACTGGCTGCAGGGTTTCCCCTATTGTCTGATCAAGCTCGGGTCATAGGGAGATGGGGGTCCTCAGTTCTTACCGTGAGTTCTTGTTGTTCAAGCTGAGAGCAATTTCATTGACAGCATGTGCATGAGACATGACCATATTGAAGCCATACTGCGTAGAGACAGAGAGAGAGACACGCACAGAGAGAGAGAGAGGGAGAGAGAGAGCAGGATGTGGTCAGAAAAGAACAGAGCATATCTGCAGCAGTTGTCTGCACAGGAAGCTCATCAACCTGTCAGACTGTGCTCGGTGTGGTACAGTTTTAGGTGGAATGTTGCTGCAGTGTGGTACCTGGTAGTTCATGATTGCTCTCAAGCACATGATGCACACGTGCACATCATCTTTTTGACTCACGAGACGGGAGTTCTTGATGGTTTTGCTGTTTGAACCAGAGCCATAGCTGCAACAGATGGCAAAAGTTAATATCTACCACCGATTCCGGGATCACACAGTCAGTCGTGGATAACAGCGTGTATTTTTTTTAATGTTCATCTGCTTTTTTTCATGACTCCTTTGTGAGTACGCTGCAAGGAAAGAGAGGCAGAGAAAATTACAGAGAACAAGCACTGACAGAAAAAACTTTTTGAGGTTACAGATGCATTATGGGAAGCGACTGGTTTCCTTGCTGCTGTCGACAGACCAAGTGTAGGCTCACACACTCCTGTTATGTAACTGTATTGCACAGTCATCATGTGCATATAATATTCCTTTTCTTTTTCAGTCTATAAATGGCTTCGACTGTGCCTTGTGATGACTTGTTTGAGCACTTTTGGAAAGAAAGCCACATAATTCATACAGCTGCACAAACACAGAATCGGTTGTTGTGTATTTCTAAATGTCGTTGTGTCCCAAAGCCAGAAAGTTTAGCTTTGTCCTTATTAAACGCACATTTAGAAAATTCTTAATTTTTGTTTTCTCATCAGATTTAGCATTCATCCTGTCTGTGCAATGGTGGAGAGAAGGACTGTCCAACATGTGCAGCTGCTCACAGCTGGCTCCCATCTACAGACAGTGCGGATGCACATCTGGACGGATGAAGAAGGACCATTAACAAAGAGAGAGACACGTTGCACCCAAGGTCAGAGACGTTCAGCTTTTACATCTGATGGAGCTTGTGCAGAGCAAAGCCAAGAGAGAGGTCGCCTGGCCTCTCAAAAACAAAAGAGCACCGGCACAGCTGGCGGGCATGCTCATGTCCACATGTACGGAGCATTCACGGTTAGCAGAGCGAGCCAGTAATAGGGACGGGTAAGAGCGGGGAAGCTACATACCGCAGGACAGACTGGCGGGCAGAGCGCACCAGTGTGTTGCAGAATGGCTGGGCGCTGGAATGGTGCAGATCCTCTATGGACCTACTCCATGATTTAGCCTTGTCCAAGAAGCCATCCTCCCCATTTTCCAGCCCCTCAAAATCCAACCTGGGCCACAGACAGACAGACGGACAGACAAGGCAAGACAAGACAGAGGCACGGGAGTAGAGACGAGGGATGAGGGATGAGGGATGAGGGAGGTTAGGTTAGCGACGCAGCTTGGTTGAGGGCCAAGGGTTATCACGAAAACTGGCACGAAGCTACACGATAAAGCTCAGCACAGAGATTCTGATTTATTCAGGCAAGCTGTAGCTCAGCGCTAAACCACGTAGCAAATGTCCAGTAACACATTCAGTTTGCAAATTGGCAACAAAGCATTCACACACATCTAAAGGAGGGCCCATTTCTGAAGCACAGGCATTCCCAGGCTTTTGAGGATGCAGCAACTAAAACCAGCTCCTTAGGAAAGGTTTTGCCTGTGAGAAGTGTGCGTGTGTGAAATATTACTCACATGACAGCGCACTGGGCAAAGGAGAGGTACTCCACCAGGACATCAAGACCTCTGTTTTCGTCATTAAGGAACTCCCTGACCCACCTGTGACGTATAGGAACAGAGAAGGGTTAGCTGGGCAGCAAATCAAGAGCACACCCTCACTGTAAAAATTAGGCAGAAAGAAAACTGTGATCCCATTTTACAGGTCTTGTTTGGGCCATCTCTCCTTAGTTTTGTATCAGTTATCAGTGGCGTGGATGTGGAGCTTGCTTATAATAAATTACAATAGAATAAAGTACAGGAAGTTGGAGGTGAACTAGTAGATGCCATCGGTGGTGCAAATTCAAAGAATGAAATTGCTTACTTTGACAAGCCACTGCTTTTCGCTGTTTTGGAACAGGATGGACTGAAATAACAGTGGCCATACAAAGGATGAAAAGTCTGAACTACAAACAAGGTGTTTCGGTTGCTTCTCTGGGAGGTGTTAGATGTTTTTGATATAGGCTTTTTAGACCTTTAACATGGCCCACAAAAGAAAAAATGCATGACTTTCTGAGAGAAAAAAAGGCAAAACCGGTATAACTTTGAATAATATTTACACAGGTTAACAAAAGTTTACTTTAATCAGCAAACTGAAATTTGTCCTCTTGCCAAACTTTCCTATATATTGGGGAATTTCTTAAACTTTTTAAAGACCTTTCTATTTCTTTTTTTATCAGAAATTTAAGCATTTTAAAATCAACAGTGTGATGATTCATCCTCATCTGATTTTCTGGTAAACAGTACCTTTTAAGCTATGCTTAGAAGTCAGACGTGACTTCAAAGAGTATAGTTTAATCTCAACTAACACAATGTGTGTCATAGACCATAAGAATATTGGTAAGAGAACTTTTTCAGGGGGCTTTCCCTGACTTGACTGAAAGATTGTTGGGGGGAAAAAGGTCCATGGAAAGTAAATGAGAGTGGGGCTCCAGATTTCCTCACTGTTTAACTGCTGTTTTCAGGAGAAACAACTCCAAACAAAGGAATTCCCATTGCAACCAGAGAAAGAATGTGGAGGGCATATGGCTGAGAGAGCGGGGCTCAGGTTGAAACCCTGACACTCAACAGTATTTAGTCTGCCTCCCACACAGACCCTTTCACCTCCTCCCCATTTCTTCAGGAAACTCCACGAGGGACGGGATCGGGGCGAAAGGTTCTTAAAATAGACTTGAAATGCTGGTTATGATTACAGACCATTAGTCAGCCAATGGATAAGTCAGGCAGGAAACCAATCAAGTGGAGGGAAGGAGGGAGACAAAAGGGAAGAGAGAGGTGTGCAGCGAGGAGGGAGAAAAAGGCAAGGAGGCCGGCTGATCATCAGTTTCCTGCCTCCCCCTCCTTTCCCTCCTTGCCTATGACCCCTCACTTTTTATACTTCTCTGCAACCAGTTGCTATTTCAGATTTTCTTGGCAATCTTAGGAAAAACACTCCAGAAATGGCCCAGGATTCAAACACACACACACACATTTGGACACAAAATAAACCAGCATGTGTTACGCTTACTCCCACCCACTGAAGTCTTCTGAAAATAGTTCATTTTTTCCCCTTTCTTTTTGGAGAAAGCACTTAAACAGATTTTTATTGAAGACGCCTAATAGTGTTTGATATCAGAAAAGGCAGCAAGTCCCTGCAACAGCTTTTTATACCCACAGATCTATATCTATACCACTACAATCATCTAAAGTAAAACTCAGAGGAGCTGTAAGACGGCAGCTGTGTAAGATCATGTACAAAAGTCTGACAAAATCATGCAAAGCTCCCATTTTTCTGAAGTACACAGAGGTTTGCTCTTGCTCTTTTCACTGTGTCCAGCGAATACAACGGTGGCCCAGGTTTCCTGCCCCTCCAGCGCACACAACAAAGCTCCCCGCTCAACACCGTGGAGGAGTGGACGGAGCAGCACAATGGCTACCATCTGGGCATTATGAGGACCAGCTCTGTGCGGTGGAGCTGCAGGGTTTGGCAGGTTAGAACAATGAGGGAGATCTGGGCACCAAAGCTGTGGGTCCCCACAGCAGAAGGAGCACACAAAGGACAATTCTTACAAGGGAAAACAATAAAGCGGTTTCCTCACCAGTAAATACAGCTGTGTAATTCACAAGAAGGACGCGAGGAGATAAGAATTGTTTACCCGATGTGGTTTGTCCGCAGTGATATCTCCAGCTCCCTCAAGACTTTCGTAGATTCCTGCACGCGTCTGCGAAACTTCTGTAGGAGGTGAATAAAAGTGTTGATTGAATAATCATTTTAAATAAATATTTTTCAAAAAGCTCCATCTATGTTGCAAATGGAAAACTTACCAATGACAGACTGGTAAATGGGAAGCAACGTTTCATCAGGTCATTTTTAAGATTTTAATGAAATAAAATATGTGTTTTTTCCCTCAAAAATAATTATGGGAGCTATCCATTAAAAGATCCCACCTTCCGCGTGACTCCAGGGTCTAAGTATCCTCTGAGCTTCTGGATGTAGGTGTGAGGCGGATTCTTCACCTGAAACCTTTCCTGCAGAAACACAGCAGACACAGCATTGGAAGGATTGCAGAATGATCTTTGAGGGCAGGAGTGTGCAGAGTATCAGTGCAGGTTTGGGAGTTCATTATTTCACCTGGTCGCAGATCAGGTCCCACTTTTTCTCATTGTCATACTGCCTGAGGAGCCGGGCTTTGTCTGGGGGCAGATTCATGGAGTTCTGAAAATACAAATTTTTAGAGTTTATTTCATTCACATATTTCTTTGTTTGTGTGTGCGTGTATTTATAGTGGCTGTCACAGTGTGCGTCAGTGCTGTGGAGCACTCTGGCGCCAGCAGAAAAGCACAGGATAAAATTTTGGGGGCTCACGCCATGACCTCACTTCCTGTGTTGACTTTCAGCATCCTGTCGCAAGAAATGATCCACATCTCCTCGAATCCGAGTCTCATTGAGGCTGCGCTTTGTTTTTAACCACAACATGCCACTATCAGAGAACGGGCCCATTACCAGACCTGTCATCTAAACCAGCCATAAAACCCTTCAGAGCCGCATGAGATGTCCTGAGGCATCCAGTTTTACTGGGCTCAAATTAAATCCTAAATGCTCCAATTTGTGTTTGTTGGCCAAACCATTTACACAGTTTATGTCCTCATAACAACTGTAAAAGAAAAAAATAAACTGTGTGACAGAAGCTTCTGAAAAATTGCTTCCTTCGCTGAGCTGAATTCACGTAAACAGGGGCTGGCAGGGAAATCCTACAAATGAGGAAGTGCAACAATAAAAAAAGAGATCCTGCCGGTCCCTAAAAGCGATGCCCTAAGTGAAAACCTGTGGATTTTCTTCCTCCTTCATTTACAGCAGTATCAGCAGCAAAACTCAAGCCAAGCCACAAACCACATGTCAGCTTGACTTTTAACCTGCAGCTATAACTGCCTGTTGTCCTGAATGCAACACGCTGCTCCGTTCTGTTTACCCCCCACGTCGGATGCGATGCTTTTCTAACGTTTGCTAGATGGAAAACATCACTCACTTGTTCTTGTGACAACTGCTCAGTCACCAGTAGCAATGGAACATCACATGTGAGTAAATCAGAATTAGTTTTCCAGAATGAGACAGTGGTCATCCCTTCCGCACATCATGAATCACTTTTTTCTTTTTAGAGGGCTGAGGTTAAAAGAACAGATGTGCTTCTCCTGTGCTAACATGGTGCTAATAGCGTCACATTAAATTGCACGATGCAGGATTACAACTTGAATCCTAATAGACGCCACAGAAAAGCCACATACAATATCCTCAATGTGCAAAAATAAGGTATGACTAGGCCAAAAGACACCGTAACTGGAGGGGAAATCAGTGCCACCTTATTACAAACTGAGTATTTTGACTACCCTGAAAACCCCCCAGCAGGAAAGAGCGGAAAAGAAACACACATGCCAGATGTTCAGAATTATAGAAAGAATGTGTCCTGTTTATAGTAGTAGCTTATGGTGGTAAATTTTCTCCCTTGTCTGACCTACGAGCTGCTCTCTCCTCCTCTGTCTCTCCTGGGAGAGATTTTACCTATTGCAAAGTCTTTGTGAAGGCAGTTGTGTTAAGTGAAGGGCAGCATCTCACGTCTCTATCTGTCTTCAATAATCAGTCTGTCCGATGTGCTACACGCAATCTCTACTGCTCTACAGACAGAGAAAATATATTTATTCTTCTTTATTACTTTTTTATTATCTTTATTATTCATCTATTTTTTAAGGTCTCATATTATTCTCAAATCATTCTCTTAGACAGAAAACGAAGTGATGGATTAACATGATAATTGCTTGAATAACTTTGTTATTGCAGCCTTGATTTATTGAATACTGAAACTAACACACTGAAGCTTATATGAAATTACTTTTGGAAAGTAAGAAATTAAACATGCAACCAATAACGAGAGGACCCTTTGAATAAATATTGTAGGCTTTGTTTTGACATGAAACGCCCAAATGGTACATGATAAATAAGCCTGGATATCTACTCCAGGATCTGTTTAGCCTAGAAGCCTGCTGCCATTTCTTTTTTTCAGGTCAGTCATGCATACTCAAGAAGGACTGTGAGACAAAAATGCTAAGAGATAGGTCTCCTTTTGTAGTAATTGAATTCTGAGTTACTGGAAGATATGCGGACCAGATGCACACAGTGACTCGCATCCAAAACTCAACTGTAGTTTCTCCCTCTGAATTGTGTTAAGAGCGATGAAGAAAAAGGGCCTGTTTGCTGTCGATCAGAATCCGGTTGGAGCTTGGGGCGCTGTTAACAAACGCAGGTGGGACTCTTCAGGTGAGCGCGGTCATACGGCGGTTCAAAAGCAAATCCATGAGGTTTTATTTAGAGATGGAGGGACTTGAGGCAGAGAGGATGGACAAGGTTTGGGTAATTCGAGCCAAGTAACCCAATTTAGCTAATTTCATTTCACTTTCTCCCACAGCGATGCTATCTTTCACTTCCTGTATTTACAAGAGGCTAAAAAAGCCCACTTTTGTGGGAAAAGGCAGCAGTAGCAATTCACAGTTTGTGATTCTTTGGGCCATTTTAGGGGAAGAATACAACAGATATGCCAAAAATGTTTGATGCTTGTTACATTGCCACTCGGCCCACGGTCTCTCCTCCAGCGCGGCCTCTCTTGTCTGACCTGAGACCGGCCCTGTAAAGGGTTCAGTGTGGAGCTTTGTTTTGATTTGGTGCCGTGCCATTCCCATCCTTTGACATTTGAGCTATTTCTTTGCTCATAGGGAGTAGCATACAATGGCAGGTGGGTAGGGTCAGTTTATGCCCTCTGGTGCTGAGCAGAGCAAAATCCCGAGCACAGCACAACCAGATGAACTGGTTCTATTATCAGTGCACACATCACCAGGTCCCCTTTAAGAGTCAGAAGAGGAGACTGACAGTCCAAAGAGAAGCACTTAAGAGGCAGAATCAAAGCCTTCAGTGTGTGTAAGTGTATATATTTCAGTTTCGGTTTAAGGCATATCAAACACTAAAAGAATACCCGATTAGTAAAAACTGCAGAAAAAATACATATATCAAGAAAGAGAGAAAACAGTCTTAAAAGAGAGCTTCTCATCCAGAGACAGGTTAGAAATTAGGCGTTGAACTGTGGCCAACTGTGTGTTAAGACAGAAACACGTGGAACAAAGAAGGACTTTAAAAACTCAACAGTTAAAGTAGCTGATGGGTTCGTGTTACTGGTTAAAGGGCCATGGAAAGCTATCAAGGACAGCACAGAGCACTTAGGTCAAACACAGACCCCCCCCCCCCGCCCGGTCACTTCATTCACCCCAGTCCACAGGACAGCCGCCATCTGCCCCCAGCGGGACAGCCGCCTAATCCAAACTGATTTACTGTCCGCCTTGAGTTGAGTTTATGACCAGTAACAGCAGCTAGAAGCCCCAAGAGAGTTAAACGGAGAAAAGGGGACAGGAAGTTTTCTCCGTGACCCCTCACAGTTTTGCACTTTACACGGTTGGTTAGAAAACCAGAACCATTGTGCCTCGGTCAAATGATCTTTAACTCAGTAGATCAGCCCGATTAATTCATTCAGCCTGTAAATTCACTACTGAAAAAATGAAAATCAAGCTGAAAAAATCTGCAACTTTCACTTGGAACTAATTTATTAAAGCCGCTCTGTCCAGCAGCCTGTCAGGGGCATTGTAAGAAAGAAACTGATATAGTTCCCTATGAGATGCCAGGTGAACACGATTCTCTCTTTTTTTATTTAGTGATGGGTAAGGAACTCAGAATGTGTGTGCATTTCTTACCGACCTTTTTAAGGTGTACACAAGCCTGACTTAGTTATCATGAGCTCAGTGGGAAAGGAGTGGGTGGCTGAGGAGCTCACCGCGCTGGACAGAGCCTGTGGCAGTCCAGACATGGAAGTCCAGACGGCTTTCAAGTCCGTCTGCTCATCAGGGCGGAGTCCAAGAAGAAGGGGCTTGTGGTTCCAATCAGCTCGGAGCAAATGTAATCAAGATCGAGGGTCACCGCTAAACATTTGCTCGCGTCACATTCGTCTGGCGGTGAGGGATCCTTAGAGCACGGCTCAGATTTTCACCGAGAGCTTTTCCATCAGATGACACGAGGTTTGTGTACGTAAGCGGAGGAGCTATGTATACGAGAAAGAAAAAACTACAAATAAATAAAGAAGTAGCCAATGCGATGGAGATAAGATCTGCTGATAAGGACCTCTGTCTGTAGAGGGTGGAAAAAGCCAGAACAGTGATCCTAGTTAACAGCCAACAAGGAGGCAAAGAAAACACAATGAATACAGGGAGCTGACATGACCATGTTTTCTTTAGGCATATTAAAAGAGCATAGTTTAGAATGGAAAGTGATGTAACAGTTCCCACTGAATCAGGACGGTCGAGACATAGTTTATGATTAATGGCTCCCTAAAGAAATAAACAGCTCCAACAAACCCTGAGAAGGATAGGAAGTGTGTAAGAGGCTTGACATATATTGCATGCCTCATACTGTACTTATAGGAACTAAGCATTAGACGAGGGGGGGTTCATTAGCCCAATGACCTGTTTAAATGACATCATTCATAAGAAATGCAAGCGTGAACCAGGTGCAGAATATGACGGTCAAAAATATCCCGTTTGCTTGATAATAATCGACTCTATCGCAGCGCTTTTGTTTGGATTCCTCCTTTTCCTTCGCTCTGAAACACAATGAGAGGAGACAGGATGAGAGCCTTGTCTGTTGTCGTCACGGAGCTGCAGGGACTTCCTTAACTCTCCAGGAAATCAAAACCTGCCCTGAGTAACTTTGGGTTTGTTCTGGAGCTGCCGCGTGTAACACGAGCGTGCGTGCGTGTGATTTTGCACATCCGTGTCCGCACGCTGTTGGCAGGGCTGTAATTCCAGGCGCTTATCCAGCTCCCCGGTAAAGTGTCGCCGGGCTGAAAGCATCAGTGCAGAGTGTGAGAAAGCACTGCCCTCCTTTCTGTGGGCAGATATCCGATCACCCTGTCGCTCTTTTGTCAGGTAACTCAAACCTGACCAGCACAACAAAGCTGGAAGGAGGAGAGCCCAAGAACACAAAACACAAAACCAGTTCTTCCAAAGGCAGATTGCAAATAAGATCAATTCCAGTGTCCTTCTTTCTAAAGCAAATAGAGGCAGTTGGGAGCTGGTTAAGTTGTCAACATAGCAGGTAGGAGGGTTTATTTGCAAACACAGCATCAG